CGTAGAATTATTCAAAAATTATATATTCCATTATTATTTAATAATTTGATATTCGATAGCCTTTTCAGCTTGTGGTATTCATGGTAACAAGAGGGTTATTCTGAATTATGTATAGATGTGATGCACAGCTAAAAATTGTGAGGACTCTTGATGATGGGAGAAGTAGAAATGGTATGGTCAACTCGACTATGATGAGAATGATAATCATCTTAACCGATGCCGTGAGTAATTAAGGATTATGGATGATGATCAATACAGGGCCTGTTGATGGGGGAAAGGTCGGTGCATGGAGAGGGGTTTGTGGTGGTGTGCTGATGGATGGGGGATCAGGATGAGGGTGACACCAGAGATGGGGGGTTAGGACACTTTGATGGTATAGGTATTGGTATAGGAGCGGGATGTGGATACCAGAAGAGGAGTTGAATACCAATAAACTTTTAGCATAGATGACATGGAGGATGATGGTGATGTGGAGAACAGATCGAGGGGTATTGTGGGGCTATTTTAGGGTAATTGTGATGAGTAGGTTTGCACATGCAAATGGGGGTGTCGGGGTATCATCCTGAAATAAGAGAGAGTAAGAGAGAGAGAGAGAGAGAGAGAGAGAGAGAGAGAGGGACAGAGAGACAGAGAGAGGGTCAGAGAAAGAGAGAGAGATAGAGAGAAAGGGGGATGATTTGAGAGGAAGAAAGTCGGTGTGTTTGCGATGGCGTGTGGGCGTGGCGTGTGGGCGTGGTGCATAGGAGAGGCATGGAGATCACTTTCATATCTTTCAGACTCCAGCCATTCTTTGTTCACAAAGCGCAATGAAATCTAATTTGACATCATTTTGTAATCATCCCCTTTCATAACGCTTTCTTCCGTTTTTGGGGTCTTCAACGGGGAAGAATCATATTAAAAATGATGATTAAAGAAATTGTTCTAGCTCCCAGAAAAAAGCACTTTAGGACATGTATACAAAAAAAAATATTCTCAGGCAGTAAACCTTAGACTGTACCTTACCACGAACAAATTATATAGGCTACCTTTTTGCCATTATAGGACCACTTTTTGCATCGTAAATAGCAATTTTTCTGAATACATCATTTTCCCCAAACATGATTATTTTGTCTTCATGATATATATTTTTTTATCAGTATGCATCATTATAGTTTGCGTTGTTTTAGGCCTTGACATAAAGAAACCGGGGCAAATTGATCTATGGGTTATTGACAACAACACAAATATTGGACTAAAATTGTTCGTAGTCCTTGGGGTGTTATAGCCTAATACATCGTGTGGAAGAAAAAATCATGTAGAAGAAAAACTACAGTATACATAATTGTTGAGAAATTACGATTTTTGTTTGCTCACTTTACTGATTATTGTAACGTATCGTACACAGGTAAATGACTTGTAAGTGATAGTATAGTGCAGTATAAAATGGTGTGGTGTGGTGTGGTAGGTGTGGTGTGGTAACTGGTAAGGTACGTTGTGGTGTGGTGTAGTGCCAGGGGCGTACGCAGGGGGGGGGGTGTTTTGGGGGTTCAAACCCCCCCCCTTTGGTATTTTAATGTATGTAAACCCCCTAAAAAAAACCTAAAACCCCCCCCCCCCCCCCTTGAAAAAATCCTGCGTACGCCCCTGTGTAGTGCGGTTTTGTATGGCGTGGTATGTTTGGTGTGGTGTGGTGTAGTGCGGTGTTGTATGGCGTGGTATGTTTAGTGTGGTGTAGTGCGGTGTTGTATGGCGTGGTATGTTTGGTGTGGTGTAGTGCGGTATTGTATGGCGTGGTATGTTTTTGTGTGGTGTAGTGTGGTGTTGTATGGCGTGGTATGTTTGGTGTTGTGTGTGATGTGGTGTGGTGTGGTGGTGTGTGGTGTGGTGTGGTATGGTGTGGTGTGTTGTGGTGTAGTGTGGTGTGGTGTACATAGTGTGGTATGTTTATTTTGGTGTGGTATGCAGAGAGATGGCGTGCTATGGTGTGGGTTATACTGTGGTACAATGTGGTAGGCTGTATAGTGTGATGTTTGTGTTGTTGCGAGGTATGGCGTGATATGTATGGTGTGGTGTAGTGCGGTATTGTATGGCGTTTTGTGTGGTGTTGTTGTGTGTGATGTGGTGTGTTGTGGTGTAGTGTGGTGTGGTGTGCATAGTGTAGTATGTTTATTTTGGTGATGTTTGTGTTGTTGCGAGGTATGGCGTGATATGTATGATGTGGTAACATATCATGTGGTATAACTGCGCGTTGCATGATATTCTGTGTTGTGATTTTTTGTTTGGTGTTGTAGATGTGATGCAGTGTTGTTGGTATAATGTGATGGACTGGTATGTGTTAATCGCCGGGTAATCGATGGTATAATGTTCTCTAGAAGTAGCACCGGTGCCCCCTACCCCTACCAGGCAGCGTACCAGTATTCCTAGCTTAATGGCGCCATACCCCGCTAGCACCTATACCTTTCCATGGGTCTCTATTTGATTGCTTGGTTAAGTCAAATCTCCAACACGCTATGTGATGAGCTGATACCTGAGAGCTGATGTAATCCAGGATGCTACGTCGGGAATGTGACTGTACCCGACGGGAGAGGCATCTATAGGGCCCCATTAATTAGCACATAGTGATGCGTGATGATATACCTTCATATCAAGTTACGTTACATGGAGTCCTATGTACAAGATGAGCCGTGAACCCAGCGTGATTTACTGGGACAAACTTGTGTTCGAAGAAAACAATTAAGAGGTCATTATAATGGAAGCAGAAATACTGATAGGTATAAGCTCTTCTAGCACTGTGCTAAAACGACCCAAGATTGTTGGAAACTAGTCATTTGGGGCTTTAAAAGGCATTTTATGAAATTAATAAAAATCGTGATTTTAAATCGAAGTGCAACCAGATTACTGCAATCGATGAACCAAACCTTGTATCATCTTTTCTTGTCACCGCCATCTCTTCTTTCGTACAATGATCTGCCACTCTTTAGACCGTTAAGAATGGAACCTCATACTAACTTATGAAATAAATAACTGACGGGAATGTAAATGTATTCGTTGATAAAAACTACATAATAATAGTGCAATCAGAAACGACGTGATCACAAATTGTGGATGCATAATTATAAGCGGGCACGATCGAAGTGTACCGTTATCTTTCATTGAATGTCTCCCTCTATTGACAGGAGTGTTACAAAATATTTTATCTGCCCATATTCGTGATTTTCCCCAATTTTGAAAGTATCAAGTATCAAGTTTTATTTGTCTTCCAGAAAACACATGTGACGAAATATAATAAAGTATAATCATAACAGTACAGTGTAGAATAAAGAAAGACGAGGAGACCTTGGTTGAAACACAGTTTGTTAAGTTAAGAATGAGAAGCACAGGTTTACTTATTTTTCAGAATTAAGCTATTGCTTTGTTCTTGATTTAACTCACCCTTAAGAATAAAATTTGACAATGTATATGCTCCTATTTGGTATCTCTTCCTATCTTTATTAACAGTCTCTTCTTTTCTCTTACTTTCCTTCATTACTCAAAAATTCAAACGAACTTTCCTTTCTCCATTACATTTCCCAATTCACAGTTGTGTTCCATTCCAGTGATGTTATCGTTTTCAGCTTTCTTATTTGAACCCTCTCCTATGTCTTTTCACCACCCCTCCCCCCCCCCTCTCTCTCCCCCTTTCTCTACATCTCTCACTCAATCCTGCTCTGTATAGCCCATACCTTTAACCTCCCCTCTGCTCTCTCGCTCTCTCTCTCTCTCTCTCTCTCTCTCTCTCTCTCCCAATCTCTCTCTCGATCATGCTCTTTTAAGGATATATTGACTGCTTTGAGAGGCATAGTGGTTTCTATAGGGTCAAGGGAAACTCACAACCTGCTATGACCCCAAGGCGCTTGCGCCGCGGGGTCATAGCAGGTTGTGAGTTTCCCGAGACCCTATAGAAACAACTATGCCTCGAATATTAAAAGCAGTCAATATATATTTTATATACCGAAAAAAAGGAAAATGTTGACTCACCCATTTAGGTTTCCATCTCATCGCACAAAAGAAACTTATACGGTAACACGTAAACCAAAATGGGGATCGCAGCAAAATGACGTCACGTTTCACAGCCATGGAAAAAGTGCTATGAAAAATGGATATAAACCGGTAGAGCCGGGAAAAATGACTATGAATTTCAATTAGCGGGCATGGTTGGGGATCGCAGCAAAATGACGTCACGTTTCACAGCCATGGAAAAAGTGCTATGAAAAATGGATATAAACCGGTAGAGCCGGGAAAAATGACTATGAATTTCAATTAGCGGGCATGGTTAAGAACATGACTGCATTTTCAACCAATCAGAAGACAGGATTAGTAAAGAATCTTAAAATGAGGTATATAAAACTAAATACATGTACTTCACAATCCCTCTCTCCCCATCTTTAACTCGATACTGCTCTTTCACCCTCTCCATTTCTCACTCAATCCTGCTATAAAACCCTTTCTTTTACCCCCTTTCTCTCCACCTCTCCCAGTCCCACTTGCCTTTTCTCTTTCCCCCTCCCTGCTCTCTCATCATCCCATCTCCACCCCTCTTCCCAGACTATTCCTCCCCCTCTCTTTCTCTATCCTCCACCTCCCTGTTAATCCCGAATATTCACTCTCCTAGTACTCAATTAACAATCCATTTCACTGCTCATTCAACTACTTCATCAATCATATTTTGATATTTCCAATTTTCAATTTCGTTTTCCAAATGGATGGAACACAGTTGCAAAGACTGTAAAGAAAGCATTTTGAGTGCAACTATTAATACCCTATTGTATATCCTATAGGAATTATGTTTGGACTATGTGATACATAACAGTGATGTTCACACATCTCAATAGGTTGTAAGTGATCAACAAGGCAAGACAAAGTCTAGTGAAATTGCCTTAAGATGATTTGTCATAAGTTTTGCAATTTAGACTTTCTTCTATCCAGTCTAAAGTAGGCATCCACAGAAACAAAACAAAAAGACACAAAGAAATCTGAGAATATTAATATGATCTAAAGCCTCATTTTATTGAAGACTGCTGGACAGAGATCTCACAGACTACTACGTATCTACACAAATAAAATAAAAAAGATTTTAAAAAAGAGGAATTTACAACCAACTGTCTTCATACTGAGACTGTTGATTTAAAGTCATTCAGTAGGATTTTTGAAAAAATGCTGACACAATATCTCACACCATACTCTACAAATATTTCCATTAAAACTAATCAGTTTTGTTAGAATCTAGAGTTCAGATACAAAAAGCGGCAAGTTGATTTTACTCATCATTATCTAGTTGTACATACAAAAAGTTGAATAATTGCCACACTTCAGCAAATGACAAAAGAGATTGAATTTGCATCTCATTATTCTCATACATCCTTTTTGAAAATGTCAAGTCTTTAGTGGTTCATTATCTGGTGCATTAAGATCATATTCACCATATTAATTTTCAGTTCCAGAAATAGACAGAAGTATTGGGATAATAAATTGTTAACAAAATATGTGTCAAACTACTTAGAATGACAAAACTGACAGTAAAAACAAAAGTGAGAAAAATGAGAATAATAAAGAAGCTACATTAAGGAATGTCCAAAAGTTATTGGGAAGAAGATAAGGGCTAAGGATAGCATATGATTCATAAAGATTTCTTATGACTGATAGTGATAATTATTAATATTATTATTATCATTATTATTATCAGTATTTACTTTTGGTATTAAGCAAAGGATAATGAATAATTGCTAACCATTTAATGAAGTTAATACACATGATTCATCTAGATTTCCAAAGTGACTCAATTAGCCCATTTAGAAAATCAATAATCATGATCCGTATGAAAAAATATTCAATTTCCATTGCTATAATCATCAATGTGTGCATGCCGGCAGATCTCTGCTTACAACTCAGCTATTGGATCGATTTTAGACTGTAAGATAGTCAACACAACTAGAGAATTAGAGCCTTATAGACCGTTTTAAGGATCGATACTTGTACGGTACTTGAAAATGACCCCTCCAGTAGGCATTTGTTTTGCAACATTGACTGAAAAATACAAGTAAAAACATACAAAGGGTTTTAATGACAATGCCAATACATAAACACCCTCTTTTTCCTTCTTTAAAAACCAAAGTACTTGCAGCATTTTCCATTTGTGTCCACTAAATTGAGATGATTGCACAATGTTATGACAATATAATATCATGCCATATTATGCAATGATACAAAAATTGCCACAGGCAGTTAACTCGGGAGAATGTGCAATGACGAAAAATGAACTGAGCACTTAGCAAAGGTTTATTGAGTTATTACTCTAAGATCTGTATCAAAATCAAATTGAAGGTCTGTATCAAAATCAAATTAAGATGGCAATGTAGGCTAACGATTCAATATTTTAATTATTTGTCACCAACAGCTTAAATGGACTCTAAAATGGTCTCAATTTCAATGATAGACACTCAAGCATAAAATGTAACAAATTATAATTCATATTTGTTTTGCAGCGAAATGGAAGAGACAGTTTTGTTCTTCTCTCTTTTGAGTCAGGAATACAATCTGAAAAACATGATTTTTTTTTTAAAGAGATGTCAAAATTGAGATTTTCATCTCCCGAAAGAAGAGACACAATGTTATATTTTACACACATAGTTAAACAATGACATAACATGTTTGAATGGTCTACATATATCTAAACAGCACATCACACAGGACTGGAGGGGTTTCATTCAATGGGGGAGAGGGATTGGAAGATGATAGAGAACATGTACACACCAACATCAAATCACATCATATAGCCTCCTTCACATTCAACTTAGTAAATCACCTCAAAAAGTGCCACGGCCACATAAAATAACATTCGGTAAGCTTGGCTCACATAACTGTATCTTTTAACACACAGATAACAGAGCATGCTTAGTGACCATTGGTGTGTGCAGCTAGTCTTTTTTCTTCCCCACACGCAATTAATTATCATGTAAGACAGTTTTATTTTGCTGTGACAGTGTTTCTGTGGTGGTTTAGTGCAGATGTCTGAATGAGGCCTATGTTTTCAAAGGACAGTTTCTGGTAATAGACCGCTTATAGAATGGTACAGCATCTCCATCTAATTTGTAAGTTATGCATGAACAAATCGGATAGAGATCTGTTAAGAATGCATTTGAAGGGCCAACAAGGAGTGATCTATCTTTCGTTTGATGGCTTTAATTAAAAGCATGTACACTTACTGACCTAGATGGAATATACAGTCACCTGTCTGATCAATGATGCAATGATCAATACTTCAGAAACTGACCTTAAATTGATTTATCAAAAACTACATCTATTTACCTGTAGCAACAACATTTAGACTTCACAACATTATCAAAACACAGAGAAAATTGGGCAAAAACTTATCCTGGAATTCATGTATAAATCATAGGGCTGGCATATGAGAGTAACAGATGAATAGCAGGTGCTATATTGTTTTATGTTTGTTCTGGTTTTAAAGATAAAAATACTATTAACATAAATCAGCCTACCAATAATAAACATACAAAATCAGTGCATTCTTTTAATAGAAAATTGTGCTGAATTTGATGATGTAAAGTGAGCTAAACTTCGATACTATTTCACCTATTGCTTGTAAAATTCCTTTAGACTCATGCAGTAAAGTAGAGAAAACAAAAGTAGATCAGATATTTGGTATAAAGCCCAGAGAAACAATTACAATTTACATATTTACAATGAGATTCTCAATATCATGAATAGTATCTCTACACTGATGGAAAAAAAAGTAAGAAATACAAAAAGGTATTTATAGTTAAAAGCAGTCAACACAGTCTTGAATACATAAAATAAAATGATAAGAATGAATGGATGTGTAAATCAAAAGCTTAGATATCATACAGATTCGAATTTGCTTTTGATTAGGTATTTACAAGAGACACAATTTTCTATGTTATTTTTCCCCAAAAGAAATATGACATACTGTTATACAAACGATTTCCAAAGAAACAGTGTTTTTTTCTTCATTTTTGAAGGAAGGAGACAAGTTGGAATCCTTAGCCAAAAGGCACAAAACTTAATAACTTAATGGGTTGATAAATGATAAATACAAAGTAACTCTAATCAAGTCTCCTCTATTTTTTACCAATCACCCATGAAGTATGTTCATATGCAATATCATCATGCCCTATGATATGTTCTCTGCTATGAAACCATTTTGTAATATCTTCTGACAGACAGCTTATCTTGGTCTTATGCGAATTGCCTCTTCATGTACAACAATTAGAATGTGTGCAAAAGCTATTTGTGGTCAAAGATATTTGGAAGATAACCAGTGCATATAGATAAACAATCTGTAATAATTACTCTACTTCATTTCATAGAAAGAATACATGTGATGTGATATGCATCTCATTATAACAGTTGAATCAGACCATGGCAAATGTATCGAATTTGAATCTAAATCTGTAAATCACAATATTCGCTTATTGTCCAAATGAAACATATTAAAAACATAATAATCATTAACTATACAAAAGTGCTGAAATTGTTGATAAGGAAATAGAATTGACCCATTTTCCTTATAAAAATTTCAGAGCTAATATTATTTAATGGTATGTGCAATCATGATACAGAGGAGATGGGGTTATGTGGGGATCCCATCTGCGTGAGGACCTTATCCAACCATTGTAACGGACCGTTGAGATGAATCTCAATCCAGCACGGGGTAGAGGTAACATCCTGACGATGGTACTCTGCGCCCCAACCCTTGACAAAGCTCATACGGATGGTACACATCTTGGTGAGTTCGTAGACCATCTCAAAGCCATGGTTGACGTACTGGGAGAGGAGGGCAGCAAACTCCTGGTTGTTGAAGATCTTGAGAGAGCATCCTGGAGGGATCTTGCAGACCGTGGTCGGATGGAAGCCGTGCCGATGGTTGCAGTTGCGGCTCTGGACAAAGATACTGCTGTCACTGAGACACTCTGCGTAGACCTCACCTCCAACGTAGTACAGATGGACACCTGCAACATCAGGGACAAAACCAGATACACAGTCAGTTAATAACATACTGAAATAGGTTGTACATTGTCTTGGTATCTCTTGGATAAGGTCTCTTTGAAAGTGGCACAGTATATCCCCTCTACAGGAAAGTAACTGACTTACAAATCTTCTAAGGTTCTAAGCCAAACTGCAATAATGACGTCTGTATGCTTGACTAAACGATACTTGTTTCCCTAACACAAGAGGAGAATACTTTCTCAGCAGATTATGCATTAGCCTTTGACGTTGAATTTGGAACACTAAACACACAAGATACAGCACAGTAGGCTCTAAAAATTAAAGATGGTGCTGGATTTCCACTGCTAAGTGCATTGATCATTGGTTAACCATGAAATGTCCCAGATAAGTATCGACAATCTAGACAATCCAACCTACCTTTTCCGATGTGTCTCCTTGTATTCTCTATGGTGGAATTGCGGTTGACATTAGAGAGAAGACCCAGGCAGAAGCGATCATGGTTATTGGATGGATCGGTGAAGCCGTCCACGATGACGCTGGTTGTAGTAGCATGGAAGGGCTCCCCCACTCTGTTGTTGAGCTCGTAGTAAGCGATGGAACACCATGATTGGGGTTCTTGGTATGTGACGGGGGCTACATCACGACCTTCGACAGCTGGTAGGTAGAAAGCAAAAACAGAGAGAGAGAGAGAGAGAAATGTTATAATACATGTAAATTTTATCATGTTTCAACTTTCACATAGACTTATTCAATTGGAAACAATGCAGATCTTAAACCTTGAATTTGTTGTGATTGAAATGATACGTACATGTATCAAACCCTATGTTGTTAATGTACCGGTACATAAGGTTGGAGGTTGGAGGTGACATATTAATAATTCCTGCAAAGTTCTACAGAATTTGATGTTGGCTCCAAGACATTAGAGTTACATGCCCATACATTGTAGCTGCTGTTACTGAATACAATGTACATACATGTACACAGCACCCAACCAGACCTCATTAATATACTCTGCATGTTGCATCCAGTGTCAGTGCTCGATCACAAAGGAAATATCCTGGTAACCTGAGACAATCTAGCAAACATGAAGGAATCCATGAATCTCTTACCCAACCCTGAGGGTGCTATACAGGTACATATTGGTTTGGCAACCGGATAGACCAGACACAGTGCAATATCTTCCTTGTACACTACTTGTATGTAGTATAGCATACCGTGTACAGTTTGCTTGGTAGAGTCGGAGGTGTACATGTATAATTGCTCTTGTTGGATGGCTCTTTCTGTCATAATGGATATTTAACTCACAATGTCCCATAATCTTCATCTATGATTGCACTTTTATTTTATGAACCTATCATGTAGTATCTTAAATTTTTCAAAATGATTTGATTTTCCAATAGACCCCAACCAAAGTTATTATGGCCATCTTATTCAAATGCTGAATCTGCATTCTGTTATTGATTTTAAAATTCAAGATGGAAATATTTTAGACATTTTTTTCCCCCTGACAATGCACATGGGGATCATTCTTGATCGAAATGTAAACTCTCTAAAACGTCAGATTTATAGCTCATAATAACTCAACGTTTTCATTTATCTTTTCCCAAATATATCAATAATCATGCTCTAAGAATGCGGCACGATTCATCCATTTTCTTTGGTTGGGATTGGGGAGGTAGTTTTTACAACACTGTCATTATGTCAGAGGTTTAATGTTCTTTCTCCATCTAACTTCACTCCATGGACTACAGTCAACACAGACTGCAAACACAGAGCTGAAAGCCTCCAATGTAGGGACTGTTTGACTGGACATGTTTACCATGAGAAGTGGAAAGAAAGAGCTTACAATATCATACATGTACGTCACGTCAAGGACACTGACATTAACACCAACAATGTCATGATGCATAGCAAGTAATGTGTATGTCATTTTCATATCAAACAATATGAATAAACATATGGGATGTTACAAGGATATTCAATTTAATCACATGTCTTGTAAGTACAGGAAGGATATAGAGCACTTGATGATCAAGGACTAGTAGCAATTGAAACCAAGTACCAAGAAATATAAACAATTAGCAGTGTTTGGGCGGAAATCAGCATGGTAATAAAAACATGTGGCTAATGTCCATTTGGAAGGCTTTAAGTATACACATGTACGTGGCTACATACACACTCAATCAAAATAATCACAAGTGAGCATTTATCTTATTACTTATCCTGGTGTCTAGTTTCTTTTACAGTCACTAAGTTTAAACTAAGAAAATGCAAGCAATAAGTTGTGAGTACCTTCGGAATACCTTTAGATCCCTTTACAATATCAGTACTTTAATTTCATTATCTTTACGACAAGGCTCCTTTACACTTCCATGTGCAGAATTAAGTACTAATTCTATGTACATGTACTTGGACGATATCATACGTACAAGGATATCTTAGTTAACCTTTCCAATAAATGTTATTATATTTTATAATAACCATAAAGTCAGATGACATGTTCAAACCAGAGAATTATTCATAGCCCATATAACAATGCCCTACTCAAGCATATCACATGCTTGGTTCAATTTCAGTCTAGGAATGTTCACTTATTGGCAAGGTAGGGGGTCATGGCGATGGGGGGGGGGGGGGGGGGCACTCAACATCACCCCCTTAGACTGTCAATACCCGAAAGCCTATGTAAGAGGCAAATCAACACGCAGTCCAGGCATTGCTCCTCGTAAATAACCAGAGCCAGACAACACCTCGTGCCAACTGCTCTGCCAATCATCCCTCAATAACATTAGCCAAGGAGCCTGCCTGCCTGGTTAGAATTGTTTTGTCTGGAGGCACCTAGCCCCCATTCAGAACCCCACAAAACTATATGATACATATGATAACTCTGAATTAAACTATCATTGTATGAGTATTATACAAAACAAAGGTTTGGGCATAATTGTGAACAACAATTGCATTTTCGAAAACAAAAATTTCCATTTAATTGCCTTGTGAATGTTGAAAATGAGAACTGTCCAAAATACGCACTTCCCTCTAAAACATATACTTAGCTCATACAAAGTTTCTATATGAAAGTAATCTTCTTCACAATCTTTTCACTATAATGTAACGTATGTGTTTCTTAAATTTAGATGTTCCTTTATACCATTTCTCCTGTGTAAAAGGGCCTACATGTATGTACTGCAGGTGCAATGTTTTGGCATGCATCCATTACATGGGGAATAAATGTGTCAGCAATGTTTTAACAAGCTCTGTCGGGATCCCTTCATGACATGATTCATGCTTTAATTATCAACCTTTCAAAATAGTACAAGGAGCATCTCTTCAACGTGCCAGATTTCTCTTGAACAGCTGTGACAAAATAAAGACATAACACTTGTACTAATGAGTATGTACTAATGAATGGGTACTAATCAATGGGTAGACAACACTGAATAAATAAATGATTTTGTTATGGCAGGTTTCTAGCACTGGAACACAGTTTATAGTCTCTTCTCTTCTTGGGTAAAGAATCAGTGAATCCATTGACCTATACTGTGTAATGAAAATACTGTAAGCACATTGGTCAGTTAACTAGTAAAGCGCTTTATGAGAAACACAGCCAATATTCTTATGGAGTTGTTAGCTAGGAAAATAAATAAATTTTAATAAAAATATCATAAAATAATAATGTGCTAGTTTTCATGAGGTCCATTTCTTGATAATGTTTTTCTTTTGACGTGAAAATTTCATCTTCACTCCATCAAAAGATAAACCTATATAGTTATAAAATCACAGAGATTACTCCCCATTTCTGTTTGCTATTTTGTTACGATATCAAAGGATTGATATCTTGCAGCTAGTCTTGAGGTCAGGAAAGTGAAGATGTTTCAACGGAACATGACCGTCTGACAGGCTTCCTTCAGACATAACATCTTAACCTATGCATATATCATATTATCATCCTATCATAAACACCTTCATTTTTTAGCACCTTACCCACATACCTAATGGCCCGGTCCCACTGGCCGATGGACACAACACGTATGCATAAAGGACACAGCGGACGAGCAAAATTTCGCGAGTGGCTCCATCCATTTTCATCCGCTCCAGAAATGGACAAAATTTGCGAAAATTTGCGAAAACAGAACGGAAAATAACGGACATGGGTAGTATGTAGCGGGAATGTTAAACGGATGTTCATCGGAAGCCTAGCGAATGAAAGCGGATGGAAGTGGATGACAGCTTTGAAAACTTTATATACGAGATGCATACGCTTACATCCTTTCTATTTCCGTGCTACTAACGATGTACAGACGTTCCGTGTACCTTATCTTTCCTCCCTCTTTCCGTTTTCAGGTGTAGCGGATGTGAGTTGCGAGGATGCCCAGAGGATGCAGAGAGGATACAGCGGACGTTTAACGGATGATAACGGACATAGAACGTTTGTTGCTCGTATTTGTCGCGGATTTACATCGTACACGGCGGAAGTTCATCCGTTCTAAAAGTTTTGTGCAGCTCAAAACTTTTTGCGCGGATGAAATCACAGTGGACGGATGCTCGATGGATAGAGCGTATGAAACACGTATGCAATGAGTACACAACGGATGCATAGCGTTTTCCAACGGATGGCAAGATTTTGTTACGCTTTACATCCTCTTTGCATCCGTAAGTGCAGTGGGACCGGGCCTTTACATATTACTACCCGGTATTATTAATGTCTTCATCCTTAACACCTTACATACTTTAACACATTAACAACCTACATGTATACAATATACACCTTCACTGTTAAAATCTCACCTGCCTATTAACACCTTACCTAATTACTAAGAAACAGAATCAGCGCTCTGTATAGGCACATACCCATATGTTTCAATTGTCCCCTAAAAATGGTAATACGTGTTGAACTAGAACTTTACGAAGCAAGATTATATGGGCAATGGTTTGAAATTCTTTGAAAATAATTCCTCTTTTTTTTAATCTACACACATGTACTCATAAACATGGTTTGGGGTTTCTTTATACTGCAAGAAGAATGGTACAAACTGAATTGATCAGATGAAAGATCCCTGAACTTGATTTAAATTTGGAATGAAATTCGCTCTTGTGTGATACTAGCAGGAGAAGAAATGTAACTTAAAATCAATTTGAGGAACAACATCAAGCCAGGCAGGTACCAGACTTTTGAATATATATGAACCTGTCTATAGCCTGTAATCCAATGAAATGTCTAAATGTATTACTACATGACTAATCCTGCTACTTCCTAATTATTCAGATTGCAGGAACTTGAGGAAATAAAATGCTGTCACAAGTCTGAATACGGTACATGCATGTGTTCATACAGGCATGAAATTCCAAACTCCCGGAAAATATTAATTAGCTTTGCTTGCTTTTATGAGGGTGAGTCAGAGCGATAGAATGACCTATATAGACACACAATGGGATATAAAATGTTTCTCTGTGATTTTTGACGAGCAATTGATTGCCCTTCAAGAGTACATGACCATCCATATTCATCACAATTTCCTTTTTTTCTTAACTTAGAGGAATGCCTGCAAAATTATATGCAAAATCAATGAATTTAATCCGAAATACACCTGTTTACTAATTTCATGCATGTTTCATGAACAAAAGTTTCTCTTGGCAACTCAATTTGCTTTCTAGATGCTTGCCAGACATAGCAACAGTCAATGTTTTGAAAAGTGGATTGCATCTACACAGATGTCATATTCCATAGCGGACGAATTATATGTAATGAAGATTAAGGCTGCGATGGGTAGTCGAATGCTCGAGTACCCGCACGGTTGACAACTACCGTATTTGCCGGCGTATAGGCCGCAGTATTTTTGGAAGAGAAAATATCAAAAAGTCGGGGTGCGGCCTATGCGGCGAAAGAGTAAAAAAAGTTTTTTTTTTTTTTTTTTTTTTTTTTTTTTTTTTTTTTTTTTTTAGTTTCGATTTATGGCGCTATGCCTGGCAATGTCTCCCAGCTCAGTAATCAGTGTGTTGACTCACCACTCGGAAACTACAACAACACTAAAATTTGACTGTCATCTTGGTTTGAAAGTAATCTTTCTAATAGATCTCAATATGTAGTTTATAATAATAGTTCCTCAAATTTTTTTCTATAACAAATGGTGTACCACAAGGTACACCACTGGTACCATAGGTACTTTATTGTTTTTAATTCACATTAATGATCTTACACATTCTTCTAAAAACGACATTGTTACTATTATTTGTGACAAGTTTACAAGCACAAATCAGCGCCTTTAACTGCACCTCGATGTTAAATGAAGGTCCTTCCACGCGTCGGTTTTCGGCAGCAAAACAACAACAAAACAAAAAAAAAAATGATTTTTTTTTTTTTTTTTTTTTTTTTTTTTTGCTGCCGAAAACCGACGCGGTTGTCAAAATCGGGGGTGCGGCCTATGCGGGGGTGCGGCCTTTACGCCGGCAAATACGGTACTCGGGTACGATTTCTTGTACCCGAATATTCGGCCGCAAAAAAAAAAAAAAAAAAAAAAAAAAAAAAAATGTCCAGGCCGACGCTTACCCGTGCCAGGAAGAGCGGCGTCCGCTGGCATGGTACCGTCGGTAAAAATGTTTCCCAACTGAAGCACTGTCAAACTCACCTTTCAGAAACTGGGACCAAATGTCCAGATTTCTGTTTGGACTTGGAGGAAAATGGATTATTCTGCCATCTTTGGTTTTTAAAACAGCATTGTTTACTGTTATTATTCTTATTAAATCGGCGCCTTCAACTGCAACTCAAAGTAAAGTTGCATACGTTTTCAGTGAGGGACCTGAGAAACTGCCGAGTGGTATGGTAGTGGCAAAAAAATCAAAAAAAATCAAAAAATCAAAAAATCAAAAAAATCAAAAAAATCAAAAAAATCAAAAAAATTCAATAAAATTCAAAAAAATTCAAAAAAATTCAAAAAAATTATAAAAAAACATGGCGTCCGAATATTCGAGTATTCGCCTGTGAGCCTGGGAGTGTACTCAGGTACCTCATTACACTGTTGTGCACAGCCCTAATGTAGATAGTTTGTAACCAGTGGTTCTGGAGAGAAAATATTGAAATATGTTATTGGGTCTACTCTGAATCCTATATTTTCTCTACAAGATCCTGAGGTAAATCTCATTTGAAATTTAAATACTTTTAAAATACTAAAATCTTGAGTACTAGTTACGATTACATTCAAAAGAAACTAAGAAGCTGCAACAAATTTGCAACAAATATGGACACTTGTGTAAACTATGGATTTGTCTGACCTTGCCCTACATGTATAACATGCCCATAAAATTCAACTGCTTAGTGCTCTCAGTGTAGATGCCAGACACAGGGATGTAACAAAGCAAATTAAAAAAAAAATATACAGAGAGTAAAATGAAAATTCTTAACCAATATCACCTGTTTGCATTGAAATAAAACGGTGCCTTAGCTTAGGGCTCTGTACCAACACCCCATGTGTAGGTTTGTATTATGACTCACTGCTATGGAGAGAGAGAGAATCAACAACACCTAAAATAATAGGAATGGTGGGTGACCATGAACTCTAGATGAGAACAGACTGAGAATCAATACACCCATTCACACACACACACAAAATTGAGATTAGTACTACCATTCTATTCTCAATGATACAATGGTCATATTCATAAAAGCTACGTTAAACTCGGTTTAAATAGGCTTTTATGAATAGAGGATAAACTTTATTTTGAACAAATTATTGTAATTCTGTAAGAAAATGGGGGGGGGGGGGGGGGGGAATTCCATCATGAATTGAAATTGAAAAATTTGTTTTTGTGCATTTAATTGTATAAAAACTGGCTAATGTTTTTGTGTGTTCATACATACATTTAGGACATATGAACTTGATTTTCTTTCAAAACTTGCTTTTGTAGAAATGCTTGATAATTTATCAAGGTACAGGTGAAATTAATAAAAAAGGTACTATTATGGCAATTTGAATCATGATCAAAATGTTCACTATTAGTGAGATTATTTGGTTCACATTACACATAGAAGGGTTAGATTGTGATTTGTCTGTGTTGTGTGTGATTTGTCTGTGTTGTGTGTGAACTGCCCCACTGGTTGGGGATTGCTACAGGCCGGCAGGAAGGTACATTCTGTTTGAACATTATTTCACAGACATACATGTAGACTGTTTGCATGCTATGTACTCACAGACAGGCATTCTAAGAATGCAGAAAGGAAACTGAACATTATTAAAGGAAGGTGACCAAGTCTTCAAGGTGTGAATTTGTATTAACCTTATAATGTATTGTACGTGGTACTCAAAATAACTTTTTTAATGAAGTGAGATAAAACTAGTTGTAGGTCAAGCTGTGTGACATGGAGAAATACTGTATCTTTCAAACATCTCATTTCCTTAAGGCCTGGAACTAAAGCTAATTTTGATTGACTGATGGGTGATTACTTCTCCTGAATTGTTAAAGAAAGCAGTTGTTTATATGAAGAATACTTTGAAAAAAAGAGATCCCAATCATCACATTCTACGCAATGAATTATTCAAAGCTAATGCTCTTCTCCCTGACGTTCATGTCTTATAAATATTATTTTCAGACTGCTACATTGTGTTTCATTTTTACACAGAACATTGAGAACGTAAGTCAAAAGATTTACCATAAGATTCTTGTTCTTTACATGTATATGATCCAACATTAGTCAAATTATATAATAGAGCATCTTGCATCAGCCTATATCTTGTTTTTGTAGATAGGTAGAAGTAATTAAATTTGTATCCTACTACTTCTAAACAAGAGAGAATATCAAGTACTTCCTTGGTTGGCTGAACCAACACTGATCTTGGCCCTTATACCTTGTAGACTCTCTATCTACCTACCTACATGTAAACCCACGTGAGGGACTATCATATTTTGACAAAAATCCCATACAGGTAGTGGTGTGTTGACAGAGGATTTCCTGTCCTTCCGTCAAAGAGTTTATTTTGCACATCCTGAAGTAACACCCTAATGACCTCTCCTACCTTGCTGAGTGTATTATACCCATTATATCAACACAACAAACTAAGCTGGCTGGCTTGTATATAAACATCTTCTACCTAATCGATTAAAGTAACAAGTGCACCAAACCTAATTTTTTCCACCTGAATAACAAAAAAAAAAACATACCGTACTTAAATTGATGGGGTTCATATTTGAAGCATATTCAGAGTAGACCTTTTTTACATAATTTAAAATTCTTTGTATACATTGTGTAAATATAATTTTTTAATAGAATTTTTATTAAGGTAGTGAACTCAAAATGATAAGTCTGTTTTCTAGTACAATAAAAGATAATGTCATGAATTGTTGGCTCAGGGACGAATGCGATCTGTAATGTTTCTACCGTCAATATGGAGCGTTTTTAACTTATAATGTAAAAAGTAAAAAATGCATAGATGATTCAAAATTGTTTGATAAGATATATGATTCAAAATTGTTTGATAAGATATATGATCTCACATGACCTGAACGACTAAATGTTAATGAGATCGGTCCTTCTTCAGCAAGCATCCCAGGAAAGTGAGAAAAACATTTACTAATTTGGGGTTTTCCCTCAATCACAGCTGTTAATATTATGAACGTTAAAGGAAATAAATAATGCTAATGCCCTTAATATGAGACTATCGAGAACATTTCTTCAAAACAAGTGAGGAAAGAGTGTGTGAGAGAGAGAGAGAGACACCCACACACGCTGTACAGATAAGTGAAAGAAGAGGCAGAGAAGTAGGTGGGACTTTAAAGTATCAACGTCTATTTCTAGAAGATCACTGACCTGATGCTGACTTCGAATCTGTCTCATTGATTACTAACATTTGCACTTTCTGAAGGGCAATAGGATAGGACACTGCTCTAAACTTGGCACAAGTTCTCTATTAACATAATGCTTCCAAGAACCTCCCACCTACTAAATCTATTCTGTTTGCTAATCTAGTGTTTACCTCGAGTACATATGATACATTTTTATCTACCATTATTCTCCATTATCTACAATCAAAATGCAATTAATTCACTGTGCACGTAATTCATTGACATAGGAATGAACCATCCACCAGGCTTATTAATTGTTTTATAAATAATGTAAACTTTCAATGTATGAAGAGAAAGTCTGCACCAAGTTACCAACATAATCGTGAGTTTAGTAAAATGAGAAAAATGTGAAAAATTGACAATTCGATGAACCAGTGCTGCAGTCAAGTCTGACCTTAAGGTCATATTTTAGTGGCCTTGGCTTTGCACCGAGTCATATACATGTACAGGTACAAAACCAATGAAAGTTCGTTATTTGTCAGCAGCCTCGTGACTTGAAATGTCTGCCTAAACTACATTCCTGCAATGAACATTTGATAAAATCAGAATAAAAAGTTATTAGAGAGTTCTAGCATAGTGAAGATCTTTCAACAAATTAGCAACTCTTTGATTACTTTTGTTAGGTACTCCAGAAAGAAGAATATTTACCAAGGATTTGATTTGGTACCACACATGATGGGGGATTGGTATCCATAGGAGTTGAGCTGTTATCATTTTGGTTTGGACCTCCTTCATCAGGTGGCATGTATGCAGGAGGGGGCGTGTCAGCTGTAACATACAACAAAAACAAGAAATATACAAACATCAATAATATTCTACCAATTGTGCTTCCAAAGTATCTTTAATTGTATATTTTGTTGGTGTCATGTCATATACCGGTACTAGATGTTAATATATATTGTGATTATTTTCCTAGCGGGTAAGTTTACCATACATCTGCAACACATGTCTAAGAGATTGAATTGATATCCTTGCTTTCAATGCCACAAGAAGCAGTGGAACAAACTAACCTACTAGCATTTCATCTCAAATTTCATATTTTTGCAATACTCATTTTACACTTTGAGGATTAATAACGATGCATTCCTAGAAATATGTTCAACTATACAGGAAATATAGCTTGGTCCAGATGTCTATTTGTATGCTGATCAAGGTAAAGGTCTCCTTGGATTCTAAGACATGATAATGTGGTAATGTAGTCTAAGATTTCAAGGCTTCTAGCAGGTCTTACATTTAAGCTTGCCAATGTGGTATATATATTTGCCAATTTTGAATATTTTATCAAATTAACCTTGGGTTCAACTTCAAGCCAAGCATGCCTGTCCAGTAATTCATACGTGTAATCAGATTTCTTGTTAACAAATTAAAGGGTCTTTGTTCCTTAACTACATGTACTGTACATATATAGGAACAAACAGACGGCAGGAACGCAGCTTGTTGTGCTCACAAAAGGCCTGTCTTCACTAGCTCAAGATTGCCAAATATCCCGCTAATTGAACTATAACGATCGCAAACTATCCGGCTAATTTGCGTCTTCATCAGACCGAAGTAGCAATTAGCGGAATATTTGGTCGGGATTGTCATCCCAAGATATCTTGGGATAGTTTGCGAAATATCCCACTATTTGGCAAAATATCCAGCTATTTGTCCGGTGCATCTTCACCAGACCGAAGACTCGCACTATGCGCGAATGCTGAGCAAATATCTCAAGCTAATTTCTCAAGGTCGAGTTTCAAGTTTCGAGGTCGAATCTCGAGCTGATGAGGACGCGATTTGTAACTTCGGGATTATTTCCCAAATCAGAAATAGCGGGCTATTAGGCAATCTCGAGATGATGAAGACGCGCCTAAAGAAACATCTTGACTCGTGACTGGGACTCACTCATTAGACTAATGCCTCATTGATCTTGTTATTTTGGTAAGGGTCTTTACATTATCTCCTAATCCCTTACATTGCCACTCACAAGTGAGAGAGAGAGAAGGATTTGAAATTCGCTCATTATGGAAGCAGGCAGGGGCTGGGGTCTGTAGTCTTTGAAGGTGGCGTATCACTCATTCCTTTGAGTAGATCGAGAGTGACCTCGGTCTGGATTTATGGTTGTTTTAATTGGATGGGACAGTAATTAACAAGGTCCTCCTGTTACAAGATACATCTGGTTACAAGGAGATACTGGATAGGGAATGTGAGATATGATATCTTCACCTCGCTGTATTTCAGCAATTTAAATGGCATTTGATTCAACATACACTTGTTTCAACTGTACTGCTCTTATTGCACAAATAATTGGACATAAGACATGGGCAACGAGTTACATGTATAGGCATATACATAGGTACATTGCTTGTACAAGGTATGAAGCTGGCATAAAGGAAATCACAATGAATGCAAAATCAATTGCATTTGTACAATACATAATAGTGTAGAACAGAACCTCTGTTACACACTGAATCTAAATCTGAAAGGGAAAGTACAAAATCAGCGTTTCGTGCTACCCCCCCCCGCCACCCCCCCCCCCCCCCCCCCCGGGAGGTCAGCAGCAAATTGTCAAGGGGGAGAGGGGTGGACATCTGCAACATGCCCCCATTTCTCTGTTGCAATGTTGGGGTCCCAGTGCAAATTTTCAGGTGTTGTGTAATGTGTATGTGCTGGACCCCTGTTAGCATTAGTAAATGTTTAGTGTTTGATACGTACCAGGTAAGCCATAGGGGCTATTTGGGTTGGAGCTGGCAGGGGAAGGCTGGGGTTGTGAAGTCCCATGGGGTGAGCCAGGGTGAGTTGGTGGTGGTGGAGGAGGAGAGTTCTGCTGCTGAAAGCTCTGAGGATACGTAGCATTGTGTGGGTATGCTGGCTCTGGGAGACCGCGGTATGGCAGCAGACTGTGAGAGGGTATCGACTCGCTGTGGCGCGGCACAAGCACTGGAGGAAGAACTGTCAATGAAAAAGAAAAGAAAGAAAATTGCATGACATATCCTTCATTTTTTAAAAATAAAATATAAGTCCTGGAAAGTGAGTCAGAATGTGGAAATAGGAATGGAGAACATGAAACATTCATAAACTTACACGGTAAAAATGATATCTTATGAAATGTAAGGTCGCCATCATACATGTAAGTTTAAATTGTAGAAAAAAATAGGACAAAAACCTTTTTGAGCTACCGTACTAGAAAAAATCCACCCCCCCCCCCCAAAAAAAAAAAAAATCAAAAAAATCAGGGACTACCATGGATTAATTAAACATGCAAGTGCCACCAAAAAAGGATTGTTTGAAACTATCAATCAACTACAATACACTTGTACAGAAATACAATACACCTACACATACAAAGTACATTACCGGTATTTAAGTCGACAATTTCTAAAATATTGGAAGAGGTGTTCTACATGTATGCATCCTAATTAGCAGTATGCAGAAACAAGCACTAGAATGATGATGATTGATTCATAACCAGTTACGATCTTTATAAAAATCAGGAATAGTGAACATGGCTAAAATGGTTAGACAGAAGAAGTTTCACAGATCCCAATTAGCAGTGTCAGGGTTACATGTATTTCAGGACTGCAGGACTGAAACGCTGATGATTCACAACCAGGTGCCATAACCACAGTACCAGGGTACCCAGAAACCACACCAATGTTTTCATCTCTGCTTGATATAATCATAAGAGAAGCTAATCCAAATTGAATCATACAAACACTGTTTTTTTTTTTGGGGGGGGGGGGGGTTGAAACTAAAGTAGATGGGCCAAAGATAGGAAATATTGGGATATAAGGGTAAAAAAAAAATCTTCATGTATGACATTTTATAACCTGGGCTTTCTAAAAGTAGATTACTTCATCATGTCCTCATCTAGTATTTAACCCTTATATTCATGTTATAACTTGTAGACATTACAGACTAATTAACTGATTTATTTTTGATGCAGTGAACTACTCTACAAGTTAAAATTTACGTTCACACAACTATGTACAAGTACACTGTACACATCTCCATGCCCAATGTTTCCTTTATGAAATTCACTTTGTCCAAAAGACTCCAAATACATGTAAAGTTTATTGTTCTAATCTACAGATTGTACCTTACAAATGGACAGTAGTTTTGCACCCACCAACTTTCTAAAATACATTTGTGTATATACATGTACATGTACAATGTATAACGAAGTAGAATAAAGCAGGAAGTACATGTACTGTATGTACATGACATACCGTCATGTTTTGACATACACGTGTGAACTCAATTTGATTATGTTTGAAAGCAGAACCAGACAGATGACCTATAGTCCCATCATCTCTCTCCTACTACACAGTGAATGGGGTCAGTTTACACACAAGACAGACAAACAATGACCAACTGGGACATGGTAGGTTCAGCTCAGGTCAATCAAGACTTGTTTACTTGCTTCTCAATTCCCTATGCAGTGATTGATTACTACAAATGTACTGCTCTACGTGATCACGATTAAGCTACATGTACTGTACATGTAAATCTCTGCTTATTTTGAGAATATATTGTATGGGATGGGGAAGAAAAAAAAAGTCCTCTAAAGTACACTATTTTCCTTTATTTTTCTCACCCTGAACATAGCGGCATAAATGTACATGTACATTGTACATGTATGCAGGTCATATCCTCCTTTCCACGTTTGATTTTTTTAAACATTGATAAAGAGTTACTTGAGTAACTATTTGATATCTTTTTTTTTACATTTACATTAATGTTAACTGAAATAATACCTTTCTCTATTTTTCCCCAGAGCTCCAGAGTAATATCTTGGCTCTTTTGCTCTGATGCATTTTCCTTTTTCACTTTCTAATACAAACTCCCTTTTCTCTCTCTCTAACTTCTGCTTTCTGTATTACCTCTGCAAAATCATGTTGCAACACGCTAGAGTCTAAATGCATGCATGGGTCAGACACTCAGACTATTTTTAAACAAAGGATGATTATGTCTAGGACCAGCCCTCCCTCTTCCACCCTAACGGTACCATATGATAAGCTGTAGACAGATGCAATTGTGTAGCCATGAGTTTGCAATGCCATGTACATGTATGTACACACTTCTACATGCACCAACCATGACCTTATTCCTATTCAACCCTGGCTGAACAAATCAAGCTAGGAATTCCTACCACACTTGTCATGTTGCCCATACCACTAATGCAATTTACAGATTTTTTTTCGCCAGCTTTTTCTCTACATTTTTATTGAGCATTGACAGAGGCAGACCTCCTCTTTTCGCCACTTTTACATTTTACATGTAACTACAGTTGTGTATATATCCGACATAACCATAGCTACCGTACATGCATGCTGTCATGTATATACATCTAGATTGCAAACTGTATCAACCATAGCCCCTGTACCTCCTTGATCACGCATCATCTCTGGTATAAGGGGTTGTCTTTATTTTCATTCCATAAATAAAATGACCATCATTAATTGATTTCATTGGCCATGTAAATGTACAGTAACTATGAAGTGTTTGTACAGTGTACATGTATGTGTACCGGTATAGGTAAAAGCTTCAAATTACTGTAAAAAGCTGAACTGTAAATTTTTCATGTAAAGACAGATGGCATTGAAAACTTTAAGAGCAGTGCAGAAATAAAATTATGCCTCAAAATAACTCTAGTGCTGAGGGTAGTATAATTAAAGAAAAATTCCATCAGACATACTGCAGCTGTAATTCAATTTGTGTATTATAATCATATACGTCTTACTGTGCATCATCCACTTATTAACATGTCCCAAGAGAAAATGCTTAGGGTGTGAGAAAGAGCTAACAAGCAATCAAATGAGTGGGACTATTGGTGGGCATAGTGCACAGCAAACATGCCTGATCCATCCAGCATCGTCATGGCAAGTGCCCATATTAACATTTTTATTAGGGCAGATGCCATGTGTTTGCATGGCGTCTCTGCCGGCACATTATGCCGGCAACACACTGCGAAATCAAGGCATGGATTTGCAGGCTAAGGCAGGAATAAGAGAGGACAGAGGGGTTTCCTAATTCAATCAAACATTTCCATGGTGCAGCAGTGTTTAGCTTGATCTGGCTTAGCTAGCTAGCTAGATAGCCAGCAAGGCAGCTAGGCACTAGGCAGGCAGTGCAGCGCAGGTAGCCTGGGGGCAATGATGAGCTGTCACTAGTCAGCAGGGAGAAGAAACCTATCTACATCAACAAAACGTGACTGTGGCATGGTATACCCAATGGAAAGACAACTACTTCACTGAAAAATGATAGAAAGAAATATTTAATCATTTTGTGTTTGTACGGTGCAAAGTTTCTACTGTCATAGTTAATATGTGTAAAGACAAAATTATTGAAGATTTAGAAAAAGTGAGAGATATACTGTATTAGTATATTCAGAGGGATGGAAACAGAGGGAGAGAGAGAGAGGGAGAGAGAGAGAGAGAGAGAGAGAGAGAGAGAGAGAGAGAGAGAGAGGAGGGGGGGGGGGAATAATGCAATATACCTGTATATTTTGACTATATTTTGCAAAGACAGATTACATAAATTTCATATGATAGGGGATAATTTCATGGTCCTCTATGAAGATGATTTGGGAATAGAAGCTTTCCATTAGAAAAGAAAGTAACATATTTTTAATTTTAACACAACACAAGCACCCACAGAGAAATGGGAGACAGTCCTACAGAATTGAGGAATGAAGGAAAGGGGGAGAGAAAGAGAGAGAAAGAGAGAGAGAGAAAGGATGAGAGAGTGGTGATATGAGATGATGAGATGGTATGAGTCATTTTAGGCTTGAGGATTGGTTTTCACTCAGTGGGATTCACACAGTCTTGGTAGATGAGCACTAGCTGCATGTTAGCACACCTGTCTTAAGATACTGCTTGCCACTCAGTCACAATACGTACATGTATACATTCAACATATGCCCCATGGGTATTATGCAAATATATACTGTAAATACATACCTACATGTATGTGTATTTTCAATGGCTATACATGTGTACAAGGAAGGAATAGGCCTCAATCTGACTAGTTTTTTTTCTCCATTTCTTACCACATGTCCATTATTTTTACATGAATCTATGAGGCACTCTATAATTTCATCATAAACATGCCATGTCTCTGGTTTCACTGTAACACTTGTACCATGGGCATATCTTTTTTAAGTTTTAGAATCTAGAATTCTAATAAAGATTATTCTGGTAATTGTTTTTTGTTATTTTCAACTACAGGTAAAACAAGTTTTAATTCTATCTGTGCATATCTACATGTACATGTTTAGTAAATCTCAATACTCTTGAAGTCCTTCATTTTATTCAAAATTTTAAATGATCAGGAAAGGAGAGAATAAAAATCAAATAGAGGCCAGTCATGAAGATTATTCCTAAAGCTGACAAGCCTGACATAGAATGTAACTGTATGTTGCACTTCATGATTATAAAGTATTGGCCTATAGATGTAGGCCTACCTTGAATTTAAACATTTGTTCATGTACATGTATGAACTGTGGTCATATTTCTTTGACAGGGCCATTTTTCTGTATTGTACTTGTAGGATACTAGGATTTACATGTCTTGGTAGTCAAAACAACCAGTACCCCGCATGTACACTCAATTAAAGGTCACTTTATAAATGCCTGTACTTCAGCATCTGAAAGAGAAACTGCTTGCTTGCTACAGATTAACCTGGCAACAAAAAGCACACTTGATACCCATATAAGAACTAAGATCTACTGGTTTTCGTTGAATGAGATCAAGAATACTACCACAGCATATCAACATACAAAGTACAATGCCCCACTTAACCCCTAGCCTTTGTTTTCTTCTCTACATCACCCACCCACTCAGGGTGCTTTCAGTTCATATAGCCTTCTGTCTGGAGGAATAGGTAGGCTTCTATTGTTTCCTGGAAGCCCTGAGTTGTTGTGCACTCAACTGTATCACATGCACACACCCATTAATAAAGATTTTATAGGCAACACATACATTTATGTACACTCATGAGGTAATAACTTCTTACTTTCTAAGGGGGTTGAGACCTGAGACTCCGATCAATAATAAAGGTGTTTTGACAAAGTGTAGGTGGAAAACTTGTAATTGTAAGAAGGTCGTCTTTTCTTGGAAAGAAAATGACGCCATGCTAAATGATCTTTTTCCACAAGGTGAAATTCTTTGGAACAAATTATGTGGAAGATCGATTGAATGAAATAATTCTTATTGACAGAGCAGGAAGAAGTCTTTGTTTGGAGACTGAATGCTGTTCTGATATTGATTCCTGTTTATATTCTATTCATTGCTCCACCATTAATCATCCACTGCCTGTATGGACCAACAAGAGAAAGGTGTGAAAAGCACTTGCTCTCAACTGAAAGTAGAAATGCAACAAATGTATTCATCTATGACTCATACATATGCCCACTGCCAGGTGGCAAATAAGCAGTGGAGAAATTCAGCTGGCAATTTTTTCATTAACATTCCATCAAAACTCTATTACATGTACATGTACATGTATGTACATGTTTGTCTGTGTGTGTGGGTCATGATTAGTTTATGAAATATATAGTTTTGAAGCAAGATAGAAAATACATTATTTCATTACAAAATACATTGAAAGATGCCGAGATGTAATTTTGCCTTAACACACAATACATTTTATATTGCTGATATTCAAGCCTTTTATTAAGTCAAAGCAGACCGGGAGCCAAATATCTGAAAAAGCGGCTCCCGGTCCTTATTTTTTTTAGAGAACCGGGAGCCGTTTTCCAGGACCAGGAGCCGTTTCGAGAATTGATGAAAATATGTACCGTTTTCTTTTAAATTATTTGTTAAACGTTACCTTTTATTTATACATACGGTAGTTTAATTTCTAGTTTAAATTTTGAGCACTCTAATATTAAATCACTCATACCTTAGATAAATCTGTCATTTGTAGTTGTTGTAGTTCATGTTTGATACTATTTTCATGCCGTTAAATGTCAAAAATTTAAAAATGTTGGGAAGGGGGAATTAAATTATTTCTATAAAAAAAATATTTAAGAAAAACCAGATCTATAATGACAATGCAGAGCTTCCAACCTGTCGCTTTCAAAAAAACATATTATTCAGCTTGAAAAAACATATTTTAGGTGAAAAAAAAAGATTATGCCTGTTTTACGTTTTTTTATTATTTTCCCTATAAAATGCTATTGCATTCATGTTTCTTTGAATAAAAACGCATTTAATCATTGAGAACGACCGATCTGTCACTTAAAAAAAAAATAAATAAATAAATAAAAAAATAATAATAATATAATAATAATTAGAAAATTAAAAAAAAAAGATTTGTTAAATATTTTTATCTATTTTATCAGAAAAGTCCATTATTCAAAACATCACAGAATTTTAGTCAATGAGTACGAGGGCCGCTGAATCAAGGCAAGTCTGGAGTTGCAATCAACTTTGTACATAAAGTCAATGCATCAGCAGATCCGGTGTTTTGATTTTCATTTGCTTTTTTGAAGATACCATTACATTCGAAGGGCATGCGATAGGCAAAAAAAATGGTAACAAAATCGCTGATTTCTTGATTTTTAGCGCTATTTTGATGAAACTGTTTCTTAAAACTGAGCTTAACCCCCGTGAGCTTTGGAAATATGGCTCCGATTCCGCATTTTTGACAGCAAAATTTGGCTTTTCGGATGGATTTTTGGAAGTTACATCGAGACTTTCTTGTACTGACACTGTGTGTGTACTGCAGTACAGCACTGATGTCATTTGTGTGTGTATGCATGGCCTGGGCTGGGGAAATGCGCTCGTCTTTGAGTGGTGTACATCCCCTGTATTGTGTGCTCCGTTCTCCGCTAGGAGTAGGAAATAGCGGCCGCTCGTATTCGTGCTGCAATTGTTTCTGGGCGATTTTAATTAGGATTCTCATTATAATGATTTGTTAGGGTTCATTCAGTCCACGTTTAACTTGTATCAAGTAAGTTTTTGTCACATTTGTGAACATTTAGTGCTAGACATGTGGAAGTTTATGAAACAGAAAATGTTAATTCTCCCAGACCGGGCGCCAGAAATAAAAAATGACCGGCGCCCGGTACTCATTTTCCCCGTCTTACCGGGCGCCAAAAGTCAGGGACCGTAGGGTAAAAATCGCCCGGCGCCCGGTTAATAAAAGGCTTGCTGATATTACTAATCTGTGCCATAGATTTTTACGTTATCAAAGATTGTAATTTTTTTTATTAAACCAGCATATTAAAGATGGTATCACTTTCATTTCACACATGATGTGTTGGAAGGACCATGATGAATTCATGTCTTTAAGGGTTGGTTTTTGACACTTGGTGATAGCTGAAAAAAAAACAACTGAGAAATGACCATGATTGAGCGATGACTAATGTCAATGAATCACCGGCTCGTAATAGGTCATTTATGTTCAAATATATGCCTATAAATACCGTCCACAAACACACTCGTCTTAGTATTGATCAAAATCTAGCAAAGGAAACTATTGAAACATAATCCTGAGTTAGACTATACATGTTTGTACACTACATGAGCATGTTGTGGTTTGAAGTTCCAAGAATTTAGATACCTACATGTAGCTCCAACAGAGAACAGCGAATTGTTTTGGTATCTTCAGAAATACCCCACTGTGCTAAAAGTGAGCTTATAACCTATGAACAATACCATGAAGGCATGATGATCATGATGAGTGGTGTACATGTATTACCTACAAGTACAATGTTGTATACATGTACAGTACATGGTAAAAGTAAAATGTATGCATTGATTAAAACTGAAGTAAAAACAAACAAACAAAATAAGGTATACAGTGTGTAAATATCCCACCGAGAAAATATATTAGACACATAATAACAAATATTAAAACCTTAACAAAAAAAGACTGCAAGTAGGGCTCCACACAAATTTCTTTTTGGAACAGAGTCAGGATTAAACTTTTTAAAATCTGAAATTTTTGTAACAACTTTGAAAATCTTGGGGATCCAGTCTAAGATTTTGGGCCCCCAATGTTTCCTGGGTTAGTGTTGAACCCTGTAAAATGTAATCCTATGAAAGAAATAAACACAAAAATAACATAATAGGAGGACAGATTATTTTTAATGTTTCGAAGATGAAGCATTCTGTGTACAAAACCTGTTTACAAAACATAGCATTTTTGAGTTGTGATGTAAGATAGAATGCAATGAAAATGTATTACATACCTGGACTTTCAACTCTCTTGTAGTGGTAGGGGTTAATGCACACCTCTTTTTGTTTTTTACCAAAGGCATAATCACAACAGTCCAATGCTTTGAGTTCATGATGGCTCTGTAGATCTGGCCAACGCCAAACCCTGCAATATATAACATGGGGAAGTCCTTTCCTATGTGACACCTGTAACCTGCCATCCAACGACCTGGGGATGGTCACGCACTTGCTGAGTTCTCCGGGACGCGAGAGAGCTCGCTCCAACTCCTCCATGGCGCCTTTCTTCTTTTTGAGTTTCTTGACGAGAGAGTCGACGGCCTTCTCGGCCCATTTCTCTTCTTCATCTCCCTGCTTCCAGCCCAGTAGCCGCTTCACCACTGGGCTGGTAAAGGAGAAGAGGCTAGCCATCGTCATCGTAAAGCAAGCGTCCCTTGGAGGTGGCGTGCTAGTAGAAGCTCTCTTTTAAATGCCGATGTTGCTCCTACTGCACACTGGCTAAGGGCACACGGTCGTCCAGAAGGGATAGTGACTGATTAAGAGATGAGTCAATACTGACTTGTTATCCTCTCTGATTCTAGATCTCTCGACTTGTTGAAGAGAGCCTGCCCAGCACCTAGGTGAAGGAAGAAAACAAATCAAAAGGAAAATGACAATGAATCATGATGATACACTTTCCAACTCAATAGAGTTCAATACCTGAGTATATGACAGTGCTGTCACAATATTGTTAAGGCAGCAAACAATACACAAAGATGTTTTAAAAACAAAAACATCAACGGTACACACAAACTTTTCTCAGCATAGTCTAATATATGTCTGTCATGGACCTGTCAGGTTATTGATCATTAAAGCAGTGGTCATTTCCGTTACAGACCTTCAAAGAAAATCAGCTGTAAAAGTTCCAGGCGCTATATTTTCAGGAGAAGAACTGATTGAATTAGCAGGCTGCAAATTGGTACACAGTGATTTAAGTACAAGCATGAGAGAGAGGGCCCTACTCACAATGAGCGATGCTCTCCCAACCTGAATGAATGAATGAATGAAAGATTGATAAGGTCAAAGACCCATACATGTACCGGTAGTACAGAGTGTTCTCTTTATGTACAGTAAATCAACTGGATTTGAGGGAGGGCTGCTCAGAATTTAAAAATCATCTTTCCATTTTTGGGGGGCAACTAATAAATGAGGGATAAAATAACATTTGACCACAAAAATCTATCTTCCCTTCAAAACTAGGTCACTTATAGTCTTACATACAATGTATGATGATTTTTATTAAATTTGGGTCATGCTTTCGCCCTCTTATATTATTTTTTTATTGCATATTTGGAGTTGCTTTCTTGATATGAGGCTAGATTTCCTTCACCACTATGAATGGTTCATTTTGAGGTCTTGCCATAGTTTTTTTTCCTCCTCCTTAGTGAACATATTCAAACAAGCATCGGCCATCCCATTATTGGGGCACTAAGTAAGTTATGGATAGCAATAGCAAATTATAAAAGGTTAGAAAAGAAAAGAGTCATAGATTTTTAAAAGTTTACATTTTAGTCATTTTGTGTGCCGGAACAATGTGAAGGTCATCGTATTGACTTTAATGATTCAGTCCATATGAAGTGCCCATACATTTCATGATAACAATTTTGAAAAATTATAACTTTCATATTTTTTTTTTCGATTTTGGTTTAAAATTTAACCAGTTTGCTTCTTTAGACTTTAATTTTGTTTCCGCTTTCTTTTAGAGTACATGTAGTTTGCTATTTATAGCTTTGGATTCCCTTTTAACAGGAATTAATCTCCTTAGTCGGTGGTATTTCTGACTTCCTTTGATTCTGTACTTTAATATTTGTTGCCTGGAAATAAAAAAAATTAAGAAAATAAACATTGAAAAAATAAAAATGAATGAAATCAAGATAAAGTATATCACAGAAAAAGGAACCAACTTATTTAGTGGGTTTGCATGCACATGCACTTGCATACAAAGTCTATGGGAGGAAGGCACTAAAAATAAAGCAATGCATTAGACAAGATAGTTAAAATAATAGTTATGTATTTTGTTTACCTGAGGTAGCCTCATCAGTACTAATGGAACACTTCCTGTAATTATTACCAACCAATCGCCAGGTACGTATTTACACCTGGGTGGAGTGTGGAAAATGCTGATTAACATCTTGCCAATAGACGTGATCATCGGGCTGGGATTCAAACCCTCAAAACTGGCCTAGGATTGAGAGTTGAATGAATGAACCACTATACCAAGATATCTCAACAAATTGCTTCACTTCAGAAATCAGTCTAAAATTACAGAAGTCCTTGTGCGGAGGAAAGAGTAGTTGCCTAAATATTTGAAATAGGGTCTAAGACCGATATAGATCTAACTTAGGCCTAGCTGAATATGACTACTTTTTAGACTATAGCTAATGGGGTATGAAGTATTTAAACAAACATCCAGTCAAGTGTAAGTTAAGCTAATCGAGCAAAATGCTTTCATATCAAAACATGCAAGCACAAACTTTAAAATATTGATATGGTCCAGTCTAGGAATGGATTGAAAAGTTGTTTGAGACTTGCGTTATGACATTCAATAGTGTCAGCCAAGGAACAGAGGTAATAATTGGCATATCCCACTACTCTAGTATTAGACTAGTAAAATGATCTAGTTTTTTTCTTTTATTCATGCAACCCACTGGATATAATATGGGGTTTTATGCGAGGAATCAATTTACATTTTGATCATGCTGTTATTCACTGGCTCTTGTTATGAATAGCGGCGCAGCGATGTCTACGGCGCCGTATTTCCCCGCTGCCACACACACTACATACAGAGGGCAAAATAACCAACACACCACACAGTAGCTTACATGCAGTCTTCGGTGTTCAAGCCGCAAAACACGATCAGAAACTCTTTAAATCTTGTAAATTTCTTACCTTAATCAACAGTTATCAACTCAGGATGGACGCTGAGGAAACTACGTATTGCCTTCTCGGTTCATTCGCTTGTGTACGGTGTTAAAATCCTCCCCATTCATAAATGAAACCACTCGATTTGCAGTGAATCGCGCGGATTACATTCCACGCCGATTTTCTGCGGGCGAAAAACCCATTTCGCTTGTACACAAAATTTGGCGACAGCTAGACTACTGTAATGTGTATACAACAGGCATTGAGATATTCATCCGCGCTTTCTGATTCATCAATTATCGCATTTTCGTAGAAAAAGTAAACAATAATCTCAATATTAATCTAAATAGACTGCCCTAACTATATATGATATGTTATTCAGGTTGTTTTTCAATATTGCATTAACATGAATGTTAGGGGATAAAGATCATGAACTCGCTCTTTGCGGTCAACGGAGATGGGTAGTGCTGTGGCCGTAATACACATAGGGTAATACGTGACGTAAGCTTTTCCGGCGACAGTGAGTCGGAGTCGCACTCCCGTACAAACACTGGGGTATCGTACGGAGACCACCCCGCTGGGACTCCCGAGTAATCCTTGGTGCATACTACCACTACTAAGAAAACCACACCATCACTTAAATTATCTACTTCGTGAAATAAATTGTGGACAGAGAAAGGAAGAAGACGTGTTCAGAATGAACCCAATTTTAGTGTGATGATTGTTTGAATGTTATACAAATGCACATTATTACCAAGTTGTAAATTATAAGATCATGATGCCAACTAGTGCATCCCCCGGGTGCATCCTTCTGGGGCTATATAGCTACGCACTTTTGTCTCTTTCCGAATTACTGTCACTTTTTTAATATAAACTAGCTTTATTTGTTTTTTGTTTTGTTTTGTAATGTGACTGCCAGACACATCCGAAGCATTATTATTACCAAGGCATTGTCATAATTTAATTTTGTTACCTAGGCATACTGGATCAAAGTCAACCAAGGAAGGGGAGGGGGGGGGGGTGGGGTGCCTCAATTCGGTCTCTTGTGTCAGGTCTCTATAAATTTCTCAATAGATACTACACAAGTTAATGGGAGTGCAATGTTTTCAATTCAAACCTCTTACAAGTCCCCCAACCCACCCCGTAACAACTGGGGGGGGGGGGGGGGCAAACGGCCTTGACCAATTAAAGACAAAAAAGGGAAAAATCTAAAGTGCCCTGGGAACATGCTGCTAAACATGACACGGCTACGAAAGGAAAAGCTAAAGAAATAATAACATACAAATCTATGGAGACAAATTAATCCTTTATATTGGTGATGCCAGTAGGCCTATAATATTAATATGCGTTGTAATTTAGGTGGCGCCCTTTACACATTCACCATGCTACAGAGATTCAGACACTTTTTTTTAAATATTGGGATGTATAATATTGGCTTTACAGTGAGTTGCTCTAAAAAGTCGTTTTGATACGATAGGTAAATTTGTATTCTTTTAGTGATGCAATAATTGTATAGAATAGTATACAAGTTGACATCTCTCTTACTTTCTTTATCAGTCTCTCCGTTCTCTCTCTCTCTCTCTTCTCTCTCTCTCTTTTCTCTCTCTCTCTCTCTCTCTCTCTCTCTCTCTCTCTCTCCCTCTCTTTCTCTCTCACACTTATATTTTTCCTCTTTCTCATCCTCAACCCTCTTACCCCTAGTATAAGTAGAACTATACAAAATATTTCCAAGGGCCTATACAGAGTTCCCCGGCTATGATAACCAACATTGAGTGAGCAAGGGTTATCGTCCAAAAGTTTCAATTAGGCCTAATCTTCAGAATGGAAATTAAGTGGGAGGGGTCGTTGCCATGTATCAATTGAAATATGAAATAAAATACTGCACAATTTTACATACTAAAACGCATTATTAAGTGAGGGGAAACTGCCTGACCTACGCCATGCACTGGCTGGGCGTAAGCCTCCCATGAATGCGTCCCCCCCCCCCCCCCTCCACCCCAACCCCCAACCCCAACCCGAAAACCTTGCACTAACTCCAAACTTAGCTCTAAAATCTAAACATATTACTTAGCTTAACATTCGGAACCAACATCATTCAAACACTCTTTATTGCCATGATACGACAGAGTACTAAAATAGAGACGCCCCTGTAACAAAAATAATAAAGAGAGATAGAAAGAGAAAGTAAGAGAGAGAGAGAGAGAGAGAGAGAGAGAGAGAGAGAGAGAGAGAGAGAGAGAGAGAGAGAGAGAGGTAATATTACAGGCTCAGGAAAGAGGGGAACGGATGAGCAATTCATGTACAATGAATAATTATGATTAGAATTTGAACAATGATTTTTGATGATAAGTCGAACGACCTTCTTTATACAAAACCAGATTGGAGTTTAGAGCCGGGTTTTCCGTTCATCAACCAATTAAAATAGTAATAACTGAAATATGCTTATCATATACACGTCGACAGCATGGACATAATATAGAATAAGAGAACGTTAGAAAATCACCTCCATTTTCATATCTATGTGCTGTTTATTAGTAGGCCTAACAATAATACATGTTTGCGAAACATCAATTCGCTTATCTATATAAGCCTATATTATATACCAACTTGGTGAATTTTCGACAAGAAAGCACTAATGTTCAATGCGAAATTGATTACTGTCTGTCTGTCGGGGACCCCACTGGAAATAAGCTCTCGAGCTTCTGTGGGTTATCCTGTTCAAGCTGACTTAATTTTTGATCTGTTATTCTTGTATGTTGTTGTATGTTGGAAGCTTGGCGAATAAAAATCAATCGATCAATCAAATTAAATTGACTGAGTTTGTAGATCAGTCAGAAGCATATCATCACAAAAAGTGAAAACCTCACTATCACTAAGACTTTAGCTTCGGCCATCACTTACTGAAAATGAATGTCTGAACATGACGGTGGCGAATGTAATCTGAACGTTATTTCTCTTGGATATACAACGAGGTAATGAAATTATTTGCGACATTTATGTATTTAGCATTCATATCAATGCTGCAGTAAATATACCATCGTCCAAAATATGAAGTTCAAATCGGTCCCTTTAACTTCTAATCGACTATGACACGATTGCAACCCGAGGCGTAACAACATCGCATCACCATCATCTTCGTCATCATTCACACACACTTAAAGCATTAGTCTAATTGACATACATTATTAATTAGATGGCTAGATTGAGTGCGTGGTGGTGAAGTGTCGTCGTTTTCATGGTTTATTTATTATTTTATTTAACCATTGATTGTAACTACAAATGTAATCAATAATGTAACTTTTTTTTTTGGGGGGGGGGTGGGGGGTGGGGGTTTATGAGTTTTTTTTATTATTTTATAACGTTTCATATAAAACATTAATTGACTGATTCGAGGAAAACAACAGGAATACAAACATGCCGAGCACATGAGTTGTTTTGTGTTGCTTTTAAAAGTTAGTGACATGCATGAACAACAGGTCGATTTCTTTGTATGGCATGCAGTAAAGTTGCCAAGATTGTCTTGGCACCTATTTTCATGGTTGACAAAATTTCACCATTTTCCTAGTATTTATTATATTGACGTAATTTGACAACCTCCTTTTTCGATTGCTCGATTACTTCCGCTATGTAATCTGTATTTATACGTTCTTTTGTTGTTGAAACTATATACAAAGTAATCGGATTTGGAAGTTTCAAAGTTTGGAACGACCAACAAGGAATATGAGGGAATTAAGTTGGAAGAATGATTTTTTTTTTCAATCATGTAATTTGGATAAATTTGGATACAGACGCAGCGTATCGTTTTCCAAAGGGGGGGGGGGGGGGGGGGGGGGGGGGGTCATCGCCTAAATAATCATAATAATGATGATAATAATAATAATAATAATGATAAGAATAATAATAATAATAATAATAATGATGATAATGATAATAAATATGATAATAATAATGATTATAATAATAACAATAATAAAAATGATGATAATAATATTTATAGTTATAACAATAATAGTACATGTAATAATAATAATAAACAACGCGAACGCCCCACCTCCCCCCCCCCCATTTAAAAAAAAAAGAAGAAGAAGAAGAAGAAAAAGTAGAAAAGAAAGAAGGGAAATGATACAAAGAAAAGAAAAGAAAAGTAAGGAAAGAAATGAAAAGAAAAGGAAAGAAAATAAAAATTAAAGACAATAAACCAAACATTCAGCCCAATTATGATGATCTTTATGGCACTTGATTGACGTGAAAGCAGATTATGAAGTGTGAGGAGCGATTATCAGTTTAATAAAGTTTTGAGGTTTCTTCGAATATAATAGGTCGTGCCAGAAACATGGGAGGAGAGAATAAAAACATCCACTCATGTTTCCTGGCATCATTCAAAACAGACTTTCCATGTTGTGCTATACTTCCGAGTTTAAACACACACGGGAGGATGACTTTATTCATGCAAGAATGAAGTGACAAAAGGTGGTATGTCCACTTCTCAATAAATCGAATTACTTGAACAGATTATCAACAAGAGAAAACCCGAATCGTTAAAAAAAATATTACACTGTCTCAGGATTCTATTGGTTTGAAGGACAACAATCCTCTGGACTACCATTCCGAACTATATATTACATTAAGGACAAACATTGTCATATACCTCTTGATAATTACGCCCATGCTTTTTTTGTCTGAGGGGATATCGTCCACGGGATATACTTGTCCGTGGTACTTGTCCAAGGGATAGTAATGTTGTCAGAGATACTTGTCCTGATCTTGTTTACAGCATAACGACTAAAGGCGGATTAGTTGGAAATGTTCTACCGATCTCACAGCTATCTGTAAAATGCATAAAAAATCATGATAATTCCCCAATTTTGCAACTTGTGGTTCCCTTTCTGTTATTGTATTCACAAACCGACAACGTAAGCAGTGTCTGACAGCCTTTGTCAGTTTGAAGTTGTTTTCACTTACATAATAAATACGACTAAACAATGAAGTGATTTAATGTATGGATTTAAATAAAATAAAAAAATATGCTATAGGATAGAAATCAGATAAGGTATATCAAATATTTAGATTTTATTACATACAAAAAAACTTGGCCGTCGACACCCAGAACTCAAGGAAAAGTAACGAGAACTCAATAAAATTCATAACTTTCTGTCTCTTTATCATTTTTTGATATGATACCTTTTGAAATTACAGCACGTAGATCAAAACTCGCACGCAATTTGTGACATTCTTACAGTTAATTTGTATCAAAGGCTTAGGCTCGAAGAAAATACAAGTAAAATATTGACTTTCAAGGGAATAAGGGAAGTTCCCTCATGAAATTCCTCCCACGCAATTCGTCGAGGAAAACATGAGAAAATGCTGAACTCTTCAGTAATTGTGTCATGATAATTTTTCCCCAATGATATTCACTGGAAAAATAGAAGCTTAAACCGTGATTTTTCCAAGACTTCTGAAAACAGACAATTTCTAATCTAACAAAATTATTCCATTACGCACAATTTTTTTTCACTGAGATTTGCCAATGGAAAAATCATTCATTAATTTCAAGATTTAGTACGTTTCCAAAGTTTGATTCTATAGAGTCATTGGTTCACACCGATTCACAAGCAACCATTCCATGCAATTATAACCACCTCTCCTCCTGTCCTCCATCTTTTATTAATCATCCAATATCATCTCATTGTCCTTCTTTCCACTTATTCATCTGTACCCCTCCATCTTTCATAGTTATCCCGAAAAAAAACAGGGGGATGGAATATGAAAGTAAGATGACAGGTCCCCCCCCCTCACACTCCCACTAATCGGGGGTCTTGTAGCCACCGCCCACCGGAGAGACTCGTGCGCCCCTCCCCCCCAACCAAATACGATCTCATTCGCACCCACACATCTCTCAATTTCGTGATGTTATGACACAATTTAGCACGAGCTCTAAATCTCTATAGCTCGCCTTCAAACGAAGTGGGGTTTCCTGGCTAGCACTCAATTCCAATGTGTTATATCGAGTAAGAAATAAGTAAACTAATCCCTCTCCTATTTCCATCCTTCCTGGGATTACCTAATCCAATCTCATTACAACTCAATTTACCCGCTGCATCAAAATCTAATCTTACGTGGGAGAAGGCTTGAGCTTAGAGGTCGTGAGGAATAAAATCTAGCTACCATCGTTCTAATTGAACATTATCCACCAACTATGTTCACATTGTAACCCTGATTGATTGATTGATCTGGGATTTAAATTAATCAATTAATGTCAAACATTGTTTGAATTGGATTTTGTCTTGTACCCAATATATTTGTACTTATACGATAGGTTAGACTTGAGTTAATCTCACCGTAATTTTAGCAAATTCAATTTAATTGTGTATACTGCACCCTTTGTCAATTTCCCTGTTGTACCCCCAAGTTAATCTTTATATCATCTCTATGTTTGGAAAATATTTTCATGACATTTGATTTGTCCGTTATTTGCTTTTAGTTTAATGATTTCTCTTTTAAAAAGATATCTCGTTATATTCTTATCTATATTATGTAGAACGCTTTGAGCGTCAAGTATGCTTGACGGACCCAGGAACTTTATAAGAAGAAGCTACCAGCATCATTTTTAATATTATCACCCTCCGACACATTTAGATTCTTCACTCCACCCAAACTTAGAGCTTATTCCCTTACTATCATTAAGTTTTTATTAGAAAATGATTAACCAACAATACCAGTTAAATAACCAAGCTGTCAATATTGACTTTACTTTCTTTGATTTCATGTCCTCTATAAAATGGACATGTTCTTTGGACTTACATACTCAGACATATGAAGTGCTTTTTCCTAATATCTAGACACATGGACTAATAATACGTTCATCTCTATAGTGATTGTATCCTTTGTCTGTCACTAAAATGCAGGCTTATCTATCATAATTGTTTGTTTTGATGAGCTATCTCTGCATTACCATCACAGTCACCGGAAAACTTTAATATCAAGAGGATATTATATTGTCACTTTTGTGGGCTTTTTCGGTTTTTAGAGTATGAGAGTGATCCCTCCCCCTGGGAATTTTACTTTTAAGTAGTAAATATGTACACAAGGTCTCCAAACAATAGATTGCACAGCAAACAAAACAACAACTCAAAAATTAAAGGAAACTATACAGTCAGAAATCTGATATTAATAACTTTATTCCTCTTAAATTGTACATTAATATACACACGTTTCATCTGAAGTCATTAGTCAAAAATAAATTTTATACATGATCTCTTGACACACTAGCAACATCTTATTAATGAAATCTACAGTATTGCTAGTAAGAACATAAGTAAACTTTATATTGAACATAAGTGGGCTACTTCTCAATTCAAATTATTATATCAAACTTTCCAGTAACATCTTACTCTGCAAAGTATTGCTCATATAAAGAAAATAAATTTAAATCTTTTGAATTTCCATTCATCATATAGTGATTTAATGCTTAAGGTAAAAATCAGTGATGGGGAAACTTTACAATTCAGCAAGGACTGCTAATTTCATTTCATATCACAATCCTACAAAGAGCATTGCAAGCATTTGATCCAATTAAGACCAAAGACAAGCATTATGATTTATCAACTGGGTAAGCATTTTGGATGGTTTACTTGCTGACATTGGGCAAGTAAAGCAATGGCTGATATTAATGAAGAGTGGGTGAATTTTGCCTCAATATATCCATCAGAGTCAAAACAGTCAAGAGAGATTTGTCCTTCAAAAATGTTGCTACTATCCATGCATCCATGCAAAGATCAGCTAACGTTCATGGTTGGTAGAAATACTGGCCCAAATGTGTAGGAATTTATTTTTTTTGTTACATCCCCTTTATTTGGAATGCAAATGTACATACAAAACATTTATAAACATATAATTAAAGATTAAGGAGAAAGATATGCTTTATTTGATTTCACACCTTACAAGAAATAGAGGGTCAAAATGATGAAATAAAAGACACTTTTAAGAGGATGTACTGAAAATTATTTGTCACCTGCCAGCAGGAAGGCAGTATGCGCTACTGAGGTATTCTCAATGGCAGCTACAGCCTTTATGCAGGCAGCTGACAAATTGGTCTTCAGCCTTTGTACCTTCCTAGATTTCTTGAACTGGAATAGGGATATTGTAATTATAACACCTATCAACTTAGATATAATCTAATGGTGACAAAAATAATTAAGTGGAGACTTATCTCACATACTTCTAATACGAATTAGCTTAGTGTATGCCAATGTGTCCATTTTGAAAATTGATACATGCAGCTCAGTCGTGAATTATCATGATTTCCAGCACACACATAGCTAGAAAAAAAGAAAAAAGTGGACATTCAAAGCCACCAGGTTCTAGTTTAACATTATTTTAATGGACGGTTACAGCAGCTTCACAAAAACTTACCGAAAGCAACGTAAAACATGATTGGTATGTACCTAATACCTGTACATGTAATACAACAAAATCAATGGTGTCAAAAAGTATAAACTAATAGTATAAATTTACCATCTCCAAGGTTTAGGTGGGTAACTTTCACTTTGTTTCATTCAGACAACATTCCAACAGTCTTTATCTTGGATGCAACATTGTTGCTTGTACAGGTTCTTTGAAAATGTCAGCTTTCAACGAAACCATTCTTCAAAAAATTGATTCATTTTCAACAAGCAAATAAGATTTCATCATGAGATAACTACTCTGTATTCTATGGATCAAGCACTTTCAAGAGGAACATATATTAAACCATAATAATAATAATACTAATAAATTATATTCCTATAACGCATTATACAAGGTATGTCTCAGATATCAGATATCATAAAATCCAATGACATGTACCATCCTTTAGTAGCATTTCAAAAAGTATAATTACAAATTTGCTTTTAAACTCATTTATTCCATTTGCTCCTCTTAAACTAATACTTTTGACACACCCTCATCTTTATGAATGAAATAAAAATAAATTTCACACAAAGAATTCTCTTTGGTTTATCTTCTTTATGCACTTCAACTATGCATTATGTAAATATCTTATTTCAAAGTTTACTCTTGGCTTCTTCTTCTGATAGACATCTCTTTGGACACTCATTTAAATGAGTGACAATAATAATGAATCGTTTCATAAAACTTCTGACAAAATCAATATACTTCATGATATATCCTTCTTGATACATTTGCAGAATTAGTATTAACTAAAGTGATAAAAACCATACAAATATATTTCATTTGATCCAAATACATCTCTTCACATAATTTAATCTGATGACTGCATCCACAATGATTGATACTGCTCTGTTCCTCTCAGCAAAAAGAACTGCATAAAAATGCCAAAATTTATCATTAACATTACACAAAAAGCAGATGGGATCATTCGTTCTTTCTTTGTAGATATTGTCTATGCATTCACTGCTCATTCACTGCTCTTACTAAATGTATTGTGGCTTTTAGTGTTTAGCTATGGAAATTATGTGTTGTCAAACTTCTGCGGACAGATAATTCATCAAATAGGAGTTGGATTCCGAACCTCCAATAATGAATCAAATGTTAGTTATAACTGGACAATAAGAATTAATTATTTAAATACAGTGTGTTACCATGGATACCAACTGTAAAATTGTGAGAACCCTGATAAAGTGCTCTAATGTTCTACAAAAATATCTTCTTCGGTATATCAACAAGTATCAACAATCTGATGTATTGGCAAAGATTTCTTGTTCTGCATACCCAACACATGGCAATACAGAGAATCTTGAATATAACATGCAGGGTATTGAGTGAAAGTGCATTAGGGCTAAATATTTAGGTCTAAACACAGAAGATTTCACTAGTCAGCTTTTGGTTTGGGGTTTATCTTCCAGAACCCACAGAGGTAGCGTAGTCGAATGAGGATCAGGTCTCGTCCCATTTGGGCCCAGCTGAAAAATGGAACCATCTTGGTACCTGAGGTTGTGAAAGAGGAAGCAAACAACATACATCATAATGTGATTGAAAATACATCTGAATGAAACATGAGTATGCAATTTACATAATGACAAAGTTATTTTGGAATGTGATAACAAAGTCCATTTGAGCAATCAATTATAATTAAGTTCGTAAATGACCTTTAAATCTTTATCAATTTCTATACAGGAAACTTCCATGGAGACAATAATTGTATTTTTTCTTGGATATCAAACACAATGGAACCATATCTAGCTAATATTTCAGATTAAGACATTTTTATTTTTTCTACATATATGAAATTTTGCAGTAATAATATCACTGTCAAGGCAGATCTAAAAATGAAAACCGATCAATTGAAGAAAACTTACCTTCTATTTCTTCCCAGTTAACTGCAACCTCTGATAATGTCATATCAAGGCATTGCGCAATGTATAAGAGCTCTACGTCAAATGCCCTGCAGAAACAAAATAAAAGCAATGTTATAGAACAGCAGAATATTGAGGACTAATAACTCAAAATACAATGGAGAAAAGATGAAATGTATACAAGAACCCTAAACCCTAAAGGGAGATGCATACCAGTTTACAGATAGATATGTAAGAGAGTTGGGGGAAAGGGAGATTTTACAAGACAAAAAAAAAGTGAGAAATGTATAGAGAGAGAGAGCAGGGCGAGTGGGGAAGTTTTACAATCTCACAAATTTCATTTTACTTTGATACACACCCTTTTCAATATGATAATTTAGGTGGAACAACTGTCCAATTTCATCATTTATTAAATTGATTAATTAAAAAACAAACATCTTTGTCTTTTACTCAGAAATACATAAAAATAAGAAAGTGAACTTACCATCTGTCTACATGCATATTAGGAAAGATTATTCTAGCTGATTCTCTTGTTAATAGTTTGAATCCACATTGAGTGTCACTGACCCCTCGAACGCACAGGAACCAGACCAAGAAATGGAATCCATGCATGAGGATCGTTCTAAAGAAAGAACGCTGCAAAGATAAATAGGAAAACATCAAATTATAAACTATGAGAATAGTTTGATGAATGCTTCGAAACAAAGCTAAGAGATATATGGGGTGGGGTGAAAAGGAATTTAAAAGGGCAGTATGAGTAATAGGCACAACAACAACAAATATATGGATTTGGAGATAGAGAGGGAATGAGTGTGAGAGACAGAGACCAAGGGAGGAGAGAGAGAGAGAGAGAGATAGAGAGAGAGAGAGAGAGCTAGAGAGACAAGCAGAGTAAACAAAAATGAAGAAGATTGTAGATAATTTTGATAGAGAGAAAGAAGTGAATAGAAAGAGAGGGTATATAAGAGTGTGGTAATAAGGTCAGGGTAAGAAAAATAAAAAAGAGATAACAAATTGTTTTTGGAGAGGGTTATAGAAAATGTCATTGGTCTTACAAGTTACAAATCTGTTTCAATTCAAACAAAGACAGAAGTACAAGGCTAAATCAATCCATATTCCCTGTCCATTCCCACAATAAATGTTAATGAACTTCTTTGACCCATATTAAATCTCAGAAACCTGGTCATCTCACACATCTATCCCTTGGTGGACACTTCAAATGAAAACACAGGAGGAAAGCTCACACTAGCAAACAACAAACTGTCAATCAAACTATTAGTCAAAGGAAATATGCTCAATCAACTACACACCACCCCTAATATTGACCAATTCTCTTTGTTAGCCACTCAATGCTGAAGTAGTTTCCTTTGGAGTGACCATTGTTTAGATTCTAGATTTCCTTGGCATTTCTCTGGAGACGAATGATTGAAGATGTTTAGATGAGATCATTCTTCTTGAGGCGTAGGGCATTTAAGATTATGATTAACAGCTGATGTGTGTTCAGACAAAAAGCATGCATCAAAGATTAAAATCAACTGAAAAATTCACAACATGGGTTTCTTTTTTAAAAGAAGGAAGAAACTATAATTCAATTACATTAGTTGCTGATTGTAATAGGTGTGTTCAGAAAAGAAAATAAACACAGAAGACCAAACACTAATTCACTGCTGGAGAATTTCTAAGATAATTTGTAAACAAAATATTGAGTTATGAATTTTGTGCTTTTCTATATACATTTAGTCATGTATCCTTTTCTTTTTTAACTCCAGAAAATGGCATGCTACAGGGCAAAAAATATGAATTCTAAATAATACTTTAAGCTCAAAGATACTTTCTTCTTTTTAGCCCTACAATTCCAGAGCCCTTTTGACATATGTTTATGCTTTCTCATTGAGATATGAATTTATCATTTCACTTTCGGATGGTTGACAAATCAAAGAGTGACAGAGGATAATTAAGAGTGACAGACTGCACTCTTGACTGAATAATCGGTGGAAATCCTTCCATCGTCCCAGCCTTAATTCGGTCAGCTTCTGCAAGATGGCAGCTATTTCCTTCTTCCCTCGGAAGAAATGGTTCCAATTAAAAAAAGGTCTTTTCGTGATTCTTCCTCATCACGGCATACTGTTTAGCTGGAAATACAAGGACCAATTCTTCAGGGACCAACACAAGACTCAGCTTTACTTTTGAAGGATTTTGATGAGGGATTGTCACAAATTGAGTGTTTGTCTCAAAAGGAGGTTATTCCAGTTTTGACAATAGTCATGACGAATCTGAGACAACTATATTTACTATTCACATTTCTATTTTCCATGCTTTCTTTAAATACTGTTCCTACATACTTCATTGTGATTGCCCATTACAACTTCCATTCCATCTTTATCTAAATGATAAAGACCTTGATGTAATATGGTGAAACTTGACCATGTCCCTGAGTTAAATAAAATTGTCCAACATATACATAAAATGAAGAAAAATGTCCAATATAACAACATACTTTATTCTAAAAAACTTAAATGGGGAAGTACGGTAATACAAAATAGTAAAATACAATATGCTTGACGATCGATAGCATGTAGAAAGATACCTAGTTAAAAATATCATAACAAAGTTAAGAAAGGTCCAATAAATATTTCTCAAAGACTCAATGTTTTAAGCAATATGCAGGGATGCCTGTTAGTATTGATCAGAGGGCCTGAAAATCACCTAGAATGAGCTATTTTTTACACAAAAAAGCCTAAACTATGGCCTCAAAATAACTTGCCATGGCATGAAAACTGGCATCCCTGATTATGGATGAAGAGCTATGCATGGGATAACAATTCTTATTGTCATCTCATGCAAACAGAAAAGTGGAGATATTCCCTTGTGCAGTGAAAGCATTCCATTGACCAGGGGCAATCAGGGGAAATGATTAAATGTAGCATTCATCACCTGACCCCTTTTCGTTAGCACGCAGTTTGACTAGACCCCGATTGGATCGAGAGAGACTCGAGGAGGAGGACCTAGTACTACTTCCTCTCCATAGCTTGCTACCCACCCTATGGGACTCACGTGCAGGACTCAACAACCCAGACCAGAAATTAGACCTGGCAAATTGGTCGTAGGAGAGCCAAACACGGTTATGATCAACAAGACCCATTCTGTCATCTTCCCTATCCCCCATCGATCTAGGATGTATTGCGTTACTAGCCGGGGATGATGGCTGATGTCTTATGAAAACTTTGGCTTAACTTTATTGCTCCCTTGGGGCTGGGTCTATTGTCTAGCTTCCCGTGATTTGGGAAAGAGTTTTTGTTTTGTTTTTTGAGCTGAGAGAGGGGATGATTGGGACAAGTATGTCAAGGGCACGCAGAGGAAAGAAGAAAGGTAAATCAATCAATTGTACGGACATGCCCTACGGTAGTGTATAGTCATTCAACTCTGGTAAAGAATATAGGCCTGCGATGGATGCCAATAGAGCACGCAGTCACGCAATTCCTTTTTCTTGTTTAATCTCTTCTCTTTTTCTTCTTCTTCTTTTCTTTTTTTTTTGGGGGGGGGGGGGTGGGTGATCTGTTTTTCTTTGTATTACTTCCTTTACTTGGCTCAAGTAAGAATAAATGCACGATTACTTTTCTCATAATGTTTGACGCAATTTTTCAGGACAAACTCCATAGTCCATACAGTGTTCTCATATAAAAGTGAGATAAAATAAAACAAAGAAACACAGGATGATTTACATGCATCATGCAATAAATTATCCTCTTCATTGCCATAATGATTTGTATCATGACAACTAATTCACCACAATATTATCTCCCCTTCAAAAGAATAGGTAGAAGTATAATTTTGTTTTTATATTATGAAATTCTTTCCATGTTGTTTAGTACAACTTCATGAAATTTTCTACTTCCTGTAATTTACTGGTATTTTCTATAATAATATTGAAACCTTTTAGATTCCCTTCTAATACCCATAAATATGTAATCGTCAAACTTCCTTTTCTAATCAGCTTTCATTCTCTCTCTCTCTTTCCTTATTTACTCCTACATTCTCATTGATGCTCTTCCTTATTAAAGGGCAAGTCCACTCCAATAATAACTTACTTACAATAAAAGCAGAAAAACCAGACAAACCAATCAAAAAAGGTTTGAGCAAAATCGGACAACCAATAAGAAAGTTATGAATTTTTGAAAAAGTATGTAAAACCATGGAAATCACTACACAAATTGCCATTTTGATTATCAGTTTGTGACGTCATGTTCTCACTATTTATCAATTGCTTTATATATTTTAATCTCATTAATTTCCCTTTTTATCCCCAAAAGCTTGATTTTCCCATGCCCTTGCCCAGGTTTTTTGGTTTGTATCATATTGCGTGCATAACATTCCAAAAATTCTTTTATGAACGTTGAAGAATTGATACTATTTTCTGAATATCGTTTATTCATAACTATTGATTTTTATATAAATAGTTAATCAAAATTCACATTTTTCATGATTTAACTGAAAAAAATTACCGGTACTCTATATTAGTGAATCCACACAAAACTTATTACTGTACTATCTCGAACTTGGATTCTGGTGTGAAGAAATAAGATTCTTAGGGGGAAAATTTATATTATCAATATAAAGAAAACAATAAATGTACAATGACGTCACAGACTCATGAGTGAGTTGCCAATTTGTCTTGTGATTTTCAAAGTTTTTCATGTCACCAAAAATTCATAACTTTCTTATTAGTTATCAGATTTTGCTCAAAGATTTTCGATTGGTTTGTCTGATTTTCCTGCTTCTATTGAAAGTAAGTTTTTTTTTAGTGGACTTGCCCTTTAACTTGTTTGTTTATTTTTCATTTTTTTCATTTTTTTTTAAAAGATGATTTGTATATTTATATGCAACAAGCACTCATGACTAATATGGAGAGCCTTACCACTTTTGACAGTTTCATTTCAGTTTTTATTTTTATTCCCAATAAAAACAACATAAAAGGTATATAAAATATATAAACAACAAACCATCATCAATAAAGAAAGAAAATTGAGAATGAGAGGTCAACAAAATAAAAGCAATTAGCCTTATAGTATGTTGACCCTGAATTGACTATACATACATATAACTAAAACTAATAAACAAAAAAACAAAAAAAAATTAAGAAAAAACAAACATGCAATATATCTATGCCCAGAATAGTAAGTAGTAAAGAGTCATTCTCTTTTCCTACTTCTCATTCAAGAAATTCTGAACCTGAAGGTATAATGAATGATTAGATAATTATAAAAGGAACTTACCGATGCTGTTGCTTCATCCTGAAGATGTGCTCTTGATCCACAAACTATAGCTTTATCTCCCTGAAAAGACAACAACGTAGTCAGAAAATTAAAATAATTGATTTATAAAGAATGATCGATATCTAGCTCATCCACATATAAACTACCCAATGAGAGGTGGCCCACCCCTGCATTCTAACTGTTCTGTAATACTAAAAGTGAAAGATTTTAGATTTTATTGTCAAAAACTGAACAAAAGTGGTAACATTACTTGTTTTAAGACCCTTATAGCTTGTTTTTGACAATTATCTTTAAAACAAATTATCATTATCACCTTTTCCCCCTCTTTATTTTCCCTTTCTTTCAATATGTTAAGAACAACCTTCCATGTTTTCTGTGATCCATAGGAGTTTTAGTTTGACTATATGGTTTATCTACTATTGAGGGCAGCATACCATTTTGGATACTAATCCTCAATCAAGTGAGTATGCACAGATATGCATTATGATCTATGACCTATTAGCAATTTTTTTTAATGGCTAACAGGGAAATAATTATGATAAATGTAAGCACATATTAGAGACAGGGAAGTTTGAAGAAAAAAAATCAAGAAGAATTAAAAACAGAATTACACTGATCACTGTCACAGGCAGAAAGAAGAAGAGAGAAAAAAGGTTATTTTTGAAAGACAGATGCAGGAGAAATAATCAGCAATGAGAAGGAGAAACAAAATTTAGGAAGAACAAAAGTATAAAACTATAGAAGCCCATTTTGCTCACCTTTTTTCTAAGCTCCACCATACTCTTTTCTAACTGAAAAAGATCAGCAAATTTTGTAGCACCATCTGCATCAGCAAACAAGAGGTCACGACCCCTAGCACTGAGCATGCCCAGTCGTACTGCTCCTCCTTTTCCTCGATTCTTTTCAAATGTTAGAACTCTGATCATGTTTGTGCCAAATTTCTTGGAATATTCTAAAGCAACCTTGAAAATAAGGAGAAAACATGAATAAAATCAATTTAATTGTCTGGCTTAAACTGCAGAGAGGTGTTGAAGTTCAAACATTTTAAAATTGTCTCATTTGTAAAAACTTAGCTTGCATTTATTGCTTCTTGGAACTTTGTTTGATAAGAGTTTTTCTTTGCTTCTTTAATTCTTGACATTTATACAGGGTAGCAGATTTCCACAAATAACAGTGGTCTTACATTAGGCCATTAATAACTGGTAACAAGTAGATAACAGAGAGAAAATATTGAATACCACTATCCTAGACATATAAATAGGAGATTTTCATTACATTTCTGTTCTATGTGACATTACTGACATAAGTAAGCAAATACCAAGAAGGTATTTCTCATTTCCCGGGTAATCTCATGAGCATACAATAAGGGAGTTTACAGATAGCACATGGTACAAATGACCCCAAATATCCACAGATCTTTTACACATGTAGAAGTTCCACTTTGAGCATCTTATACCCCATTCACAGTGGCCTCAAACACCGCGACAGCAGCGGGACTGTCCCGCTGCTGTCGCGGTGTTGTCTTCAGTGTGAAGGCTCGGACCCGTTATAAACTATCGCGGGATAACACCGCCTCGCGATAACGCCGCGACAAACTATCGCTAGGTTTGCCTAGCTACAGCAGAGGGACAGTCCCGCTGCTGTCGCGGTGTTTACTCAGTGTGAAGGCTCTCCGCTATAACACCGCGACAAGCACGTGTGATTTGTTTACTCACCTATCACTGACCTCTTTTCTCCAGCAATGGGGAACATAAAGTGAAATAGAAATAAAGTAACCAGTGGATTCAAATTGATTTTATTATTATGTAGATATTATAATTATCCAAATAAAAATATTTCACACTTCAAAAAATTAAAATATTCTGACTGGAAGCAATAAAAATGCTAGTTTTTTAAAATGCTGCACTCGAGCATAGTGAACTAAAATATTGCGATTCGTTCTCTGCAATTCCAGTAGAATGAAAGCGACAGCAATACGTAAAAGTATAGATAGATCCATAGCTAAATCGAGCTAGCTACATGAGGAAGAGTGTGTTAAGTACAGCTAGCGCGCGCAATTTCAAGCAATCGAAAACCCCGCGCTGAAGTATTTCCGGTCATATCGGGGTCACTCGCGGGTCATGAGCCATGCATACACGTGTTTGTTACGGAGGTAATAAAAATCACCCGCTGCTGCAGCGGGATAACTTTTCTACTGTGAATGCATTTGTAGCGGTGTTATGGCGGTGTCGCCGCTCCGCTACAACGCCGCTACAAATTTCAAAACCACTGTGAATGGGGTATTAGAATAATAACTGCCAAAGTCCTAGATGTGCTTCATGAATACCTTTTGTTTGACCTCTTGAAAAGAAAACTTCCACCTGCGTATCATAGAATGTACCGTTGGTGCATAAATGAATAATGTTACATAACTTTTATGAGCGCATATCCAGTATTCATCTCTGTGGGTGTTACCATTTTGGTACAAATGACCTTTATCTGCCCATGCGCAGACTGTATCTGTAAACTCCCTTATTGCATACTATGTAATTGTGTGACCTTTGACCCTTACCTCTGTTGTGCCATCTTTGCTTCCATCGTCTACTACAATGATCTCAAAAGTCTGGGATTTATCTTGCTTCTGCAACGAGAAAAGTAAGAATGACATTGTTTAATTTTTTAGAAAAGTACACTAATGATTACAATCTTATAGTTTGATTCTATTACACTTCTATCTTACATATATATATTTTTATGTTGAATGTTCATTGCTCTCTCTAAACAATATAATTTCATCAAAGTGGTTAAATATAAAAGCCTCATAAAAAGGTGTGTCGACCTACTTTAGAAGAAAGAACACTGAATGACAAGGGTGGGCCTAATTCTATTTACTTGATAGTGATTACTTTCAAATAAAGGTGCTGCTCTGCTCACCACTGATACTTTCTGAACAAACAAGGCAACCCTTCGCTTGATCAGGTGTTCTGACGTAATAGGAGACCAGTAGAATTTCTCAGTGTGCATCATCTCTACCAGCATAATTCCCCTATTATCAAAACAATGTCTTATAGGGATTCTTTAATATTCCTGTATAAAAAAAACCCATGATAATCTAGGGGGTTTGTTCCAAAATCATTTAGTTGACGTTGAGATACATACATGTAATATAGCCTGGGGTAATGTTATATCATTTACTAACTTTTTTAGTACCTGACTGGCTCAAATACTGCCCTTCCCATGCTTTCCTCTTCATATGAATATATTTACAACCTTACTATTTAAATGTTATTATAGTTACAGCAAAAACTTCTTCACAAATACAAAAACTACTAAGAAACCCCTACTCAAATTTGTTGTAAATAGAATTAACAGCCTTGTTGGCAAAATCTGACAAACATTTTGTACCCCTGTCAACAAATTTGGCACAAGGACCTCTCTTCTTATGTTTGTTAAAAACTTGTTGGCTCACTTGCTATGGTAAATGCTAAACCTCACATTGCAAAATGGTTTTCATAGGGATGCCCCTTCCGGTGAGGAAATATGATAAGCCTGCTTTATGAGTATCTTACCAGTCGTGGAATCAAGAACTCTAAAGCTTCATCCATCATTTTGGGTACTGCAGGAAAATGAGAAGCAAATCAAGTGTGATAAATATAAACAATTGTCTTGGATTACCACATAACATCTGATTTCCTATTGAGCAAAAGAGGCATTTGAAACAGTAATATATAACTCCACATTTTGATTAAAATGGATATTAAAAAGTATTCTGAGGTAGAGGATAACATTAGGCAGAAATAGGAGAAAAGGTTAAAAGACTTTTAGAGGGGATTATGGAGGTCTCAATTAATGAGAAGAAAACATATTATCAATACTCTACTTTATTTATTCAATGAATTTGCAATGTTGTACCAAAAAAAGTGGCAGTTTAATGTTAAACAAATTTTTTACCCTATCCATCTTCATCATAACCTTGACTCACTTCAAATGGAAATACTCACATCGTTTTTCTTCAAAGTATGAAGGTACAATAACGGAGAGTGCTAGAGTTGGTGGGTCATAGAGACTTGGGAATGGTAACCTTTGACCTTTATTCTCAGGGTCAATAAATGTTTTCTCGCTCTCAAAGCGCTTCATGTTGGCCTCTGGAGTGGTGATGTACACTATTAAAATTCCCTGTAAGAAAAAAAAAGGGAGACACTGAGTGAGAGAAACAAATGAGAAAGAATGTCATCATGTTGAAATGCAGCCCAGCCCTGGGCAGTTTCTCAAAACCATTGATTGAAATCCTATAATGTGGTATGGAGTAAAAAAAAAAAAAAAAAAAAAATCATTTCTGTGGGATGTCTGTGAACTTATTATGAAGGTTTCAACTTTCAAGAAACCCTGAATCTAGCAAATTAAAAAATAACAAGCCCGATCACAGTTGTCTATTTATCACGTAGACTAGACCTTACAGTTAAACAATTATTTCAGTCTCTTTCATATCAATTATCATGTTCATGTCTTTGTGCAGACAATGATACAAATCATCATTAATTTTTAAAACCATATCTACTTGTTTAATTGGTGCAGGCCAAGTTTTGCCAATTCCCCTAAATTAATTTTTGAGCTGAAAAAATCTGATGCAATAGTCTACTTGCCATGATTGCATGAAATCAAAATCAAAATCAAATCAATCAGTCTGCCAATCTCATTCAAACTGTAAGAAACTAAAAAGCTCAATTAATCACTGACAATCAAAGAAATTATGTAGAATCTACCAATTATACTTTATTTATTCATCCAGAGCTAAACTCATAGAAATCGACACATGCATGGCCATGGCTTTTACATATGATCAAAGCCCGAGATATGCAGTATGCCTTATCCTCAGCGCCTGGCCTGGGCGCATCCGACCGGGCTGGCGGACTGGGACGTCGATTTGGCCGAGCCCCTGGTACACGCAGACTCCAGTTCGCGTCTCGGTTACCGACTTTTTGTCCTTTAAATTTTCTCGACGAAGCGCAGTAGATTTTATAATATATATTAAAAAAATTGATAGTTTCATTTTACCAGATTCACTTACCACAATTATGAGGATTACAGCAAGCAAAGCAAGCTCACAAAACACAGTGAAAAGATCGAATTCCATTTCCGAAATAAGCAACTTTACACGTAGCAGATTTCATCAGCTGACGACTAACCCGGAAGTAGTGAAGCTTTGGGAAATACACTATCTGTCTTCCGATCCGATTGGCTACATATAATACGAACGCCCAATCAGATTTCATTTGACATAATTAGAGGAATTCCCAATCATGGCAGCCGAGTTCAAGTAAGCACGTGTGTTTGTTTACGTTTTGTAAAGTCAGTAATTTTCACTGAAATTATCACATTTCATAAATTGATATAATAACATGTTGTCTTTGTTTTTCTTGCAGGACCGCACAGCCTGTTGAATACTACAAACAGTTCTTGGTCAGTATGAACTTGGGATTTAAATGACTTACGCAGGAATCAGTATGTAGGACTGAACAAATAAACATTTGTCCATTTTAGAATCTTATCTTTGTTTTCTATGGACTAGGATTAATTATGTTAGGCCTGTATTGTTGTCTCAGAAATGAAAGGGGACTTATGACATTATAGAATAATTTTGAAAGTACTATAGGCCTAGTCTAATTGGGTAATCAGATTAGATCTAGATCTAGATCTAGATCTAGACTAGAATCTAGGTAGGTTGAGATAGACCTAGATCTATTCTATTAATATTTGTTGTTATTGGCTTTAAAAGCTAAAGTTGTTTTTGTCTGTTAATCAGAACCATAAAGAAGTAGCGACTGGAAGACCAACAGGACTACCTTTTCTTCCATATACTGTTGATGTTAATGTTGATGTAGACTAATACAAAAATTATCAAGTTTGACTTGGGTCTACCTAGACCGATTTCTGTCTCTTTCGTTCGTTAGCCGCGCCTCTGCCCAAATCAGAGGCTAACGAACAAAAGAGACAGAAATTTTCACTCTAAGTCTAGTCTAGTCTAGATCTATGTCTAGACCTAGTTATAAAAAGTTTAATTTACCTTTTCTCAGTATTGTTGTCTTTCAATCAAATATTTTAATTTCAAAGTCGATTTCTTAATTTCAAACAATTAAATCCTGGTGTTTATTTTCTTCTTTTTTTATATTAGTTTTGGAGCCGACCCTCACAAATAAGTGGCTAACGAACGAAAGAGACAGAAATGTTCGGTCTAAGTCTAGTCTATCTAGTTATAAAAAGTTTAATCTACCTTTTCTCAGTATTGTTGTCTTACTCTTAGTTCTTACACTCAAATATTTTAAACTATCCTGGTGTTTTATTTTCCCTTGTTATTATAGAAGGAAGAGGTTAGACCAGATGGAAGAGAGTTGGGAGAAATAAGATCAACAATTCTCAATGTTGGTAAGTCTGCTCACTGCATGGAGCTGCATCTTTTCTCCTGAAAGTTTGTGAGCAGAATAAGAAAAATGAGTGATATGGTCATTATGGTGTGTACGAAGTGTGAAGTGTATAGGAAAATAAAAGGTTCATGTATTTCCATTGTTTGTTCATACTCCAAGGGGTACTATTGTTTAGACTGTACCACTAAATGGCTTGCATAGTTTTGCTCTCTATGTTTAGAAAGTTTTTTAATTAGAGATTAAATCTTTGCTCTATAAAGAATGTTCACAATTCTGATCATTATTCACAAAATACTAAATTTTCTTGTAGAAATAAATATGTGATATTCCTTTCATGTTTGTCTGTTAGGATCCATCAGTACTGCACATGGCTCAGCCCTTGTGAAGCTTGGTAACACAACAGTGGTGTGTGGCATCAAGGGGGTAAGTATAGATGTATTTTAATTAAAAGTAGCAATAACTGTAACTTTAACAGATGTAGCTCATTCGAAAATATAACTGAATTGTTTAGATTTGGTAATCAAGTATGAAATATAATTCTCAGGTAATTTCCAAAGTTACATATGAGAAAACTTGTACCAAGTAATTTAGTAAATAATCAACTCACTTACATTGTACTATTTAAAAAAATTATTTTTCTGCAGGAATTTGCCTCTCCAACAGTTGAAGAACCTAAAAAAGGATATCTAGGTAAGATTAGAACATGTTTTCTTCTTATTATCATATGATTGAATATTACTATAAATATCCTAGAACACATTTCTCGGTAGATTAAACATTCAAAATACGGTACTGAATTAAAACATTTGATGATAACTTGTTAAATGATCCCATTTCATCAGAGTTGAACCTCTGAAGCAAGATTCAAGTTTAAATGTCCATAATAATACAGTAATTTCTTTCCCATTGTTGTTAAATAGCTGTATGTGTTATTGATTTGACTAGTGTACCTGACCTGTATTGTTTGTGTTAATGTCACTCTTTTCTGCAGTTCCCAATGTGGATCTGCCACCATTATGTTCAGCTCAATTCAAGCCTGGTCCTCCAAGCATCCAAGCACAGGTCACATCTCAACTGGTAGCTGATACTCTACTCAGGTATCAAATTATTTATGTCTTCTCTCTCCTAATAAACCAGACTTAAAAGACATTTATAGTCATAAATCTTTTTGTATTAATTCAGGTTTAACATCAATTGTGCTTGATTTATAGTCATAAATCTTTTAATTTAAATTCAGGTTTCACATAAAGTGTGCGTGATGGAAATCACTGTGGTAGGAAAACCTTAAAATCCTTTTATCAGAACTTATATATGTGTGATCATAACTGAATGAATTTAAGTTGTTCATTCTGCAATTTTGTGAAATATTGTTTTCCTCAACGTTTTTTTTCTTCTTCCCTCCTCCCTAATCAGTTCCAACCTCCTGAACTATGAAGACCTTTGCATCAAAGAAGGAAATGTAAGTAATTTTATTCCATTCAGTTAACATATGGGTTGATTATCTTCCTTATGACAAGACACAGTTAAAATGTACCATACAAAGTCTTATGGAATAATTAACATCAAAATTTGTACTGTAGTAAAAAGACTATTTTCCTTATTATGATCCAAGCTGAGTTTAGGTATATTAAATTATTTGATGTAGTCAGTCAGTAGTTAATGGGAAAATCACCTTGTGCTAGCCTTTCAATTCATTTCTAAAGCAAAAAAATATATAATTGAAGTTTAACATTAACCTTTCAAGCTCTGTTGCCATTATGTATCAGCTTATCAAGAGGATTTGTTTGCAAATGATTTTATTTCACACCTTCCTCCAAAACTTTAAATCTACTCATACAGATCTTACATCCATTAAATTCTAGATAATGAAGACTGTCACTGATGATGTTATGTCTGTATTGTTTAACAGATGGTATGGGTTCTCTACTGTGACATGATGTGTCTAGACTATGATGGTAACATCATTGATGCTTGTCTGATTGCTCTTCTAGCAGCTCTTAGAAACGGTAAGTCTTGTCTTTGATTCATCCAGTCTTGGTGGTGGTGGTTATTTTACCTGACTGCTAATGTTAGTAAGCAACCAGATGGCCGACGGCTTTAGGTCCTCTCCGAGGGACCTGGTAATGAGGATTAATGCCTTGCCAAAGGGCACTAGTGCATCGACTTGGTTTCGAATAGGTTCGAACCCGGGTCACCGGATTACAAGACCACTGCTCTACCGACTGAGCTTGTAAGACTCATTGATAGTTCCAGGGTTTGATTCTAGATCAGAATGCCAGTGCCCTTGATCAGGTAGGACTTCCAGCTGTATATAAGGGTCCCGGTGCTTACCGATTAGTCTGTACCCGCTTTGATTCTTTAAATTATGAGAAACACTTTAAAAAATGAAGTGAAAATCTTGAGTATCCATGTATGTTTCTTACCATCACTTACGGAAAAGATATTGTGTGACGGTGCTCATTTAGGCAAAACTAAATTTATAATATTAACATGTCTCAATATGCACTCTTGCATCAGTATTAAAGTATTTACATATGTTAGCTCTAACATCTCGGGGTATATATTTCAAAGATATGGGCTGAAACCTGAAGATATGTTTCTCTCTTTATCTCTCCTTTTACAGTGAGATTACCGGTAGTTACCATCGATGAAGACACAGGACTAGCAGAGCTTTCATCCACAGAAGACAGATCTTTGAACATCGTCAACCAGTTTGCTGCCACTACATTCTCTGTCTTTGATGAGTAAGTCAAAGAAGGTCAAAGGTTATTTATTTAATCTTGGTGATGGCAATAGTGATGATGATGGTTTTACCGGTAGTGTTATTTTTCATGGATTGGAAGTGGCAATGGTGTTCAGTCTCAAGTTTTATACCCCTGATTTCACCATTCACTGGAATAATTGATTAATATAAAATCAAATGTCTACTTCAACATTAAAAGCAGGGATTTCGACATTGTCCATACTTGTTGCTGTCTCCAGGCCAGGCTGTACAGGGGGCCAATTTTTGGTGATACGTTGAACGTTGTAGTCCAGAGCTCAAATGCATCCTTCTGATAGGATAGATATGATAAACACTGTGAATGAACTCCTTTGGTCTCTGTTTATCTTTCAGTTCCATCCTTCTGGTAGACCCTACAGTAGAAGAAGAGGACCTAGCTACTGGACTAATGACAGTCATCGTCACTCAGGATGGGAGGCTATGTAACATACATAAACCAGGTCAGTTCTCTGTTTTCAAGAAAGAACCCTTCAGAAGCATGAAAAACAATGTGTAACAACACTTCACAGAAACAGATTTCTAGATTTTTTTTTGGTGTAAAATATTGTGGATTGGTGTTATCTGAACAAAGAAACAGTCTTGAGCACATTGTTGTCAAACTTTAACTTATTTTCTTATTACAATATACTGGCTATGGGTCATGTAATATATACCAATCTTGGCACTCCTGTCTATCAAAACTCAAAAGTATTGTTACAGTTATGACTACAAGGTAATGTTTAACAATGCTTGCAAATTTCATGCTATATGCGATAGAACTCGCACTAAAATGTTACAGGAAGACAGTGTCATATTGTACTATGTGAAGAACAATATTGATGACTCAATGATGTACAGTTTAATGGAAAAAAATAAATATATATTTTTGTTTTTTCAGGTGGGACACCTCTATCTACAGACCAGATCCAGGATTGTATCGGTCGAGCCCAGACCAGAGCTAAGGAGATATGCTCACTGATTGATGATACACTAGATAGCATTGAGAGATGACCTTTATATCAAACCTGATAAAAATGCAAAATTGATCCTACGGATGTTACATAGACATTGTCAACCTTGTAAATGTACAGAGACTGGCCCACTTGGCAGATTTATCCATATTTTTACAGTGTTCAAACTATAGGCCTACTGATGCTGGCTCAAATACTCACCTATGCTAAGTCTGTGTAATGGTTTAAATCACTAACGAGGTTGATCTGATTGGTTATGTAACCTGAAAATTAGTTCTTCCTTCACAGTTAGTTGAAAAATTACCTGTTTTGGTGAGCTTTCTCTTGCTATACTGCAAGCTTCCCAAAACAGGTAATTTGTCCACTGATTGGGAAGGAAGACCTAATTTCCATGTGTAATGATTTGTCTTCAAACTTTTCATTGTGTCACCAATTATTTGTACACTTTCAAACATCAGTGTCTGTTTGATATACTGCTGTTTATACTATTTAGTTAAAGGACTTTACATTTACTTGGAGATGTTCGTGCTTGAAATAACAAAATTTTGACTGTCAATCATGGTGAAATTCAGAAATATAACATTCTAGAGAATCTATGCACTTTCCTTGTGCCTTTGCCAAATGGATGTAGAAAATAAGGTACACCTTTAAGATATAACACTGAATGATTATAATTTTGCTTGAAATGTTAGATACCTCTCCCGATTTGCACGATGCAATCAAATGAAAATTATAAGAAGAGAGAAAAATTGAGTTACCTTAGATTAAATTAGAAACATTCCACATGGCAAAATATTTATTTTATCTTTCCCAGTCACTTGTCCGTGTAAAATAATCCTTAAGCTTTCCTTTGTAAAGAATTCTAAACTTGTATTTTGCAAAGTTTAATAAAGAATGTTTTTCTTTTGAAATGATTGATTTGTGATGAGTAATTTTTTCTCCATTTTTGTCAAATTTTAGAATTAATGTAAAACTGGTATTGTATGCATGCAAAAACACTTATGCAAATTTTGTTAGTGATCCCGATTCTCAAAATTTATATGCAGCTAATGCAGTTAGTCCATTGCAGTTCCTTTTGCTGAAGGGCCGTCACTGACAATTCGCAAAAGATTGCAAAAGATATCAAATATTACAAATAGTTTCATTAAAATCTGAGGTTTTTTCTTTTTTTGTCTGAAATCTTTATTGAAAAACTGACGAAAATCAAATCACAATGAAACATGGTTCAGTGGAACTCTTATGTAGAAGACCATACTTTATATATCAAACTTTCAATACATTTACATGTATATCAAGCCAATAGTGCCAAACTTAATCTTTGTATTTTGCTGGTTTTTTTTTTTTAATAGGGTAGTTTCTTCTGGTGCCAAAGAGTTTTTATAAATAAAATGTCACTTTATTTGATTTTTTTCTTTATCTCTCTTCCCAATCTCCTGTCTGACCATCTCTCTTTTATTTCTCTTCCTCACTTGATTATCTTTTTCTTCATCTTCCTCTTCTTTCTTCTACTCTCTATCCCTACTCCATCTCTCTTTGCCTATCTTTCTCCATCTTTCTCCCTCTCTCTCTCTATCTGTCTCTCTCTCTTTTGACAATTTCTGCTGTCAATTTCTTTCTCTTTCTCTCTCTATTTTCTCTCAATTTTTTTTCTCTATATCTTTGTCTTTTCTCTTCAGCCAGTATTTACAACTTCTCTATCTCGCTCATAAAAACTTTTGCACTTTGTATTTTTGTTTAAAAATCAGCAGATTTTATTTCAGTACTCAATAAAACTACTGCTTGGTAAACTACGAAGTCTCTACAAAACTACCTACATATACAAACATATACTATATGCAGTTGCTCAGTCACATTATCGACAAGTTCATTTAGAAGTTATTAACTATAATAGTTTATACAGCACAATAGAAAATACATAAATCACTAAAACATGCAATAATCTAAAGTGTTTTTTTCTTTCTTATGATATATCCACTTTAGATAACTATCTTGAATCTTAATATAAATTCTTAAACATATTTGGGGAGGGGGTGGTTGCTAGATTAGAAACTAAATGGCACAGACAGCTCTGCCACTTCTTATAATATGACAGACTGCCTACAACATACAGTTTATTTGCTTGAGCATACTCAACTCTTTATATGTCACATAAATTATCTCCCTGTGCCACATTGTATTTATCATGGGGTAGATATATCAATGGCTTCAAGATTATTTAACTGTTTCCAGTACAAGATTAATATATACCTGCGTTAAAATGGTGGTCATGGAGCTAATAGAGACAGGAAATTGATAATTTTGCAAAGCCATTGTGTTGTACAAAGCAATTATTCTTTGGGTCCTATCATTTTGTGCAAAAATGATAGGAGAGCATGTGTGGCTAATGAGCAAGCATGCAGAAAGACGAGGAAAGCAAAAGTGTTGCATGCTTTTGATTCCCTTTTCCCGACAAAATGATGCTGTATCATTTATAAAGGAGATAAGAGAGACTATCTTCTCTATGAAAGTTTAAAACAAGACTATTGGAATGTAGAGCAATTTCACATAGATAATAACATGGATTCTGGAAACAAATTAAGACACATAAGAATGAATATCTTGGTAGCTGTCATACCTCAAGAAAGTATTTTAGAAATAGGCATTGAATAAATAAATTGTCATTCAATGTGTCCATAGCATAAAAGTCCATTGGAAAATATGTAATCTTTTTACTAGCCTATATCCAACAACAATATACCTCAACATAATTAATTTTATTACCCAAGTTGTGAACATTTTTGTATTTTGTGGAGGATCATCTACCTATAAGTGTCTCTAACTCTTTGATGATCCAACCACTCTTTAATTTCCTTCGTGTATTTTTTTCACTTTATTGTCTTATACATATTTGTTTTATTATTGACTTTACAAGTTTTTTTATTAAAGTAGTGAATAATTTAAATTAATTCAATTCAATTCAAAAGATATACAAAGTACTGTGGTTCAAAGACTGACCATCAGCTGTTATCATCATCACATATTTTATCTTCACTTCATTGAAATGTAGAAACACATTAAAATTTCTTGAAATCCTGATCATCACATATATTCACGCAATTGATCCTTTCTGAAGTTTTGCCCCGTACTAAATGAAAATACATTTTTCTTTATATTTAAATATTTGAAGAATCATAATAGTCATGGATAAATATTTAAATTCAAATGACTGAATCTACTCTTGACATAAATATAAGAATTATAAAGTCTCAATGATAAAGGACCTATGAGGGGATCTTCGGTATTTCCAACACAAGAAAACATACCTTTATCCCGGCAATTTGACAGTTTACAAATTTCATATGCATTTCTTTAAAAAGATTTTAAATAGTTATAAAGGGGATTAACTAAGATTCCAATACTTAATATCTATACATTTTTAATTATTTTTCAAAACTGTTATATATAAAACATACAAGCACAAACAATGAATAAAAATTACAAATTCGTCAATTGCATAATTCACAATTGATACTATATAAACTGTCAACATAGATGTGTTTCTTAGTTTAGAAATTATGTACAAGGTTTAAAAAGAAATATGTTCAATATACTTTTTCCATAAAAAAAAGAAGAAAACAATAGTAAACTAAAATTTACAATAAAATTGTTATGAAAAAAAATAATATCATGCAGTTCATACTTTGTCAAGGTGGTAACACACTAAGCATGCATATCTTATCACAATGGTCAACTTTACATGATGCACTACAAAGGTACCCAACATAAATAGAAGACGAATGTATGAAAATGAAATCTGATTAGGTAACTTCCTCCACTATGCTGTATCAAGCACACATTAACCGTTCCTTTGTGCACAAACAAAAGTATATTGATACAGACCAATGATACATTTCTAAAGTCTATGGTGCACACTACATAAATATGCAGACAAAATAAAAACCTATTAAAGATTAATTTGGAAACAGATCAATGACAAGTCCAACTTCCAGACTAGTTACTCCGGGCTATGTTGTATTGATAAATATTGAAAATGTGGAGCTAGTATTTCTAGTGTGCTGCCCAATATTTAACACTGCACCAAGAATGCTATTTGTCAGCCTGAAATCGAAACAGCTATATATTCATTTTAAAAACTCGTGACCAATTCAACAATGAAACAAGGAATCATTCTCAAAACAAGAGTCCTAATTTTTATTGATACACAGAAGAGGGTTCATATTGTTTAAAATAAAATGCTTTGGGTTTCACTGGGGAGGTGTAGGTGTTGCTCGTTGCTTTTTACCTTTGCCTTTCAACAACTGCTGTTGTTGTTGTTGTTGTTGTTGCTGCTGCTGCTGTTGTTGTTGTTGTTGTTGCAACTGCTGTTGAAGCTGTTGTTGTTGTCTGAGAAGTTGTTGCTTCTGGTAGGCAGCCTGGGCTTGTTGCTGCTGTTTCTGCAATGCATTTAGTTGTTGGAGAGTAGCCTAGACAATACAACATAAACGTTTCTATTTATATTCATTCTGTAAAATAAGTGTTTAAATGTCACATGAACTGTGTGTAGTGATAAAGAAGTTTACTAGATTTGTCTTTGAAAAGATGTAGCTCCTGTTGCATACCAATAATGATCAACTGCAATTCTTTAGATAATAATAATAATAATAATAATAGTGGGTTCTTGTATAGCGCTCATGTCAGTCAGATTTGACCCTCCTGGCGCTCCTGATTAGATGATATGTTTAGTTATCTTATTTGAAATCAATCTAATGATTAACATTATTAAACATTATTAACTAATATTTCATTATCTGAATCAACAGTCCAACTAAACTTAGAAAGGACGTTGATTTCCAATGAGGAAATTACGTTCAATTGCCCATTTTCCTTGTTGTTACTTTCCGTAAGCAGAGCAATTCCAAGAAAATTTTGCCCTAAAAGGATAGATAGCCGTTTCTTCTTATTTCTTGAATCAGGCCTTCATATAATAAATATCTTGTCTGATTGCCTTCAAGTGTGTGCACATCTTGTTAGAGTTTTTTACAAGAGCACAGTCATCAGGACAGAATATAATTTCCAAGTCTATCTCACCTGGCTCTGGGAGGTAGAAAGCTGTTGCTGCTGCTGCTGTTGTTGTTGCTGTTGTTGTTGTTGCTGCTGTTGTTGTTGTTGTTGCTGTTGTTGTTGATTTTGAGCTGCCATTTGTTGTAACTGTTGCTGCAACTGTTGTAGAGTTGCTGGGTTAATTTGGCGTTGCTGAATAGCAGTGTTATAAAGTAACTGTTGTTGGCCCTGAAATATATATAATAAAGATGTTATCGGACGCAAAAGTATTTAAATATGAGTAAATATATTTCCATCGCCAAATTTTGCATCAAAAGCTAGTATTTTTTAATTTCCAATAAAAAAAATATTCAGACAAAGGTATGTCTAGAAGCTGGCAGAGGATTATATCAGTTATGGACTAAATCTCTGTAATATTGAATCTATTTATCTCTTTGATTAATGAAGAACCTCATTCTCTAAACCGGATCTGATGACCTATAAGAATATTGGTGTCCAAGAAATAGTGTGTAGGATTCAGTCAAATTTATAATGTCAGGAGAGATTAAAAGTATGTTCCTCTTTCTTATATAATTTGGTTAAAAACTGCAAGAAGCTAAATCAACTACAATTGCATGGTTCTTGCTCTCCTTCTACAAAATAGGAATGTGACGACTACTAACCTGAAGGAGAGATAGCTGAGCTTGGTTAGTCCCTGCACCTCCCGCTCCTGCTGCTCCTCCTGCGGTCTGTGCAGCAGCAGCAGCTCTTAGGGTTGTGTTCTTCAGGTTCATGGTCATCAGCTGGGCTAGCTTGGCTTGGGTCAGCTGGTTATTCCCTTGACCGATGCTTACTTGACCCTGTGCATTGGCGATGACGGCTTGACCACCGGTACCTAATAGCCCTTGAGCACCACCTGTTTGATATGATCAAGTGAATGGAGTGTCCACCGTCATTGGAAATGTCATACTATGACTAAGTCGTTATTCTTTAAGAGAATAATAATATGTTCATTCATATATCGCAGCTACAATATGAATATACTCTACTTTACCTAATACAAAGTTTCATATTATTACCCCAACTGTAGCTGAGTGGCCATAATAAGGCACTAAAGCATTCAAGGAATTCTTCCTCCCAGGTACCCATTTAATTCACCTGGGTGGAGAATGGCAAGTGTAGATTAATGTCTGGCCAAAGGACATTAGTGCCGCGACAGGACGTATCCTCTAGACCACGACACCTCTACAATGAGTATTTAAATTGATTATTTATATCTCCACCAATGAACTACACACATTTGATTCAGATACAAATGGAGACTGCACTGGTGTACCTGTATGTTAATGAAGGTTAAGAGGTCTCACAACAAATCCAAAATAAATTGTCATTCACTCTATGGAATTTCAGAGAGGCAAAATCTTTAAAAAAGGGAAAAACATGTAAATTATCAAGATTTGAATTATACCAAATTAAGCAATCTTACTGATGATATTGATAGGTCCTGTCAAGACATTAGCAGGAGCCTGGATGACACCTGATTGTGATGTGGTAGCTGGGGAAACCCCTGATGATACCACGGTGATGACATCATTGTTGGAGCTAGCTGATGAGGTAGATATCTGAATCATTCCTCCAGCCTGATGAGGGGAGAAACCGGGAAGGGTCGTCATGACACCGATGGGCGTGTTGATGATGTTGTTCCCTGTCTGAGGTATACCTCCTGGGATTGGGGATGGAAATAAATATGATTAGCTGCAGTAAAGTTTTTATAGCCCCTCTGCACAAGTTTGGCCAGAGTGATTAGATCTCCCTACGTGGTCACTGACAGGTGGTTATCTCATAACATAAGAAAAAGGGGATGATGGGGGACCAATGGTCACCGATTATGCATTGTTTGCTATATAGAGGGCACAAGTAGCTATAAGGAGTGCAGTTTTTAAGAAAGGTTTATTACAACAAATGTCATATGCTGTACATGATGCCACAATAATACACAGGTCTGTATTTCTGTAGTTGGAATTCCCCAAAACGTGTCAATCATTGTTTTAAAAAAATCAGAAAACTTTTAGGACTGCTGATGGAATAATTCACTTTGACATAGATTCAATGGAATACTCTCCCTCAACGGATGAAAAAGAGCAGATTTGGTAAAGTGTTAAAAAATAATCTCAAGAAATATCTGTTTAATTTAGCCTATAATTGATTACCATTACCTTTCATGTCTACCTTTCCTATTGCACTTTTGTATATATTTATCATGTATTTCATCTTTTGCACAAGCTGCGCCTTGAGCATTGGATTGTCAAGTGGATTTAGCCCTTACAAATCTTATGTATTATTATTATTATTAATGCATATTTACGCACCTTGCTGAGAATTGACGAGTGCCATAGCGATAGTCATAGCCATCTGATGACTACTGCTAGATGTAGCTGGTCCACTACCCAGTGGAGAGGGGGTATTAGTCCTACCCTGGACAGGTGGAGGGGTAACCGATGACTGGAGGGAGGGGGTGGAAGAGGGTGGGGGTGTAGGAGGGGGACCCATTGAACCTGTGGGGGAAATAGAGATCAAAGGAACATGCTAACATGGTCACAGGCAGTTCATCTTGCATGTCTTAACATACCAAAATATGAGAATGAGATATTTAAAACAAATAGTCAAATATATTGATCTATACTACCATACCTTAGGATAATTAAACATTGGTATCTTATTGTATACTAAAATGAAGGTTGTAGGAAAACTTAGAAACTCGAAATGGATATTTTGTCACAATACCCCCCTTTATCCCTCATCCTACTATTCTATATGTCTACTTTTGATACAATATACCGGTAGTTTCAAATAAAGAGCAATGGCAAATATATATCGTTAAAGAATTTACAAATCTATGAGGACATTGGAGCTCCACTGTTCAATACAGCACAATAAAGACAAGACAAAATTATGGAAATGTATAACAAAAAACTCATATCAAAGTACATATAATAAACAAACAAACTGACAATTTGAAACAAACTTCGATTTGATATGTACCATGTTGACTAGATAGGACAGAAGTTTACTGGCATTACAAGATAACAAATATCCAAGAAAACAGACAACTAATTTGATCCTTGTTTAACCCGATATGACCTGGCTTGACTTGATGGTGTGTATAATAGCACACATGAATCACCTGGGAGGTTAGCTGAATGAGCAGCGGCCGCCAGGACCTGTCGGGCATCTAAACCTGACGAGCGACGCCCAAGGATAGGAGGGAGAGGACGAGAGGTAGCAACTGGCCTCTGGGCCTGCTGGGGGGTAGACAAGGGTGCCCTCAGTTGGCGAAGCTGTGCGCCTACGCTAAACATGGGTACTACAAGGTTTGGTGGTTGTGTGTATTGAGGTGTATTTTGAGGTGAATTGTGAGGGTACAATTTTTGACCGAAGAAATGTATGACAATTATGCAATTTGAATCATTAAAAAACACAATTAAATTTGATATTTGACATATATTTTTTTTAATTTTATATTAATATGTTGTATTTATATATTGTCATGTTATAAATGTAACATACAAAGTTTAATGTGAAAGATAGAGTTTTGACATAATGTAATTTTTTTTTTAAAGTTTCATATAAATTTGAATAAAAAATAAAACATCAAATGTGTTCAATTTTAATGTAGTAATTTCAACATTCAATAGGATGGATCAAAGAAAACAAAAAGAAAGAAAGAAAAAAGAGGAATACCAATATCACTTTCATGCCACAACTTTTCACAAAATATAAACAAATTTAATTAAAAAAAAGGAACATATAGCAAAGAATCTGCAAATTTTCTTTACACAGAAAGCTAATGAAGCATCTACAAACAACAGCCACGAGTTTAAGAGGCAAGTGTTCTTCCAACATGTATAGAGTTTTCAGTTGTACTTCATTCTTTTGTTACACCTTTATTAAGTATTTCATTGTTTTTGGAATTATATTTTATCTCATATTCAGTTCAGGACATTCATCCTGTACATGAATGTAATGTACCCATCATTTAACATGTTTGGTCATTTGTAGATGCTCCCGACAGGAAACTTATAAACATAAACATGAATACTTACATCAACATCATTGAATGTAGAAGTAGAGAAACTAACTTTCACCAACTCTTTGGTTGAAAATTACTATTTTGTTAGAGAGAACCACTACTTCTTGAATCAATGTAGATAACTCATAGAAACTGGAACTCTTTTAATGGTCAGTATGTGATTGATAGTACCTTTAGTATGATATAATTGCAGTGTAAGGAAAACATGCAACTAGGTAGCTCTGAGAAAGCTCTATACATAATCTCTTGTTGAGTATGGATCATGATTCCCATCTGAAAATATTTGGTACTTCTTATTAGCTATTATTTTCCTTGTCTCTCTACTTCTACACTCAATCAATAGCAACATTTTAGCTGCAAAATCAAAATATCATGCTACTGAATAAACTGGAAATAAAATGAACAAATTTCAGCAAAACTAATAATCGCAACATAACAAGTTCAGAAATCATATCAAAACAAACCAATAAAACTAAGGTTTACAAATCCAGGAACAAGGAATATCTATCTATTCAACAAACCTGGTCAATAAATCAAAATATGTGTCTGCACAAAACACAAAAAACAATCAATTTTGAATATCAACGTCTCTATCAGGCTCTGAATTGCGAAACCAGAAAAATAATCCTAAACTTTGACCAGATCGGACCTACTTAGTGGACAAAATCCAAACTGCTAACTGTCTCTCAAGGCCTCAGTTAGAGCAAGTCTACCCCAGAGTAACAGTCTATGAGGATGGTTTAAAAATATATGTATGTCTAGCGAAGATCAAGCTTATTCCACAATAGACATTTCCAGAATAGACCAGGTCTAGTACATATATACCTAGCCTAGAGTAGGCTTATCACATATGCAATTGTATGCATACTATCATTGACATTTAATAATCTAACATTGATACATTTAACAGATCCACTTTCCATTGGAATATGAATGTACATACCTGGTGGTGTAGATGGCATGGTTGTAGGTGTACCAACAGGAGAGGTAAGTACATCCTGCTGCTGAGCATTGTTATTGCTGTTTGCCCTGAAAATAAAGTGATGGGGAAATTTTTTTCTATGATATATTATATATATTTTTCAACAGACAAGATTGACTGTCATAATTCCTTTAGCCCAATCAAATAGTCAGCAATGAAACGTTTTGATTTAAAAACTGTTTTACAACCCATTTTGCATCACATTTTCACTCTAGACAAATTATTTTTGATAAAGATAATCCCCTTGTATAGAAGAGCCTCCAAGTTAACATCAGCCCTGCACATACTTTTCACTAAAGTAAGCCATCTTACACTAAGCTGAAGAGGAAACAATCTTTCCTAGGATGATTGTCTTTCCTTATTTCAATAACAAACTGAGCTTTAAAAGAGACAATATAAGAGGCATAATGCACTGTGGGAAGGTCTATGGGAAAAAAAATACAGAATGAGCAAGAGACAAAGTGCATCATTGATGTGGACACTCTATCAAGTACAAAAGCATTACTTCTTCATCCAAGCAGCTTGTTTTAAAGCCCCACTGCACTACTTATAGCTACTTGTGCCCTCTATATAGCAAACAATGCCTAATCAGTGCCTGTTGGTCCCACATGAGCCCCATTTTCTTATGTGCATTGAGAGCTGATTTGATGAGATAACCACCTGTCAGTGACCTTGCAGGGTGGTCTAATCCCTCCTGGCCAAACTAGTACAGACAGGCATAAGGCTATTCACTCAAGGATTCGGTGATCACTTGTTTCTCACCTGTTGAGATATGCAGGTGGTTGTCTGCCCATACCAGGCAAGCGAGGGCTCGTTACAGAGATGGTAGACCCTGCTGCTTGACCCTGTACTTGACCTTGTACCTGACCTTGTTGACCTCCTGTGATCTGAATGACATGACCTTGAGAGTTCACAGAACCTGTTAAATCAAAGAAGAAAAAACAATTGAAATGGTTTGCTTGGTGAAAGGAATATACCATCCAAAACTTTGGCTTGTTTTGTGTTGAACCAATAACCATGCAATCATAAGTTGAAAACTCAAAATCTATCAATGCTGCTTGACTCATTGTCGCTCAAAACATATAGATTTCTTTCTCACAGATCATGATTATATTATGCAAACTTAATAGAAACAGAAAACAGAGAGATATGCTTCAACATGTTGATAACATTTATTGGAAAGAACAGCCATGATTCTGTATCATGAGAGAAAGTATCAAAAAGACCACAAAGAGTATACTTTTATTTTTTTTAAATATTTTATCTATTCTTGGTGGTATTGTTTATTCGGATGGTTTATATAATCACCAAACTACTTTGTGCTGGTAAGAAGCCTGTGGTTCAGGACATACCTGCTAATCCAGACTGCGAGAGCTGGTTGGAGAGCTGGTTTGAGAGAGTGTTGTTCATATTCACAGCTGCTGCAGCGTTCAGAGGAAGCTGTAGCTTCAGAGGCTGCTTGGAATCCATTGCAGGCATGTCACCCTGTAAAAGGTCAAAAGTCATCATCAACATCATGTTTTTATCTCAATAAATAAGTTATATTCCTTAATAGTTGGCCCTTCAAAAATACAAATGACATTCCTATTGTATATGTTAATACTTGGGATATTGTAAGTACATTCACATTTAGTTTTATGGGGTATTGTAGCACTGCAAAGGATCAGTGACTGGCTTTGTCTTGATGGCAATATCATAATTTATCAGAATACTCCCATAAACACTAAGCAAGATTAACAGGAACATCAATCAAATAACAGAAATAGATTTTAAAAAGCTATGCATGCAGTAATGGGTGCAAATCAAAATGTATAGCAACTCATAAAAGTTAAATTTTTGGGTTGTTGATCAATGTAATGATCTGAAGGGTACACGAAATATACCAAGAACTTTGCTATGCATTCACTTACCCCTGCTCCTATCTGATTGTTGCTATTATTATTCTGCTGGAGGTTACTAGCATCCAAACTCCCTCCACCACTGGTAGTACGAGCCCCCTGGGCTGCTACCGATGCACCTGCATCACCGCCCCCTCCTGTACCTGCCGTGCCCCCCTGCTGCTGCCCCTGTTGCTGCTGAGCAGACCCCCTTGAGCCCTGCTGCTGGTGTGACTGGTAGGCGGGGTTCTGAATCAGCTGGGGTGGTTGACCTGCCATGACCCGGGAGATCTTGACCGGCTGTCTAGTCTCCAAGGACAGGCTTTCCGTTAGTTGCTTTAGATACCTAAATATAAATATTGAAAGTCATTGAAGTTTCAAACTATTGCCCTCACAAGTAAATCACTTGGGTTATCAGTCCATTGTTTTAGGAAACCTGTAGGTTTACATTTTTGGTATCACAGCTACCAGTCATAATGAATCAGTTCAATATCTTATACAGGTGATGTACAATAATCATATTTTAAATTTTATCCCAAAACATGCATTTGTCAGTTATTCAGAATAAATTCGACACCAACAAAAAAATGAACGAAAGATGTTTACTTACCTTTGAGCATTTTGTAATGATCCTAGGTAGAACCTTGAGAAAGTAAGGAACAGAAACAAGAAATATAACATCAGGGAAATAAGAGATTCAAATGATAACTCCACACATTTTGTTTTATGAAATGTACATACATATCAATTAACTATATTGAGATAACCAGCATTCTTCAGTACATAATATTATTTCATTAAATATCACATCCTGGAGGACTTGTTCATTCAATCTCTTTTCTTTACAAATTTGAACCCTAGTCAACCTTTACATTAACTTTCTCAAATACTGGACGATCATTCTTACTTGGTAAAGTTAGCATTGGTTCTAGGGTGTTGTGGATCATTAGGATTATAGTTCCTATCGATGTACTGCTCTCCTTGATAGGTCTGATCTAGCTGACGTTGCTGGATGGTAACCCTGACATGCTGCAGACGTCCATTCCCTCGCTCAGTCTCTAAGATCACCTCTTCAACAGGTATCTACAGAAGAAAAGAAAGGATTGGATACTCTGTCATACCAGTTTGAAAGACATGTATTTATGAAAGCACTAGAGTATAATTATTATAGTTATTATGAGTTCATAATAGGATCTGTTGAGTTGAGTTGAGGCTGTATGCATCAATCTATTACATACGGAGCCTCAACGAGAGCGGATAGACCCTGCAATGAACAAATGAAAGCAAGCATCATTTTGTTTTATACAAGGAAAATCCTAGAGTTTGTTATTTGGTGTAAAATGAATTCATTTCTCGCTTATATCTTGACTTATATTCATATTGCCGACCTGTTTTATTAAAACAAATAATTCATGTTTTGAAGCTCGTGCACAAGAATGATATTCACTGCACTCAGTTAAGTAGGTACTTACCACTCCTCCACTGCTTCTTTCTCGTGGTCTATCTGAGTGACTTGCAAACTGTGTTACCTGAAGAAAAACAAAACAGCAAGAATGATAACAAAATACAATTATTTTTACTTTATAATTCTGTCTCTCACTTTCATGAAGTTGTACTTTCTTTTCATAGCTATTTTCTAAAGTAATTAGAAATGGATTGATATACTAAATGAGAGAGGTACTTACAGGAACATTTTCAGGAACAGTTAGGTCAAGATCTCTCTGCTTCCACATGTCAACACACTGAAATAACACAATAGAGAACAGTGAGAATCCACAATAAAATACAAGAAATAGTGACATTCATCTTCATTCAACAAGGTCACTAGGAACTCTTACTACTGACTATTCACATGAATTGATAATGATCTCATACAACATTCAACAAAATGTACCATGATCCTGCCCAATATATAAATGGTTACAGTACAGTCTAGTCAACTTCTGCTTCTAATAAAAACCCAATGCTGGATTTAGGCTTAAGATCAAAATCAGGTTAAACTTTTTTGTTTTACTGTAGTATCGCATTTGTCAGTCAGGTCATATGACAAGCTGTTTAATCACCAAATAAATAACATATGTGCACTATATATTATAAATCCTATCCAAATTGAGTGAGAAAACTTACTGGTTTGCCAACTTTGAGGTTAACTTTAGGTGGTGGCGCTCTCTCTTTCTTCTTAGCAAGGAAGTCATGAAGCCTGAGACCTGGTGGAGCTGGGAATGACTTGAATGTGGCTCGACGGTTACGGGCTATCTGAGAATACCTCTTCATGCACCTTGAAACGTAGATCAAATATAAAATAAGATGATTTATTATTGTGAGGTGAAAAGATCATTCATGAAAAACATATGCCAGCTACAAATGAGTTGAGATACCAATTCATACTCATTGTGAGTAAAATACAAATATATTGTGATAGTCTTCTTGATATCAATGGGACTAGCTACCTCTCTAAAAAAGCAAAAACAAATTTTAATTCAATAGTGTTACATTACCAAGTTGGTAAAATCTATGAAAACCTCCTCGAAAGTCTAATTCCTTATAGCATCGCACTTAATCATAATTGTGGAAATATGAGTGGTAAACTCACTTTTTGAGTGGTCTTGTATTGAGCCTGTGTTTCTCCTGATGTACTATATTCTCTGCACAAGCTACAGCTACCGATGGATCGAGGCAGAGAGGCTCTTGGGTGGTCAGGAGGAGCTGACTTTCTAGAGCTAACTTATCGTCCTGGTTCAAAGAATAGAGAAAGAGAGAGACAATGTGAACATTTAATCACCACAGTAATTACCTTACATGAACCTACATATTGATCAAGTTCAACATCTTTATCAACATCACTATCATCAGCACCATCATCATCCCCATCATTATCATCATCATCACCACAACTACCTCCACCACCACCATCTTCATCATTATCAGCATCACAACGATATATTCCACACTTACCATACTCCATCTAGGATCATTGCTAGTCATTGAATTGATGTCATATGCCAATGTCTGAAAATAGAAAGATTACAACACTTTTATACAAACTACATTCCAAAAATGAAAGTGTAAATGCCATTTAACAAGTAAAAACACAAACAAACAGAGGCCTTTTCATCAGCACTTCTTTTCACTGAGACAACTTTAATTCAACCTAAGTGCTAAACTTAAAATACAATCGCTAGTCTATAGGTGGAAACACAGACAAGTAGAAATTGTTGTTCAAAAGTAATTCAGACAGTTTTTTTCTTCAACAAAAGGTGACAGAATGAACATCCCATCCCATAGCATGATGAGCATCATAAAGAAATGGACAGTGACAAGAAACCGGTCAAACCTGCTTTAGTAAACACCCGTATAGAAAGACCATCTGTATATCTGTCTTTTTTGTGTTTCCTATTGAAACATGTACTAAAGGAACCTGCACATAAAGACCACCTGCCTGTAAAAACCATTGAGCGGTCTTTATATAGAGGCTTGACTGTAATGGATATGAAAGAGGTTCATACCTGTGGTGTAGGCCTGAGTAGTAAATGTTTGGAGTGATAAGTTTGACCATTAGCCGACTGGCGATAGTCTCTGATCTCAGTCACTACACAACCGCTGTAGAAGATGTTTGTATCAGCTTTATCAAGGAGCTCCACCAGCAAAGGAGGGAGCTGTTCGTGCAAAGTCAATAAAAGGCATTTAAAAGAGTCAATAATAATTTTATAGAATCAAACTTTCATGAACATTTTTGTCCAGTACACAAATACAAATCTCACATTTGAAGCACTTTTTAAAATATTCACTTCAATCCTACTTAAACCTTGATAAAGAGTAAACTCATGTCATAAGGTCTTTAAACTGTGTACAGACAATGAAGGTGTATCTTATGCTCAGCAATAATGTATTGTGTTTTTGGATTCTGAATCAATATAATGAATACATTGAAAGAGATAAGGTAGAGGTATTGTGAAATTTACCCCAATCGAAAATGATCTAAAAGTAATTTGACACTGGAATCAATGAACTCAAAATAAAAATTTGACTCTGTAAATGTTTATATACGGTATTGCTGTCACAGTCCAATAGGTCTATTTGTGTTTTGGAACTGGTGTAAAAGTGAACTTCATATTTACCTCCTCGGCATCAAGATAATCCAAGAAATCTGATTCCTGGGAAAATTAAGCAAAGAAAAGTGAAATATGTATTAACAGAAGGTAAAACAAATCAGTTTAAGCCATCATATACAAGGAGGTAGACTTTGGTTTCAAGATAGCAATGAAGAAAATCCTTAGAATTAACTCCAGATTCACACTCTCACAACACGAAATTTGCAATAAAATTAGAATAGAATTTAATTCAATTTACTGCGATTCCATCATCCATCACAATCAATATCATTTATAAGCAAAGTCAGGAAACTTTGAATTGTAATCATTTGAACGGACACAAGATTCAATTAAATTCATAGTTAATAACTTACATCATACGGCAGCTTCAGTGTCTCTGTGTCTGTAAGGAGGACAAAGAGAGAAGACCAAACATCAATTATGGATAACTGGAACCTTCATTCTCTCACGAGATATAAAAGTACAACAATATGACTAGTTCAATAATCACTACTATCTAAACTTCCTTGTTTACCCTACAGTTGTGCTAATACAAGTAACAGATAACAATGAACATGTTTATAAAGTTCACATTTGTAGACATAACATGGTAGTTCCTGTGACAAGACTGTTTATGTATTCTTTATGTATATATATATATATATATATATATAAATAATTAATAAAATAGTGTGTGGCAAATATACTCAACTGTGACTGATTGCCCAACGAAATCAAATCAAGAAAGAAAGAAAGTCAACGAGAATGGTTTCTGAGGTGATGGATATACATAGGCTGTTTGGAGCATAAATGGCACTATCAAATACAGAGTCAAGGCCCCTCTGGCTCCATACAAACAATGTAATCAAATGAATGACCGATCACCAAGGAAAACATTTCTTCATATTTGAGAGTTATATTTACGACACTGAATACCCTAGTTGGATAATGTTGCTATTAAATTTCTAGTTGTTTCTTTTGTGACCTTTGACCTTACCATTGCCATCCTTGCCCCTGAGCATGAATGAGAATCCTTGGTTGCTAGGAAACAGGTTAACAACCAGACAGGTGAGTTTGTCTCTCTTGGCTAGCTTGTCAAGCAGGTGGGTACTGCTCTTCAGACTCTGAATGATGATGGACAGAATGGTCGGAAAAATAATAAATTTGGAATCGAAGTTCTCTGACTAAAATGATATCTAGAGGATTCTTATTGCTAAACGAGGACTAATCTTAACAACTAACATTCAATCAATATGCTGTAATGATGCAATTTTTCACAAGACTTAAAAAGTCTTAAATTTGATTTATGTAAGTAAATTACATGATTAAAATACAACACAACCTACTAGGAAAAAATGACCAATACAAACATAGTCCTCTAGTTTGTGGTTTGGGATGAATTTAAAAGGAAATCCCCTAACTGTACTATCTTTTAAAGGCACACTGCCATACTTGTAGCTACTTGCTCCCTCTATATAGAAAACTTCCCCAATCGGTGCCTGTTGGTCCCCCATGATCCTCTTTTTCTTATGTTAAATGAGAGCTGAGTTAATGAGATAGCCACCTGTCACAATGACCTTGATGGCTCGCTGTGTGGTCTAATCCCTTCTTGCCCAGTAGTGGTGACGGTCTTTAAAATAATAATTATACAAGAAGGCCAAGACAAAATTGACTAAATTTACCAAAAACTTCAAAACAATATCAGTAGTGATCAAGAAGAGATTAGTCGAATATCCAGGGAGGCATGAGTGTATTTACTCGTGATTATATTAACACTGCTTACCGGATCACTTGACTCCTTGTTGCATTCTTCAACGTATAATTCCTGCAGACGTTGGTGTATTGATTTCCTGCAAATTTAAAGAATGGTTTGAGACTTTTTTTTCATGCTCCACTATTAAGGAATCTTTCAGACCTGAATTTCAGACTCATAAGGAACAAATTAATATTGAAATTGACTTTTAGACCTTTCTCAGGTTTCAAGGAAATGCCAAAAAAAAAATCACAGATTATATTGGCAAAATGGGATTCTGGAACAACATACTGACTGGAATACCACCCCACCCTCCAAGCCAATTAGGCGAACTATATATGGGGACAACTATCATCCGGACAAATTCATCCAGTAAGGATTAGCATTATCAAGAACAATAGTGATGAAGACATTTCTTCTGCAGGGAGGGGGGAGGGGGGAGAGAGAGAGAGAGAGAGAGAGAGAGTCTTTTTTCCACTTTCATGTACACTGAAACACTGAGTATGGTGGGATGTATCCTATTATTAATGAAGGTAAACCATTTACCATTTACTTGAACCAGTGCTTTTAAATTTGGGCTTCCTTTCCACTGACTGTAGAACTTGCTGCACAAAAAAATGAAAGAACAAAATATGATTAGCACATCATATAAACCTAACATTATAAACGTACAAATAAAGCATTCATAACAATTTTAAAATTCATTAAATGTCTATTAAAAAAAAGAAATTACACCTCAGCTTCATTTGCTAGGAACACTTAGGTATGTATTGTTTTTATTCAGTTTTACCCAACCTTGGGACTACAATCACATTTAAGAAAGGAAAACTTAAACCTCAAACTCCTTTGTTAAAATACAAAAACAAATGAACAAAAAAAGTAAATAATTTACCTCAGCTTGCAGGATGGCCTCTTCCAAACCAGAGGCCTGAAAGAAAGAAAGAATGAATGAATTAGTTGGATCAAAATTTGATAAGTTAGCCAGAAATGTCAAAGCTTTGTGCTTCATCAAAAAAAGTCCTCACAATGACAAATTTTCCAACAAGGGGGAAAAAATAGTCATCAGAATTTTGAAGTTGCCTAAAGATCCAACAAGGGATTCTTATCCATTAATCAGGGCTCCATCCACACATATGACTGCTGAATTTTCAATGACAATGTGCAAGAACTAATGAAGTGTGTATTCATATCAATTATCAAACCCCTCTTACTACATGATACATCCAGATGATATTTACTTTTGAACTTGCTCAAATATTGATGAGATCTTTGGTGGTAAACACTTATTTTTGGAATAGAATACTAAATAATTGATAAATACATCATCTGATCTTTACAGGAAAATAATATAAGTATCTCTTGCTCAACATGGCATCAAATTTAGGATAGCCAGCGTCGAAACACATTCACAACAAAAATCAGATTAAAGTCAAGCAAAGGAGGGCTTTTTGAAAATATTATCTTCCGAACTATCTAATGTTCCATGAAAATAAAATCAAATATATAAAATCTCTTGAAAATCTTTTTCTTATGTCAAGGGTGAAAAGAAAATTAGAGTAAAGTGCCCTGACTTTATACTATGCCATGATTAATACGCAAATTAACTTGTTCAAAATCACAACGCAAAGACATCCAAACATACACATTTCCACTCATTTTTGAATGGGACTGATGAAGCCAAGACCTTATGGTCTAACGTATTGGGAAGAAAACCATTTCATATTTTTCACAAATTTGTTAAAAATATTGTGAAGAAAATAATTCACAGGGTCAACAATTTAAAAACAAAGTTACGACCAGATTTACCAATGTCAGATTTTGCGGCAAGAAGAGCGCCATCTCAGTCATTACTCAATAACAACCACACACTTGGAGCAATACATGGGACTACAGTGCACTACATATTCTATTGCAATCGAATTCATTCCTATATTGTACCTAAAATTGGGTTAGCATGATAAGATGACATTCATTATTATTAAATTGAGAATCTTAAGAAGGTAGAAAATTCGAAATTATACACAATTGGGGCAAAATAATGTCAAAATAATGCAAAATAAATACATTGATTAGTCTTACCATTTTGTTTTTCTAGTCAGCAAGATAGGGTGAAGTTAGCACGGCGAATACTTTCAGTATGGTGGTTGTAGATATCAAATGAAAAAGGAATGTCAGTTTAATAACAACAACAAAGATCATTTTGATTTGTTTTGATTTGTTTTGATTTTCCTATATATTTTCAGCGAGAGTTAAACAAAACAGAATCGGAATATTATTTAAGCAGCTAATTGATTTCTATCTGAAATGTAATTATGTTAAATTTGAAATAATGATCGTAAAGAGCATAGAGGTTCTTTCCAAGGATGAAGATGCTATACTCCTGAGCTGAGAAGCCATTATTATTATTGTTGTTGTTGATGTTGTAGTATTATTATCACTATCATTATTATCATTATAATTGTTATTATTATCATCATTATTATCATTATTAATTTATTATTTTTGTTATTGATATTATTATTATTATTATTATTATTATTATTATTATTATTATTATTATATTATTATCATCATCATTATTATTATTATTATTATTATTATCATTATAATCATTATAATAAATATTATTATCATTATTTTTTAAATAATTACTATCGTTATCACCCGCATCATCACCATCAATTACATCCTGTCTTGACAATTGCTCATTCCATCCAGAAATTAGAATTAGAAAGTAGAAAGTTAGACTTCCACAGGTTCACCGAGACACTGAGCACCTGCTTCAGTCCTATAGGCTTTCTGTATCTCTCAGAGTCACTCTCATCTTTATTCTTTACAATCCTTTTTCTTTTGTTTCATCACATTTCCTTCAGACATGTATTTCATTCTCAATATAATGAATTGAAGGTAGCATGTATCTGCAACATTAACAACAAAAATAGGCCTACATTATTCCTCCATCTTGATGGTCTTATTTTGTGGAGTATATCGGTCATCGCATTGCAAAAGAAACTGTTTAGAACTTATACTTTCAAAGTGGTTTACTATTAGGCCTATTGACTATGTAGTAAATGTTTTTTTTTTAAATCACAAAGATGCAATAAGAAGTTTCATTCTATAAAATTGTCAAACAATGAATACTAGTGTATAAATTTATATATATTTTCATTTCAATATGACCTACATTTATATTTTAAAACCAAGGCATTCGGAGCCATGGAGAGCCTGCCTGAGAAAGGAGCTCTGAGATATAGGTTGATAACAAATGATTACACAATGGAAATGTGACATTAGAGGAAAATGTGTATACTGGTTACCAAAAAAGGCATACTTTAAATCAAGAATAATTAAGGGAAAATCTTGCCTGAACTTTCCTTGATGGCCACTTAGAATGATTTTGTGTAGTACGTAGGCTTAGGGGAAAATTTTTGTCCCATGTACATATACAGTTAACAACTAAATCATTCACACCCTTGACCCTTTACTTGTTTTGTAATTGTTGAAGTATGTGAAAAAATGGATTTGTCTCGATTTATGTTTCTTGAGAATGTCAAGTTGTAGGCAAGTTGCAGTACAGGTTAATTTAACCAATCTATCTTCATTCTTGGGTTACAAAAAACAAAACAAAACATCAAATTTACAAAGGGTATGAATAATTAAGTTGCTAACTTTATGTGTCCTAGAATCGAAACTGATATGGAAAAATGATAATAATTCTTAGGATAAGAAAAAAGTTATATACAAATTGAAAAAAATATATTGTGCCGGGGCAAATCTGACATTAAAAAAAGTTATAACCTGTCATATCAACGTAATGGATTTAAGCAAGTTTAATTGGATATCCTTAGCCAAACTATTTAAGCCATAACTCTATGATATTTTTGACAAAGTGAAGCTTCGAGGAATCAAGCTGACCTTAAAGGACCACGCCCATTTTTGTGGCGGAGTCATTGAATTATCATGTATGGAATAACACAGCAGTGCATAGGGCCCTTTCGCTAGCTCGCACCATCACATCGGTCCGCTGCCCCAGGCCAGGCCTATAGGATATGACCGCAAGTACAGTACAAGTTAGCTGGACCTGGGAAAGTTTGAAGAGTGGCGCCTAACTGTATGTTTACCTTTCTTCACTCTCATTTGCACTTATCGCAACAAATCGCCCACCCTGTGATCCCGTGTTCGTGAGTAAAATTCAGTGTGTACCAGTATGTTTCAGAATACTAATAAAACAACCTTATCTGACTACGTCGGTGAGCTGAGATCTAAATCCTAGGCCTAGCTAGAGTAGTCTGTGTGTAAATACTCCAGCTCAGTCCCATGCATGAATATCGGTGGAAGTGCAGGTAGTAAACTCTCCCGTCTTTAATACAAACTAGATCTAGAACAAGTTACTGTAGCGGCATAGAATTTGCGATTTCATTGCGATTGTGCGATGTTTCATGTCATTCTTGTAAATAAATCTTGTAAATTCCTTAACCATTAACCCTTAGAATACCAGGTGAAGTTATTTGTGGTTGATTTTGTAGATTCTTGCTGTACACAAATTATTTTAAAAGGTGATTGGTGCACTTTAAGATTTTCTTCATGTCTCTCACTGTCCATAGGATTCATGTTTAATTTTATTTGTTGAGAAAATGTGAAGAGACTTGATCTAATGATGTAAAAGACAATTATGCTGTTTGCTTTGATTGTACTTTTTTCCAGGCCAGAAAAAATGTTTATATTTTGCAGGCTTCATCTATTACCTTTTCCAGTTAATTTGATGTAACAAATTTTAGAATTAGATCTAAGTAGTTTTTGCAGAAAAACGAATCATGTTTGTGACTATTCTCCATGGCTGAGCAGAGGTCTGGCGCCTGGTGGATACCTTACAAGAACAGTGTCTGAACAACTGTCTTCAAGTACAGTATTGATTGAGTCCTTTAATGTTTTTGTTGTTGTCAATTATAACAATAAAGCTCCTTTATTCAAAGAGGGGTTAGGTAGACAATAATCTCAGACTTGGTGAGGCATGAGCTTTGACACAGTGCTCAAATCATTTAATGGTCTGGTGCATATATGTCTGTTTGGAGGCAGGAGGGTGTTAACTGGTACACTATAATACAGAGTTAACAGCCTTCTGGCTCTGAGTAAACAATATGATAAAGAAATCTCTACCCTGGCCTAGCTTTAGAAAAAACTAACTACCTGGAAGTGGGTGAGGAGTCAGCCGCAGAAATAAAAAATTGCTCATAATTTTATATAATAAAAAAGAATTTGATTAGTTTAATTTAGGAGGGGGAGGGTGAGTAAATATCCCTTTCTTTTGGTTCTTCTTTTGATCTTCTGAATGATCTTCAGATTTTTTTGTTTTGAGTCAGAAAGGGGACAGTTAGGAACTGTCATTTCAGTTTGCTTTTCATCCTACATCATTTCACTAAGATGTTCTAATTTAATATTTTCCTAACAGATTCTGAAGAAGGAATGAAGCAAACATTACTGAAAATGAAAATAGAAATAAATGAAAAGTCTAGGTGTGGAAATATTTTGAAGGACATGAACTTGAATTTATTTAGAAAGAAGGAAAAAAAAGCATATAGGTGGTATATTTGCCTGCATCACCAGCAGCAGTCACCTATCCCATCAACGCTTGGAACAAGTACCCCCTACATAAAGGGGCTTATAAGTCCCCCTTTCTTGCCTATCCAAGCAGATCGGTCTCTAATCGTCCCTCCAGCAGGGTAAAGTTGGACGTTATTCACTGTATCGAGCTCAAGACCAGTGAACCAATGCTCAGTGCTGTTTACAAGGGACTCCTTTCAATGGGATGAATACGCAATATAATAGGTCTTGTTTTTGTTTGTTACACTGTATGTATGTATACAATATTGGTCAGGTCGTCATCGTCATAGGGGGTAGAATATGAATGCAGGCTCATAAACAACTTGGCCATCCAGTTTGATCTCAATTTGTGTTTAAAAGCTGGCTAATTTATAGGCTTATATTGAGGTAAGTGAAACCTTGTAATGTTTGTGGGATTTACACTGTACATTGAGAATGTATATTTCAAGAAGCTATAAATAAGCATATGGTCTCTGTTTCTCTGTGAATATGTGTTGCTTGTTTGCAAAATTGTTTTATGATATGAACAGGCTATACTCTCATGAAATTCTCCATTTGTTGGAGGACAAGATCAGAAGAGGTTGTACTTCATTTTCAAATTGAGAGTTGTTTTATTTTCTTCTAAACAAAGCATGGACCATGCTTTGAATATCCAGGTACACAGACATAATTCTGTACAAATCATAAAGTGTAAATGTCTACATGTATCAAACATTTTGACAAAAGGTCGTACTATTTTTGCCAGTTCTGTTGCCTAGTAATGTATGTATGTATGTATGCTTAGCTGCCATGTTTTCTTATAACACCTTTATGACCTTATACTAACTTGAGTTATCTAACATTTTATATTTTTTGCTCTTTCTTTCCAGGATTTTTTTTATCCTCACCTGCTTGCACAGTTCATCCACAAGACTAGGAAATACCATTTATGAGATGATGAAGTCATACAGTTTTCTACAGAAATGGCTGTGATTATCATTTAACCCTCTTAATCACAATGGAGCCTTCAAAAGACTTTGATGGAAAGAAGTCTGAAAATAATCTGCTGTTTAGACCAGTAAACCAATGTGAGGAGTTATCTCTGCAGAGCAACCCCCAATTCCTGGAAGATGATGATGCTTGGATGAGGGAGGATGCAATCTCCTTAGAGGATGAAGATGAGGAGAAACCAGAAGTTTTGCCATTTGGTCTCAACCAGTCTTGGCCCAGGGTATCTCGTCCATCTACTAGACGTGACACTGTTCCCAGAGTGCATCCGAAGAAGAAGCTTCTGAGACAGATCAGCCGAGAGTCTCTAGATGAGTCTACAAATCTTCTTCTGGGGCACATCGTGATGCTTCCAGAGCCGCCCCATGATCTCATCTCGGAACCAAGTTTACCTACATTTGCTAAACATCCCTTGGTTGAAGAAGAGGATGAACAACTCCAGGTAGAGATGGAGAAAAAATTGAACATTTGTGAAGAGAGGAGGAATCCAGATGTGCAGAAGAAAGAGGAGGATTCTTTCCTGGCATTAAATGTCCAAGTATTAGGTGACCGAATTTCAGGGAAACATATGGAAGAGCAGAAACTAATTCTTCCTGATCTGGATTCAATTGAAAAGGACTGTTGTAATAGTAATGACAACCAACTGCAAATTCCTACAGCTTCTGTTCAGTGTAAATCAGGAAAAGATAATGTGGAAGACAACTGTGAAGAGAAGATAATGAGAGAATCTAATGAAGCTCCAACAGATTGTGAAATCAAGGAACCTAACGCTGATGGTTTGAATCAGTCATTGCAAAACCTTAAACTTGATTCTGGTTTACAGGTAACATCATCAGATGAAGGATTGGAAACCGAGAGTGGAATTGAAAACGAAACAAAAGAAGTGTCCAGTGATTTGAAATTGAGTGCTTCCCACATAGACACTAAAGTTGATTTGAATCAAGATGTGCCAAAAGATTACCTTGAGAAATATAGAGAAATTGATGTATCACTAGATGTCAGCACAAATCCTGAAAGATCAGTTAGAAAGAAATCTTCTCCAGGAGAGAGAAAACGACCTCCACTTCTGCGATATCTTAGTCAGGAATCTATTGAAGAATCAACCAATCTCCTGATGGACCATGTTGTTATGATGGACTTGCAACAAAAGCCAAACCAAAGGAGCCCTGAAGGGAGAGACTTAACATGCCCATTCCTAGTGGACATCAAGGAGTCACCTCTCTTAGATGAAGATGCCAGTAGGAGAACAGAGAATGAGAAAGATGAAATGTTTCTGTATCAAGGAGAAGTTGATAGTTGTGATGAGGAGGAGGAGGAGGATGTTGGGCATGAAGATGACAGAGAAGAGACTTCAAAGCATGATTATCTGCATACCATAGCTGATATGAATTCAATGTCATTTATTTCTGATGAGGCTGCAAGTACGCTCCAGGTGAATAGCACTTGCTGGCATGAGCAAATTTAATCTTCAGCAGTTAAACTGTTATCAAACTGTATATATTCTTTTGAACATGAAATGCACATATTTATATTTGAAGTGGTAAAGAAAATATTATACCATTTTTATAATTTGTCTTTCGAAATTGATGTGCTGCTCAGAAACTTCAGGGATATCAATATTGTAAAAAAACTATTGTCACTTGCGAAATCTGTCAAAATCAGTTCTTTTTTAGTTTATTTTTGTAAATATGAGAATTGAAGGAAGTGTCAAGTGTGAATTGTAATACATTGTATTACACTGTATGTAGGAAACAATGCAAAGATGGATTAATAAACATTGTAAAGTGAGACATATACCTTAATATCTTCCATCTTCCAGGACATTGAGCTGATACGGGTAGAGCTGGACAATGCAATACATACATTTCAGGGTCTCATAGAAGAATTTCCAGAAAGGACAGATGAAAGTCTACTCCCAAAAGCTGATGATGTATTTCTTGAAGACATTGACGATGAAGAGGCTGGTGATGTTTCAGGAGATGAGGATGGTAGTGTATTCCGTGTTCTTCCAGATGAACTCCTCATTCATATCTTCAAACATTTCTCTCATGATGAACTCTGTGACCCTATCATGCTTGTATGCAAGAAATGGAACAGCCTTGCCAAAGATCCATTGCTATGGCAATACCTAGACCTGTCCAACAAAGCCGGGATACCATCGGATGTGCTAGGGAGCGTCTTCCAGAGGTGCAATCTACTCTGTGGTATAACATTCCGTGGACGCGATGAGGTCAGTGCTTCTGAAATCCAGGCCATCATTGACCACTGTCCGAACGTGCCAAGTCTTGAATTTGGCTTTGTCCGCACCATGCAAGATGACCAATTCAGCCTGTTGATTGGCAGCTGCAGGTCGTTGACCTCTCTGAACATGGAAGGGTGTGATGGAATCACTGATAGCCTCATCTCCAGGCTGATTCTCCTACCGAAGCTACGATGTCTCAATCTCTCTCATTGTACCAAGCTGACCGATGGGGCCGTGTTTGAGATTGCAAGATTCTGTGATCATCTTGAAGAGCTGGACATCGATGGCATTCCTTGGATCACTGATATGTGAGTAATTCATTTTTACGTTAGGGTACTGGTGGGAAATGTTACAATGACAATGGGCCTCTTGTATAAGAAGGTGCATTTTAGGATGTTCCAAAGCAATGTTCATATGCACCTTAGCTGCATAGGGCCAACTGGTTATGTATTTATCATGTACAATGCATGGAGTTTCTGGTATTTAGCATAGTAACATTACTGTGGAACATCCTTTAATGTAACTAAAAATATCAAAACAAAACTCCCAAATATATGGCTGGAAATCAAGTTGCATTTAATTTTTGGAATTTCATGTTGAAAAATGCAATTTCTTGATGCAAGAGGCCCCAGGTCTGCACATGTAACTCCTAAGAATTCAGATGGTAATCAAAATGTTTCTGTCTGGCATAGAACTTGTACATAATATTGTCGGGCTAACATGGCATCTGTACCAAAGACTCCCAAACTCCACTCTTGACTGCCAAAATGTTAAAAAGTAAGCAGGGGCATTGTATAAACAGGCACTCAGAGGAAGGGTAGTCAGAAGCCCTGGATATTGCGGCAATGCTGCTATTTTTTAAAGGCTTATATGCTTATTCAGAGGGAAAGAAGAACAATGATTTTCATGTTATGCCGGGAAGTGGCCTATGAATAAAAGTAGGAAATCCAAAAAACATGTAGGAAAATTATTTGCCACTAAGTCTCTTTTTAGTAAATTACAAACTGGCTGATCAATTTGATGCAATTTTAGGCCTATATTGATAATTTACAATGTACCTCCGTTTGTAATCTTGTAATCTCTAATTTGTTCATTTTTTGTCAATTCCTAGTGCTGTAACGATGCTATGTGATGAGAGGCAAGCCAAGTTAAGATGTCTGAGACTAGATGGAGCAGAGTTGACTGATATATCCATCCACCATGCTGTACAGTGCCCTAACCTGGAGGAACTAAGCAGCTCATTCTGTGAGCAGCTCACAGACCACTCACTCACCATGTTAAAGGTATTTTGACACTGGACAGCCATCTAACATTTGCGCTTGGCTTCATTTCGTTAAAGATATAGGGTTAGGGTCAGGGTCATGATTAGGCCACGTTTAGGGTTAGAATCAGTACTAGGTATTTTGCTTATAATCAAGGGTTGAAGGTAGGGATTTAATTAGTTTAACAGAGCAACTGTTGCCACATTACGATACAGAAAACTTTCATTGGTTGGGGTAATTATAACATAATCACTTGGCTTGAGAAAGTCCACAGGAGTGGATGAAAGCTTGCCTACTAAATTTTAAGGTTGGTAGAAGCTATAACTACATATTGTTGCCACATTGTCTGCTGTACAACGATTCTCACAAATAAAAAAAAATTGGTCATGACATCTCATTAGAGTCATTGAATCAGCAACTTGCGTATCAATGTGTCGTGTTACCTTTTCACCTAGTTCTCTCTCTCCCTTGAAAACATGTTTCCATATTTCTTTTCCCTTTAAAGGATACTTTAATGAAATTTTGAATTGGTAGTATCATAGTCATCAGTTTTGCTATTTCTCTATATCTATAATATTGCAGAAGTGGAAGAAACCAGTACGTCTACGTCTTCAGAAGGGCAAGGAGTTTTCAGAGGAAGCCTTAGCCAATCTCTTCATCTCCCCTCAGATGTCTAACTTGACCTACCTTGACCTTTCAGAGTGTTCTGAGCTGAGAGATCCAGGTCTTATCAACATTGCCACAAGGTAAAGACTTTGTTGATAAAAGTTGATAGGGCGCTTTAGCAATGCGACAGAAGGCAAACAGGACGGGAGAATTCACTCAACCGAGATCTTCCTGTACTATATGCTCCGTCTTCATTTGTAACCTGTATATAGAGCGCTTCCGCAAACACGACGGAAGGCAAATACGAGGGTAATGGAGCAAAATAATCAATCTGCGCATGTCCGAACCAGAATTTTCTCTGTCTTGTTGATTTTCACAACCGTTCTCAGCCATAATAGCGTTCTTTCCCTAAACTTCACAGAAGAGTTGTATCGCCATGCAATAGACCATTTTCGTAATGTAACCAAATTTAATGCATAAGTCTTTGTAAAGTGTCTCAATACAAATGATTTCACTCAGCTGATAAGAATAATAGTATTTCAATAGACAGAATCTGAACTGCATATATTATTTGATCTCGTTTGAGTGAATTCTCCCGTCCTCTTTTGTCTCGTTGCTACATAAAGCGCCCTAATGATGTTCTGTGGGAGTTTAATATTGAAAAGGATGAAAAGCTTCTCTTTTTTGTGTGTAAAGAGGAGAGGTGGATGATAATTATGTATGAGAAATCATCCCAAATGAAATAAAGTTATATAAATATAATGTAGGTATAGTTTTGGGGGACAATAATTGTATATACAGTTAACAACTAAAATTATTCAAATTGATTTGTCCCAATTTATGTTTCTTAAGAATGTGACATATTAAAGATTACATCTTAAAGTATTCAACAAATTAGCCCACCTTTCATTCTTGAAATACAAAATACACAAGAAGCTTCAAATTTGCGAGGGGTATATATATATATATAAATCAGTATATATGGTGCTAAAAAGCTGGGAACAGGTGGCTTCTCTTGTCAATGGGAGGAGTGCATGGAATGCTTTTATAAAAATGGAAATTGAGGATATTTTTTAAAGAATGAAAAATGTTAGAGATCCTTTTTTTTTTTCTTTTTTTTTTCTAATCATGACCGTTTCATTGACCTTAATAAAAAGGAATTATGTATAATTATTTTTTCTTCAGATAAAGATACACGTTTAAGGAATCTAAAATATTTTTGATGTATAAGGGAAAAAAAGGATTTGAACATGAATTAATAAGATTTATATCATGTACACTGTGCAGATGAATTGATATGTTTCCCTGAACTGAATGCTTTATTTTCTCTTCTGTTTTCTGTACAGGTGCCCTCTTCTCACCCATCTTGCTATTGAATGGTGCTGGTTTATTTCTGATGTTGGTTTGGTGCAAGTACTAGATAACTGCAGGTAAATTACTTCACATGTGACACATTTTCAGCCAATATGATAATTGCCAACAAATACCCTATTTGATGTACAGTGTAGATACCGGTTAATAGATTTTTTATAATGGCCGCAGAACAGGAGATTCGGGCAACCAGGGTTATATATTCCAAGTAAAAAGAAATCATATATTTGCATGGTTTTCCTGTGAAACATTCATATTTAGAAATCATTCAAACCTTTTTTTGGTGACCTTTCTTTCTGCTCTTGTTACTCTGTAGTCTTTTAAAGCATCTCGATCTGATAGGTCTTCATGCTATTCTTGGTCACTGCCTAGCGGACGTCCCAACCAAGTTACCCCAACTAGACTTCCTTGATCTCAGACAGTGCAATAGGGTAAGTAATGACTATCTGTGGGTGTGGCATTCATGTGTGCAGAATAGACCTTTAAACAACTATTCAGAATTTAAAAGTCTAATACTACACAAAATGCAACCAATTGCAAATTTATGTGGGAAATAAAATTGTCAGGTATAGTGTTGTCATCAGTTGTTCTGAATCTCTTAATTCTATGAGGGAGAAACTGTTGATTTCAGCGGTAGTGATTTTGAAAACTGTACATTGTTCAACTTTAACAAATTGTGGAGGTAGGGCTTATGTATTTATGACAGGTCAATTCAAATTAACATTTAAAAATGCCCTACAAATTTATTGACTCTTTCCTGTGTAGAAAGAATCTCTTTGGATTTTAGACAAGAGTGTTATTGTAATAATAATAACATTGACTTTTAAAGCACTTTACTAGTTAACTGACCAAAGCCATTACAGTATTATTATTGTAGTCATATATATCTGCTTATTTCCCACTGAGTGATGTACAAAGCTGTATTTGCCTCTGTTTTGATAGGCTAGGGTCATTCCTGCAATGCATACTGCAGATTAATATCTTGAGCATTAGGACAATATACACACACAATAAACCTCCTAAACATGATGCATGGAGTATTTTTTATCACAAATGATTTTATTTCATGGCATATATACACAACATAATGGAGTTCCTTATGTGGAAAGCAAACGTAGTACAAGAATAACTCAAACATTACAAGCCTCTTACCTAATTTCAGTGGTGCAGCTAGAAAAATATTTCATATTGGTTGCCTTCATAAGGAACCATAACCAAAACTAAAGAATACAATACAGTCTCATAATTTTCCTGACTTAAAATGCATTTATATCATTATTTAGAAAAAGTCATAAGGAATTACACTTTTCTTGTACAGCACCCAAGCTATTTGAATATTGATATTCATTCCTTCACTATAACTATCATCATTATATTTTCAATATATTTTTTTTCCTTCTCTTTTTCAGATCACAGATGCAATGCTGGTGCAGATCGTTTCTATGAAACACAACCTTGTCATCATGAATTACTATGGTGAAGAAGTAGTTCATGGTAACCTTCCGGGTACACTTGATCTATGAGAACAACAAATCCTTGGATGTAAGAAATTAGTTTGTTTAAAGAAATCAAAATATCAGCTTATCAAAGTTTTGTTTAGCAAAATTGGAAAAATTTCATGTCTAAAGCTGGTAGTCCAGTTAAAGATTGAGTTGAGTTCTGGTCATGCGATTGCATTATGAAAGAAACGTGGAATCGATCAGAAAAGGTTGATCATCTAGCATAAGTATTGGTGTGTACTGCAAGGTTCTGGAATCATCAAAATGATAAGAAATTTGGCCCAGTCTTGGTAAAGTTGCAAGCACTGTACACAGAAAGATGTATATATCCGTCTTGATTTTTAGCATTTGAAGAGCCATGCTTTTCAGGGAACATTTTTCCACACTTGCATAATACAATGATAACCCTCACAAATTATTTTTCACCTCTTCCCGTAACTCAACCTTCTCTTTAATTTGTAATAATTTCTACTTTTGTGTTTTTACTGTCTGTATTATCTTAGCTGCTTTGAGCAGTATATATTGTGAAGGGATATAATACATACTACAATTTGAAATATCCTACAACCCTGTTGTATGTAAACTTTACAATAAAAGAATCTGCTATCCATGATATATGGCTCCTATTTGTGTTTGTGCGAAATAAAAGAGTGGACAGAAAGTACAAGATACGGATACACTAAATTGTCTGTTCATTCATCCAGTTTTCCTTGTAATGATGCAACTTTGCAAGTATTTATTATCACATTATTTCAGTGGCAATTTTTTTTAATGATGCCAGTCATTAATACACTACCCCATCTTGCACATACAAGGAGCTTGAAACATACATTAACAAAAAGCACCTTCCTGAATCTAGAAACCAAATGAAGATTCTTGCCAAGTAACTTAACTGGAAATGCTGTTTGATTTATATGAAAATAAGACATTATCAAGTGACAAGAAAGGTGCTACATACCAAATAATGTAAAAAAGACAATAAATGGGGAAATGCTTTTAGCAAAACAATGAGCACAAAGTGAAAAGATGAAATTTACCAAAAACAAATAAACTATGTTAGCTTCTATATTTGAAGAAGAAAAAACAATAGTTTGAAAAATATTTTTTTAACTGTGTTTAGGTATCTTCCCTTTCATAACACTTTTGATTAATTCTTAATAAAAGTCCCCAAAAAGTTGCAGAATACCTTCAAATTTGTAGTACTGTTTGACAAATTTCATAGAGGTATTTGTTATTAGTTAACAGGGACAATATGATACTTCTTACTAATGAATACTGTGACAAGTCCTTTGTTGGTCATTACATAACCATGCTATTTGGCCATTTAAAGAGTTCCTTTTTTTATCATTGCGTAACTATTTTTATTTGGCCATTTAAAGAGTTTCATGAGCTCTACAAAGAGTGGAAACACAGAGAAACGTGACTAATACACCAAAGCAAAGTCTTTTAAAGCCTTCTTTTTTTTATTCCTCTTTCGGGATCGCCGGGAGTGTCAAGTCTGACAGATATGAGCGCTATAAAAGGACCCAATATTATTATTATTTACACCTTGTTTTAGAAGCCTACGGAATGTTTATTTAACATATCGATTATCGATGCTACATGTCATTAATACCCTCTTCACTATGCCTTATTCTCCAGACACCACTTGTAAGCATTCTGGAAGATGCGTAACCATGGTGATGCTTTGAGATCCTGTCTCCATTCTGCTGGCATCCATGGCCATTGCCAGGTCAGTGTGCAGCGTTCAGGATGAGGCATGATGGCCAGATGACGTCCATCCGATGAGCAGAGAGCAGCGATCCCGTCAGGAGAACCGTTGGGATTCAGAGGGTACTGGGTGGTTGGGGCGCCCTCATCGTTGACGTAGCGTACAGGTGCGAGATCGTTGGACAGGACGGAGGTGTGGATTGACTTGTTGGCAAACTTCATCTTCCCTGTATTGGAGAAAGCAGGAAGTTATCAATCGATCATCATCCACAATCTTCAGAAACATCAGAATGTTGAATGATATGGAACATTTTTGACTGGATTCTTATGAAAATTAATTTATTTTGGCAATTAAATGCAAATTCATGGCAATGGAGGATCATCCAGTATATATATGCAAACATTGAATGTATCCATTTTTGTTTTTCTGTTTTCAGCATCATTTACTATCTATATTGCAATGTTCAGATTCCATTCAAACATATATAGAAATCTCAATCATGAAAAGCAATTAAATCAGAATGAGGCCAATCCTAGCTGTAGTTGTGTAAATTCTTGTTTAAAGGCATTGATCTCATTGTGTCAAAATATGTCTGTATTAAGAATGAATAAATTATCATTTTCTCTTACAAACAAACAATAAGAAAATTTCAAATCTGCAGAGCCCTTTAAAACCGAAAAATAATGTCAATTTTGCTTGAAATTTCAAGACCACTCATATTCTGTAAAATTAAATGACTTTGAAACAATACAAAGCATGATCAATTTATATTTCTCATAGATTTCTCTAATACATACCTTCTCCATGAGCCACCCAGATGCCTAGGGTAGAATCCTGCATGCCTTGTAGCATGATGGCTGGACTCTCTTGAATCTTAACTGTCACAAACCTAGACTCGTAGCGCTCAGAATCATTGTGATCTAGCAGCACTCCTTGCTTACAGGCAGCTGAAATTACACAGTACAAAAAAAATGGTTCAGAGACATCTTATTTGTACGTAGACTGGATTTGGTTGATGAATTTCAAGTTGTTAAATAAAATAGTACAAACAAGATTTTTCAGAACATTTTTTGCAGTGTTTCTATTCTCTGACATACTCATGACAGGGTTATTTTAAACTCTCATATAGTTCCTGAATTATCAATGAACTTCATTTCTTGATGGATAATAAACGAAATGACAAACAACTCAAAAAATAATACCTCCTTCATTCAAAGGCTGAATTAGTGATATGGGTATTTCCAAAGATTATTTTTATGCAAACAAATTATTTCAAAGTAAAGTGTAAAGTATATATATAAATTTTGTGTGTGCAATGGTGACAAGGAGATCTTTCTTTTCTTTTCATATTTATCTGAAAAGCAAGTCTTTAAACATATTTTTGTTTGTGGAATAATGAAGTATTTATTTGTACAATCTCAATGTTCTCATGACCTTTATCATCTGGTATCATTCACAAAAAGAAGTTCTGATCTCCCCCTCTATGAATGACGGAAATGGAAATAATTATTAAAACAAGTACATTTCATCAATTATGAAAATTGATTTTGTACACATACTATGATTTAGTTCTACACAAAATCTTGAATTATGTGTGTGATGTTATTTTCTTAGAAATAAATTATTCATTTATTGAAGAAAAAAAAAATCAATTTGTATAGAATTATTTTGTTTGAATTAAGCCTTCGCACATGTCAAACATCGTAAACATTTTTGGGGGAAATATTCACACCTAGATAATTTTGAGACATTAATTTTTTATTTCATGATGTAATGTCATTCATTTTACTCAGCAAGCATCACATATATTGTATACTAATGAATTATTAAAGATATATATAAAAAAAAAAAGATAATGGGGGTAATAAGTCTTCACATACCTGTATTACCATCTGATTGAGTCTCATCAGAAGCCACCCATCCTAGTAGACCCATCAGCTGACATCCATTACACACACCCAATGAGAAGGTATCAGCTCTAGCTCTGAATGCATCAAACTCTGCTCTTACCACAGGGTTGTAAAGGATCGCTGCTGCCCAACCTGTTAGGGTAGGGGTAGAAATCGATCAACACATCTAAATACTGCATGAAAAGATATTAATCATAAACTGCAATTCAGCACTGATCAAATCATGAAAATAACTTAAGTTCTGTGATTTTAGGCAATCGTTTGGAAGGTAAGCTAACATTAAAATATTCTTTGATTAAATATAACTGACAAGGATAGTTTTCAACAATAAAAATGGTGATAATTGGTTAAATTAAATCCTTGAAAAGTCCATTGTCGAAATTCTAATATTATGATCAGGAGATACACGTATGTCCAGCTCTTTCACTTTTATCTGTGTGCCAAATCTTTATCTGCATTAAAGGCATTGTTTAACAATGTTAAATCTGAGATGCACAGCCCTATGTGTTATCAGTGTCTGTGATATGGTGTAATATTGAAGCCCTAAAAAAATTGCGCTTCAAAATGATCAAGAAGTGCCTCAAAAAAGTATAAATCTTTGAGTGACCAGTTTTACCATACTCGTTTTCCCCATTAGACTGTAGTGTTATGAAAACCCTTAGGAAAACACAAAATTTGATTTCGATTTTCCAATCACAAATATCTTGATAATCAGACGGATGATCAGCTTGTAAAAGTCACTGGGTTCCTGACTGACCTAAAGGTTTATAATTATCATTACAGCATGAGTTACATCCAGAATTTTGTTTCAGAATCTGAGACAAAGTTACCCAATCCCTTTTAAGATAGTGAGCTTTGTCTTCACATAAGAAACAAAATAGAAAGAACAAACTCTAGCATCATGTATTCATAATTCATTTTTGAACAAATGTACAAACCTTTAGCAGAACCCATGACATCAGCAAAGCTGAAACCACCCACAAACGCCACTCCTCTGAATTCCTTGAGAGACAAGGTCCCGCTTGCTAAGTCTTGCATGTTAACATCCCATGCTTCAAAGCCTGCCATGTGGAATGATGCAAGCATCTCACGATCTCCATTGCTTCCTTCCTCACGTATCACTGCTACCTTGGGACGACCTAGAGAGAATGAACACAAATAAGGATGATTCTTTTTATTTTACATTGTTGGGAGACTGGCTTGATTAATACATTTTGTAATTTCTGGAACAAAATGGTGTCTCCTGGGATCAGCTCTCATCTCCCCCCACCATCACACTGGAGTCCTATATAGATGACTAAGGATATTAATACTATTGGAAAGTGTAATCAATATAACATTTTCAAATAAGAGATAAGTTGTACAATCCAATCCAATCCAAATCAATCGTTTAACATAAAATTAAAGGTTGTTTAATAAGAAGTGCGATCATCAAAATGACAACTCAATCAAGGACAGACGTGTTGGATATCGGTCTCTAATTCGATAATCTGTCATGGTGAAGAAAATTTAATAAGTATCTTTATATGAAAATTTCCGCAACATGGTACACTCACTTGTCTCCTGGACTGGAGTAGCAGGCTGAGGGTCAAAGGTCAGTTTGTACGGAGGTGCTTTCCTGTTCTTGAGCAGGGCCTCCTCTTCTACCACACACACTTGGTTAGTCTGAAGGCGCTCTAGCTGGAAACTAGTAGCCTCCCATACATCACGCAGACGTGTCATTGAATCATCCAGAATGGTATTGCCATTCAGGCTGATCATGATCTGGAAATAAAAAAATTACAAAGCTATACGATTATCTAGTTATGTATAAAGCACACAAAATGATTACAAAACTTCTCTAACCATTTAAAATAAATGCCAAGGCTTTAATGCTGATTGCAATTATCATGATCATATGGTGCATTACAAAGAATAATTTAATTATGGTATTTCACTTTATTACCTTTTTTTCTTAGCCAAGACAAAATAAAAATGTTTGTTTCAAGATTTAAGTACCCTCAACATCTTGCCTAAAAGTCAAAAGAACATTAAAGTTCTATCTCAAGGACTGAATTGTGTGAGGATAACTGCCTTGCTAATGGGCACTCGCACACTAACTAGGTTTCAAGTCGGAGATCTTGTAGTTCCAACACTGAACATTTTAATCAATCTACAGCTGACAATGACTAACGAGTATTCATCCTACCTTTGCTTCAGCTACCTCCCCAGATGAAGATCCTACAGCACTGCATGTGACTCCCTGGTCTGCATACGCCTTACACACAGCCTCCGCATCGGATGGATTAGTCTCCAATACCAGACCAAGCTCTTCAGAAAACAAGAACTCAAGTGGAGTGGCTGAAATTAGATTGACAAGAGAACTTCATTGTTCTATTTAGCCGTTTATTTGGCAGTACATGATAAAGGAAGAGAGTAATCACAGAGCAGCAGAAACAATTATGAAGTTGAATACAAATCGGTAAACGGGGAAAAAAAGAAGAAATAAATACCACCTTACATGAACACAATCTAACATTTGGATTTCTTTATTCAAATCCCCAGTAATACAGGGTTCGTACGGGTCATGGAAAACCTGGAAAGTCATGGAATTTTACTTTATTGCTTTTAAGGCCTTGAAAGTCATGGAAAATTATTTTTTCCATTGGAAAGTCATGGAAAGTCATGGAATATCAAAATTATGGACAACTATAGTATTTTCTCACTATACAAGTGAATAAATGGAGATATTTCAACCATTTTCTTCTCGTATTTTCTTTCATTCGTAACATACCGACTGATTGTACTTGTGAATGTGTTCACTATGATCGATGGATAAGCGCTGTGTACGTGGGTGTGTACGTGTACGATACGAACTACGTGTGTATGGTCAGTGTATGGCGGTACGGTCCACATCGTGCGCACATGGCTAGCTTGCGAGCGAGCTCGCTAGCGCTAGCTCAGTTCAGCAAGCTAGCGCACGTGTACGTGTGCAGTGTGTGTGTGCATATGATGATGGTGCCAACGCGACATGTGACACTCCAAGAACGAATGTAATGCCTCGATTGCACTTTGGCTTTGCATTAAATTGCGACCACTTAGACTACTACAATTTTTACACTTCTCCAATAAATGAGGAAAAAGTAAATTAGTAATATTTGTTTTTTAATTTTCATTATTTAAATAAAAAAGGAACAATACTGACGTGTCAACAAGGCAAATTGGCAGCGCTAGCTCGTTGACGATCTATATATCGACGCGACGGCATGTGTTTTGAAACTTTTGTGCATGTGTTGATTCTTCATGAAACGGAGTTGTTTATTTTCACAGACCTTGGAACTCGTCACGTGGATATTTTCACCATTACAAATTTTGTGGAAGTGATATTCAAAATGCCTGGAAATTGTCATTTTAAGGATGCTTGGTTAGAACACCCGGATTACCGTGGCTGGATTTTGAAAGAAAGTTCCGATCTGGGGACTGCTAGATGTGCTGTTTGTATGTGTAAATTCAGTGTCCGTAATATGGGCGAAGCAGCCGTCAAGAGCCACAAGAAGAGTGAAAAACACACAGCAAACCTCCAACAGCAACAACGTCGTAAGTGAGCATTTTTAATGTGAATTTTACCGATCCTTTATTGAGCATGAATCCAAATAATGACTGATAATAATTATATAAAAATGAAAGATTTGAGATTATTTAGCGATGCGATGTCACCTCGCAGGCATTGGTTACTGCTTACTGCGACCAGCCCGTTCGGGAGCGTCCCCGGCCCCGGGCCGGGCCGGCTAGGTTACTGCATGCAACAGCCCGAACGCTAACCCAGGGGGCTCCGCACTCACACGCCAGTGTTGTACCGGGCACTGTATGTGGACTGCAGAAAAAAAAAATAATAATAATTTACCTTAAAATTTACCCCAAAAATCATAAAACTAAATTTTGTACTTACAATTGGGTCCAACAGTTTGCTTGCCTTGAGAAGTATTTCCTCCTTTCTATTTCTTTAAAATATGTTTTTAAGGAATGAGTCAAAAATTAGTCCACTTGTCTTAGTGACTTACATCAATTGGCCAAAAGTTGCCGTGAATTTTTTTTTTTTTTCCTTCCCCATACTGTCAAACGGTTGTCAAAATAGGAAAACGTTTATGCTTTTAATGGTCGTTTGAACGGCAGTTAAACGTTTTGACTCGGCCCTAAATCTTACCAAATGATGATATTTATATTTTATTTATTTTAATAGACATTTTTTTCTTTTCTCCTAGATTCTACTCTCTCACTCAAGAGCTTCTTCAAGGCAAAAGGTGCAGAAAGTTCATCAGTATCTATCACGTCTACAGATGCAACAACCAGTACTTGTGCGCCATCAACCTCTAAAGTGACAACTCCCATTCCTGTTGCTGCAAGAGAGGAAACTTTAAAAGCTGAAATACTCTGGTGTCTGAAAGTGGTGGAGGATCATTTATCATTTCATTCTTGCCAGCACAACAGTGAGCTCTTTCAAAGAATGTTTCCGGACTCAGCTATTGCTAAGGGTTTCACGTTGTCAGAAACAAAATGACGGTGTTTGGTTTGGGCCCATATGTGCAAGACCTCCTTTATGACAACATAAAACAATCAAACCACTATGTGATACTGTTTGATGAAAGCCTCAACAAGAAGCTCCAGAAAAAGCAGATGGACTTCCTCATAAGAACATGGCAACACAATGAAGTTTGCACTCGCTACTTGACGTCTGTGTTCATCGGACATGGTTCAGCTGTTCACCTCAAGGAAGAACTGAATAAAGTTCTGCACACAGTTGGCTTGGAAAAATTACTGCAAATATCAATGGATGGTCCCAACGTTAATTGGAAGATGTATGATGACTTTACGCGAGAGTACACTGCTGACCTGACCAAATCCATACTGAATATAGGCTCATGCGGGCTCCATATAGTTAATGGTGCTTTTCTGACAGGTGCCAAGGCTGCTGACTGGGAGGTGGAAAGCTTTCTATCATCCTTGTATTACCTGTTTTCTGATTCCCCTGCCAGAAGAGAGGATTATCAGAAGATAACTGGAGATCATACCATGCCACTTAAGTTTTGCAAGACCCGATGGCTGGAAAACCTTCCTGTTGCAGAGAGAGCAATCAGCATCTGGGAGAGTGTATGTGCGTATGTTAAAGCAGTAGAAGAGAAGAAAATCCCTCACCCAAAGAACAAGTCCTTTGAAACTGTTTCAAAATGTACTCATATAACTGATTTCTTAGCAAGACTGTACTTCTTCATATCTGTTGCAAAGCTGGTCAATCCTTTCCTAACAGACTATCAGACTGATGCACCAATGCTGCCCTTTTTAGCTGAAGACCTTACTAGAATGCTTGCATCCCTTATGCAGCGATTTTTAAAGCTGGACAGGAGTACCATTACTTCTCCTTACAAGATAATGCAGGTAGATGTTAGCAGTGAGGCCATTCAGCTGCCCTTGGCCAAGTTGGACATTGGATTCTACACTGAGAAGAAGCTGAAAGATCTGAAGGCGAAAAATATCATCAGTGAGCTGAAAGTTCTGGAATTTCGCACTCAAGCAAAGAAGTTTCTTGCTGCAATGACCCGGAAGCTCATTGAGCGATGTCCGCTTAAGTATGCACTTGTGAGAAATATAGGATGCTTGAGTCCAAAGAACATGGCAAAAGACAAAGAAAACTCCACTGCAAAGCTGAAGAGGGTGCTTAACACCCTTAGTGATGCCCACAGACTTAAGGATTCATGTGACGATATCCTAAGAGAATACTCAGAAGCATGTGATGAGGCATCAAGAAGTGCAGAGATGAGAGACTTTGATCCAAAGAAAGAGAGATTGGACTCTGTAATGTGCAAATTTCTGTCCGAGTCTCGCTATTCGACCCTCTTAAAGTTGGTCCGCATGTTGCTTGTCTTGTCCCATGGACAAGCCTCCATTGAGAGAGGTTTCTCAATCAACAACGAAGTTGAAGAGGACAATCTCCTGGGACACTCACTGATATCATTGAGGGCCATTTATGACCATATCAAGTATGTTGGAGGAATCAAGAATGTGACTATTGACAAATCAATCATGTTGGCTGCGTCTGCAGGCAGGCAGAAATACCACATCTATCTCGATGAACAGAGGCGTAAAAAGGAAAAGGAAAAGAAAGAAGGAAAGAGAAAAGGACTGATGGATGGTTTGGAAGAACTAAAGGCCAAACAAATGAGACTGCAAGCAGATGTGAAAAGTCTTCACACCTCAGCAGACAAGTATGCTGAGGAAGCAGAGTCACAAGGAAGATTGACTTGTATTTCCAAATCAAACAGCCTCCGACGTACAGCAAAGGAGAAGGCATCCCAGTTACAAGTAATTCAGAAACAGATTGATGAACAGCTGAATGCCATTAAGAATTATTAAAGAACTTGGACAGTTTGTTACCAATGCCACCAAATATTCAGACAGGTGCAATGTGTAGAGGGATTTCTTTCAAACAGCTACATGAAGATGTCTCAAGAAAAAACTCATTCAGAAATTATTGACCAGCTTAATGCTAGCGAAACAAGAATTCATCAGCTGATGTGAGTAGGCCTACTGTGTTTTGTTGGTGAAATCAAAATTGGTGATGGTATGTGTGTGAGTTTGTGTGTTGGTGTTGTTTTGTTTTCTTTTTTTTGGGGGGGGGGGGGGGGTAGTTACCTTGTACATGCAAAGGAGAGCTATTGAAGGAATCATGGTGGTCCATGAAACCAGGAACAGGCAATTTGTATTCTTTAGAAGTGAAAATTGCCATTAAAAAATGGACAATTGTTGATATGAATACATGTATGTGTTATTGTAAGAATATTATATAGCAGTGCATATCGAATATGATGAAAAAATAACATGTAATTGTAACAGATGAAATAACTAGATAACAAAAGCTGCCTTTCTATTAGTAGACTTGAAACATGCACTTTGCTTCGCTTTGATTTGAGATCAAATTTTCAGTCTACCGTGTAAAAAAAATGTGTAAAAGTCATGGAAAGGTCATGGAATTCTGGCTAGAAAAGTCATGGAAAGTCATGGAATTAAATTTATGAGAAAGAGTATGAACCCTGTAATAACTTAGTAAAGTCAAAGCAAACCAATGCTGTAAACATAAAGTAAATATTCATAAATACATAAACAATCTTGTCATACATCTATCAAATGGGGAGCTATATTTTATGATATTCGACATCAATATGATGACATTTAAATTGAACTTTTACTCCACTCACCATTAACCTCTGTAGCTAGATCCACATTTATGCCACAGTTTCCTGCAAAAGCCATCTCCAAGAGGCAAGTGATCAGCCCACCATCACTGATGTCATGACCAGCTTTCAGAAGACCATCTAAAATGAACATGATAACAACATGTTATGATATGTAAAAAAAAGATTACAAAATGGTCCTTACCCCTCCTCCCCACAATGAAAATAAAGCTTTTACGGAGCAGCCTGCTTAACTTGTATTTGGGTTGCCAGCCTGCAATCTGGAAAGTTGGTTATGATTTTGAATTCAACTTTGGTGACTATGTACAGTGAATTGCACACAATTCAAATATATTATGAGTTACAGTACACCCTAATGCCCCATAAGAATCCCAGGTTGTTGTAAAATCAGTTGCATCTTACAGGAGTAATTCCACATAAGACGCTCATTTAAACAGATCAATGCGTACCTGTGATTAAGTCCTGTGTGACATTGAAAGCTGCAGCCAGGAGTGATGCATCATTCACATCAGGTACAGTATCTCCTATCTGATTGTAACATTGAGCCAATGCAGAACCACCAAGCCTACGGTGGCCACAGCTAAGGTCTACATACAGAAGGGTACCTGAAACAAAAACACAGTGTAGAAAAGTTTCATAGTAGCTCGTTGAGGAAGTGTGAAGAAATGGTTACCCGGTAATACCAATTAAACCAGACTCAAGGCACTATTAGAAATTGTGTCAAACTCCTTGAAAAAAATTGTATTCCCATCACAGCACAAATGTACAAGTTAGAGTTAAGTAACAATCATAAAACTGTCTAGATATTCGAATGCATCACATTATATAACATTTAATTTGAGACAAACAAAGAATGAGATTCTATGGGGAAAGAAAGTTTGAAAATTTACAGTGTAGGTAAAAAGAAGGAAAGTCTTGAGACTAAACCATATCTACAATATGACCTTTGACTTACCTTGTCCACTTGGGCATTTCAGGTCTGGCGTGACTGTAGCAGTGATATCTGGACATCCCACATATGTAGATATCACTAGAGCACCTTCACATAAGAAAAGGAAAAGAAACAACAAAACAAAGTGTCAGAAATATCAATATATGCAGGAAAATAACACTATTTGCAAATTTACTTTTACAACAGGAACTGATAATCATAAATGAGTGAAAATTATTCTCCTATGCCTATTGCATAAGTAATTATCTCTAATAGTAAATATACAATGTGTGTGTGAGCACTCCTCTCTCCTCATTATCCAAACCATCTTGTAGAAACTATTAAGCAATTCCAACCACATGGTTATCCATTTCTTACTTGTTACTTGTTGCAATAATCTTAATCGCAGCTCATTGTAAGCTATACCATGATGTCAGTTATGTCATTTGCCAATGACAAATTTAACTGCGATTTCAAAACAATAAAAGCATTCATTGAAGAGTACTCCAACACATTCATGTTAACCCTCGTCTATACATCAACAAAAACCAATACATCATAGACTAAACCCTTACCTGGTGCTTTGACTGTCTTTCCCTCCACCCTAGCAGCCATACTCAGTGAATCTTTGCCGCCATCCACAGCGATCCCAAGCTCAGACATGAGAGAGCCCATGGCTTGGCAAGCATCGTAGAGGGCAGCACCTTCTCCTATTAGCTTGGCCGGCCACATCCAGTTACCACTGCATTTCACGTCCTGGATACAAACATATTCTGGTGATGCTATCTTAACAAGCAATCTACATGGCAAGTTTTATTTCTCTTCACCTTCCCTTTTTATTGTAGCCTACTCTTTCATTGTGTTTAATATCTCATATTTAATAAGCTCTTCTTATTGATCGATCTGTTCAGTCTGTACAATACCCATGCATTCAATTTTTCATTCTGGATGAGCTCTAGTCAAGTTTTGTCAAAGTCTAGGTTTACTTTCTGTGCTACAATAATAATCTTTAACACAGAAATACAAGTGGTATCAATATCTGTTTTTCAATCCTTACTGTAATCTTCAAAACTACGGATCTAGAAAACAGAAAAAGATTGTGAATTCCTTTCTAGACCAGACAGCTTAAGACAATTTCCTACCTTGAGTGCAGTAACCCTTGCAAAGACCAGATTTGTCAGGGATTCTGCTACGGCCATACGAGCTCCTGAGGCAGCATTGACCAATCCCTTGATGGGTTGTTCTCCTATGGCTGTGGCTGAACCAATGGTCTCAAAGTGAGACAGAGCAGTCACTGCTACATCAGCCAGAGGGGTGTGAAGTGGTCCCACGCACTGCTGCTGGGCGACAAGACCTGTCACTGATCGGTCAACCTGCATGGGACAAGAAAAATTATCATCAACAATTACGGGCTTACTGAGTTTTCTTGAAGGATATCATGTATCAATTACAAATCTAATTTTAAAGATCTTCAAAAATATTTTATACTTGTCTTTTATTTTATTTTAAAGGACACAGCAATGATTATGATTTTCATGCTTGAGATGTTAGTAGAAAATGGCAATATAAATGCAAATACAAACATTGATACAATAGTAAAAAGTACTATACATCACTTCTCTTATCACATATCAAGCACTCATATTTGATCCACTAAAATGCAAACTGAGCCATTGTCATATTTGCATTAATATAGTCCTTCTCAATGCAGAGTATAGTTTGTTTCTGATAGCTATATTACACAGTCAATCCCATCAACCGACCTTGTTAGTGAGATATCTCTTGCTAGCCACTGATGGTAGTCTCAGCACTCTGTCCAGAGCATCAACGACAGTGAGTCCATCAGGAAGCACAAGCGGGGATAGATTCCTCACAGTACGGTTCATATTGAAGACCTGTCAGAACAAACAGTACAGAGGTTTGATATATTTATTCCATCCGGCAGGGATGAGACAGAGAAATTCTCTAAAAGGAGGAAGATTAAATGGGGGTCCTGTAAAAACCTTAGAATATTTACGTAAAAGGACACTTGCATTTAAATTTGAGAAATATTTGTTACCCCATCTTGCTATGAATTTTTTCAGATTAGAGAAAAATGCTGCTAAGGTAGTGAGATCAATGCTAGATGTACAGTTAATGATAATCTGAAAAATTAATTTAACCAAAAAAAATCCGCCGATTGGCGCAGGAATCTCATCTGTGATCTAGGCTCCTCTACAGAGATCTGTACACCCTTTGGCCAAATTAATTGAAACATGGTCTTGCAGCATACCAGTGGATGTGTGTGGGAACAACCAAAGAAATTTTGGAGGTTGAAAGCAAGCACTGTCATATTTATTTGCTACATTGGTAACTCTGTAAGAGATTTGCCTTTGGTATGTTTTTTTTATAGCCCACAATGCTTAGTATGAGAAACAAGTGTGAAATGAACTGCCGAGAACCGTGCTCATTTCTATTTACCGGTATTCATTATATGGAAAATATTTTGTGGTTTATCCAAGATCCTATCATATGCATGGTGTGAAGAATTAAGCAGTTCATGACATAGCTAATTTCCAAATGCAATGAAACTGACCTTAATATAAAACTGTAGTTTCATCAAACTAGTATGGCCACTCATGAGATGTATAAAAGTGACTTTGGGGTACAGGTACATTTACTTCTAAATCAAGATACAACATTTGATCTGACAAAAAGAGGATAAATTTGAAATGAGAGCTGTCTTCAATAAAAATTTCTTGCAGAATACCAAGATATCAAAGCTAGTTTAATTGTAACTGCACTCAAAACAAGACGTTTCCACCAATACCTTTCTGGGCATTTTACCCAGGACCCACTCCAGGTCCAAGTCGACTGGATTGGACACGATTCTGCTCTTCTTGGTCGGGGAATGGTCGGCATCACCTCCTCCTCCTCCATTCATCATCTCAAGCTTCTCTTCCTCTAAACGAATCTGGAAACATTAAAGGGATTTGGGTGTCTTTGCCTCAGATTCATAAACAAAATCCTGGATTTAGCTCATGCTGCATCATAGTTATAAACCTTGAGGTCAGTCAGGAACCTCATGGCTTTTACAAGCTGGTCGCCTGTCTGATTATTAAGATATTTGTGATTGGAAATCGACATTTCAAAAACCGTTTTCCTAATGTTTTTATAACACTACAGTCTATTGGGAAAAATTAGTATGGTAAAGCTGGTCACTCAAAGATTTTTACTTCTTGAGGCACTTCATTATCATTTTGAAGCTCAATTTTTTAGGGCTTCAATATTACACCATATCACAGACACTGATAACACGTAGGGCCATGCATCTCAGATTTAACATTGTTAACGGATGCCTTTAAAAGAAAGTGCAATGTATAGGAGGGGTAGCTTAAGCATGGATGAAATACAACAGCTTAAAAAAACATAAATTAAAAACATAAAATAAAATTTGCCAAATACAAACTTATATTGAAGCTAAAAAACTTTACGACATAAGAATATTCTTGTGAGAACATAATGGAATTAAGTTCAATTTTAATTTTTAATTTCATTTAGGAAAATGTTCCAAGCATTCTTCTTGTCAAATCTCTATTAAACAGACTTGAAATTATTTTAAAAAAACAGCAAATACCTTTCCGTCTCCCGTAATCTCTCCTACGAAGCAGACCGGGCATCTCTCCCTCCTACACATATCACTTAGCAACTCCTCATCGTCTTCATCTACCAGTATAGCATTACTCTCCTGGTATTCAGCACCCCATAGCTCCAGTGTAGTCAGGGTGGGGTCTCCTAGCTGGAAGGCCTTGGTACGGATCACTGCCCCAGCTGGCTCACAGATCTCTTTCAAGACGTTACCTGAAAAACAATTTATTAATGATAATAATATTGATTATTTGGCAGCGCTAAAAACATAAGGTACCAAAGGGCCCTCAAAATTCACAGAATTTGAAGAGACACAGAAAATACCCATGAAATATGTACATCACATTTTATCAATGAGGAAAGAAGTTTATTCCAAGGGATCTAGTGAAATTTGCAAGACTATTTGCAAGGTTATTTCTCTGGTGAAAAGTAGGATGCTGTTCCACATTTTCCAGGCAGTTACTGCAAAAAAAGATGGGTAGATGATTTGGGAATAATTAGTTTATATTTGTAAGGATTGGATAGGATTGGACAGAATATTATTTGAGGATATAGGTTTCTATTTTTGGTTTATGTTCTTAGTTAAGAATATTTTGACTCATTGCAATTTAAAAAAAAAAAAAAATTACAATATTAAAAAAAAAAAAAACTACATGTAAGTGTGCAAAAAGTAAGTTACTCTGGGTGCTCTTAGAGAAGAAGAAAACAAGTGATGCAATGAGATGAAAATAGATTTACAGAAAAACATTTTGTCTTTTCATTATTTGCCAGGATATGGGCTAACAAAAGAAACAAATTGAAAAGCAAAGAATGAAAGTAAAGGAATAATGATTAAAAGTTTCAGATTGTTTGTAGAGTGTTAATTTGTGATCTCTAGTGGAGTAGTTCTTAATGTTTCGGGCAATGTATTGAACTAAATTGAAATACAAATAACAACCTGACAGCTGCTTACCATTACCCCCTGCTCCCTGATCATGTATACTCTTGATAGGGTTTCTCTCTCCTAGTTCAATACAAGCTCTAACGACCCTGTTTAGTTTCTGTTCCATCTCGGCATCTCCTCTCTGCACAGCACCAAAGTCCAAGGCCTCTGTATTATCCCCCTGTACATGAATGGATGAAGCTGCTCCTCCACCCACACCGATGCGATAGATGGGACCACCCAGTTTGACCACTTTCATTCCTTGGGAAATAACAAGAAAACAAAATAACATAAAAAGCCATTTTGTCTGTTCAGAGGCAGAAGGGCGTAAACAGAGTTAAAATAAATCAGAGTTAAAATATAGATTAACGGCCTTCTGGTTCCAAACAGACGATTTACATTTCTAAATACCACAAATTCAGCAATTCAAACCTTTCTAACACAGCGTGATTTATAGGGATTTTCAGAATGTTGAAAATGATCACTGTAAAAGAACAGATTGTGCAATCTTTATCATCCTTTAAAGCATTATTTAAGGATGAACTTTTCATATTGAGACCTCCCTCCTCCCCGATTTTGTTAAAGGTTTGAAGTGCCATTCAGTTTTTACAATCCCTCCAAGGAATAAAATTGTGGCTAAAAAGTCTTTATAGAGAAATCTTTCACATGCACATACATAAACATGTTCATTTAACACTTGTGTGCCTAGTCAAAATTTCAATCTCTTAGTACCTACCCTTAACAGGTGCATCTTTGTTGATGTGTCCCTCCTCAAGGGAACCCATCCCCCCTGAGAACATAATGGGTTTGACCCATTCTCTCCTTTCCTCTCCTGGAACAAGCATGCCAAAGGACCGGGCAAAACCAGCTAGAACTGGTTCACCAAACTTGTTGCCATAGTCTGAGGCACCGTTGCTTGCCTCCACAGCGACCTCCAGCGGACGAGCCATGTTGCTAGGATACACGAAGGAGGCATCCTCCCAAGGAAGATCATATCCTGGGTAAGAATGAATGATGTTTGTTATGTAACTCTCAGTTAGGCTAAATCTATTTAGATGGAGTATATGTAGGCTAGGCTTTACAAACACCTCCAATTCTTGGGGGAATTTGTATTGGCATGACAGTTTTTTAGAAAAAATGAAATTGAAAATGGTTGAAAATTAAGTTGCTTTGAATTACAACCTCTTACAAAGAAGGTCCCTAGAGTAGAAAAAGAATCCAAAAACTCAATTTTTGACAAGTAGTTTTGACTATCCTGTATTTGAAATGATCACTAATTCTTTGGGAAAAACTTATATTGCTCAGTAAAATGGACTACAAATATTTTGAATGAACTAGACCAACAGGACAACCAAGAATTGACTGATAATTGTACAATAATAACTGGAATTGACACTGAGAAAGCACAAGGATGGCACAGACTAGTGAAGTTTGAAATAATTGATGCAAGCACTCTACAGATGATATGAAGACAGACTGATAGGAATGTATGACAATGTCTAACCTGGTATATGCAGGTTTCCAAAGCAGTAACCAGCTGTACCAGCCACCACATGAGAGCCTTTCCCTGCACTCTGGACATCTCTGATTCGCCCTCCTGTACCTGTAGTAGCACCGCTGAATGGCGCCACTCCTAGATAGGATAAGACACATTCAAAGATATGATATAGAATATGCTGCTTGTAAGTGTCGGCTTGCATGGTGATGTAGATATACAGTAGGCTTGCGGGTGCACCATGTGAGAGAGAGAGAGAGAGAGGATTGAGGAGTCCTGAAAAGGACTCTGACTCGGTAATCTTTCTTGGGGGTGTGTAGTCCTGAAAAGGACTGTTTGTTATCTTTCTTAGCTTATAGTTCTAAGGAGAACTATAGCGCTTAAAGAGGATGAGTGGCTTGACGTTTCGAACAGATTGACTATCCGTCGTCATGAGTGGAATAGCTGGCGTGCGTGAGCTTAAGTCACCGGGTGCAGACGTCAGGGAAAAATAGGTGACTGTGTGGGCTTGAGTCATCGGGGAGTGGACATGGATGGGGCGGCTCGTTCGTCTGACTGTCCGTCTGGGCTGGAGTCTCCGGGTTGCGGACTTAGGAGAGTTTCAGGACTACACACCCCCAAGAAAGATTACCGAGTCAAAGTCCTTTTCAGGACTCCTCAATCCTCTCTCTCTCTCTCACATGGTGCACCTGCAAGCCTACTGTATATGATATAGAATATGTTTATGTAAAGTTTAACTGCAAGATATGCCCCATGACCAAATTCCTAACTCTAACTCTAAACCTAACTCTAAACCTAACTCTAAACCTAAACCTATCTAGGAACCCAATCACAACCCAAGCTCTTCCCGTATACCTATAATGAAATAAAGCCTGAAGCAAATGTTGGTTCATTGGTCAAGGGGCTAAGAGGCAAAAAAAAAAGGTTAAATGTTCCTCTTTTTTGAACAAATTAGTATCAACCTACAAAAGTACATGAATATTGTTAACCTCTTAACACTAAAATGCAGCAGTGAGTCATTTTGCCAATCTGTTACTTGTAGATTCCTATACTGTGAATGCACAAAACTCATTCTTAAACATCTATTAGCAAATAGGAAGAGGCTTGTACAGACAATATTTCCTCTGAGAATATAAGAACATAAAACAATGTCAATGAGAGTGGTGCAGTGTACCTGTAGGAAAGTTATGAGTCTCAGCAGTAAAGATGATATGTCGATCAAGTCGCTTGTCAGTCATTGGTGTTGCCGAGCAACCAGGTCGGACTGGGTAGAGAGCTTTGATGGAACTTCCCCTAATCGCACTGTAAATTAAAAAGAAAACACCATAACGTCATAGATTTTACAAGAGATGTAAATGCAACAATTGTAATGATTTTGTTTAATGATAACAACAACAAAATCTCATCTTTCTCTTTCCCCTGATTTGTCTTCTGTTTTCAATCTCCTTCTTTTCATCTCTTTCATCTCAAGTTTTCTTCCTTTCGTTTTATTTTTTTCCTTTTTTTTCCCTTTAAATTATCCTGCTGAGTAATATTCAGCTGGGAAATGAAATGTCCAACCCCACATAGTGGGACAAATGGACTTTAAACGCCGATGATGATGGCTTTATCACTAGTTTCAACACTGTTTCTTTGTAAGAGCAAGAAATGACAATATCTTCTTAAAAGGTTTCCTATATTTTTTCAAAGTTACTGTAATCTTCACGCCATTCTTTAACTTTTGTCTGAAATGTAATCATGAGAGTATACTGCTTCATGATACTGCTTACCTGCTACTGTGATAGAATTTCATGACATCGTTAGGATGGCTACTGACCAGATCAAGCAACCTGCATAAAAATCATTCTGATCATACCCCTTTCTCTTCTGCTTGATATACCAGTACAGAACTATCTTTACACAATGGTGCAAGGCTTCTGTATTTTGTGCTACCAATGATATTGAGAATTATTAGAGGAAGAAATTCAAGAGGAAGATGATGAAGTACTTACCTACTATTGTCAGAGAATTTGATGAGATTGTTTGGATTGCTATTCTCCTGTGTTTTCATGACCAGATCAAACAATGAATCCTTCATCTCCTCTCCCTCTACTACCATACGTCCCTTGAAGAACCAATGACGACTATGCTCACTGCCAATACAATAGAGTGGTGAAGTGTGACGTCATCAAAAATCTATTTTTAGAATTTCTCAATTTTTTCTTCATATTCCGAAAGAACATCAAAAATAATGGCCAAATGTTGAAAACCAATTGAATATGTTTAGTATTGGCTGAGATATGACCATCTGAATGAATATATGTCCTATGGGAACTCAGTGTTATATGCTCTGGCTCCTAACCATTAGGAGCCAGAGCATATAACACTGAGTTCCTATGGGGAGTATATTTATTCAGATGGTCATATCTCAGCCAATACTTAACGTATTCAATTGGTTTTCGACATTTGGACATTATTTTTTATGTTCTTTCGGAATATGAAGAAAAAATTGAGAAATTCTAAAAATAGATTTTTATGACGTCACAGCTTTGATACTCTATACAATAAAAACAAGCCAATGTTAACCTTGATGACAATCAGTTTGCTAAGAACTTTCATAGGCAGTTTGTTCAAAATTCAATAGCAGGACATAGCACCCTTCAACTTCAGAGCAGTTTTTCAAGAAGACTGGCAGATATATCATGGCTATTATGATTTTTTAGTACCTTTTTTCCTTTTTTTGCACTCTCATGTTGTTAATAAAAAATGTAATAAAATCTTAGTCATTAAAAAAGAGAATGGATCTGCGTTCACTATATATTCCTTATCAAATGTTTTGGACTGGTGCCAGACTGAATCTTACTCTTCATAAGCGCCATGAGCACCGAAAGGTGGACCTGTGCGCTATACAAGTAGCCACTATTATTATTATTATTATTATTATTAAAATCTGCATTAAATATTGAAATAAAATGTCAAGTAGGATCCTTTTTGTTTCTTCATTGACCAAAATGATAAGTCTTCTTCTTCTTCTTATGGAAAATCTGCCACCTTCAATACTGAAGATTCTTGCAGATATATACTGGGGTGTGCAGGTCGACTACTACACCGGGTTTCCCCCTACTCTTATACAAATAGTTTGTTTGTTTATTTGTTTGTTTATTTATTTAAATACAGTTATCAAAAAACATGCTTTCAGCTTAGCATAGCTGTTTTTCAGCATGTCCGTACATGGTACATCAAAATACATAGGCCTATGAATAAACAGATAAAATACAAAATTAAACAATAACAATACATAATATTTTTAAAAAAGTAGATGTAAAGAAAAACAAATACATATTTAAAAAAGAAAGAAATATAATTCAAGTAAACAACAAAAAAAGAGAAAAAAGTGACCTCAAGCAGCGTACCTGTTGGACTGGGCTAGATCAAAACATTCCACACTGGTCGGATTCCTTTTGATCTTGTTGGTAAACATGTCATGGTAATAGTCTAGATCCCAGTCATCGAAGGCAAGACCTAAAAGATAAGAAAATCAGTAAATGGGTTACAGATCACTAAGATTGACTTACATTACAAGAGAGTGCAGATGAGAGTATTTTTAGAAACGATCAAATGAAAAGTATTCAGGATGAGCCTTCTTTAATTGGTGCAAAACATATGTGATAAAGTACAGTATTGTCTATGGAACAATGTTTTTGAGTATTAGGTGTTTTTTTGTTTTTTGTTTTTGTTTGTTTGTTTGTTTGTTTTTTTGTTTTTTTTGGGGGGGGGGTATTACAGGGCCTATCTGCTTGTATTTGTTCCTTTGCAATGTAGTATAGGGGATGCTTAATGTCAGAGTAATAATTGTTATAGCACCAAGATACACTATTGCATTATACGTTGTACTCTACACAAATAAAAAGTCAATTAAATTATTATCAATAATAAATGGCTGTTTTCTGAATTCTTACCAAGATCCTTGTTAGCTTTCTTGAGAGCTTCCTTCCCTTCACCCATGATATCCACATCATAAACATCCTCAGGTTTGACCTGGATATCAAAGCTCTGCAGCGGCTCCATGTAGCGGCATTCTGTCATGCGATCATGCAACGATGCAAGGATAGCACGCTCAGCTTCTGATAAGACGGAGGGTTTGGTGGCTGTAATGAGGAAGCGCCGAGAGCGCTCTATGCGGGAGATCTTTGTGAGACCAGCTGATTGACAGATGGAAGCTGCATTGGTCGACCAGGCTGTGGAGAAGTTCAACCTGAAAAAACGGATGCCAATATAGGTAGAAAATGTTAGTAAATAATTTGGACTACATGATGGATTTATCTTTGGCCCAATGGAGCAGACCAAATGACCACTCTGTCCTAAATGTCAGTGTAGACACTCATTCGATGTATGGTACAGGTATTTAATTAAAACTTTCAAACTTACCTGATACCCATGTTTTACATCAACATGCTAAGCAAACTAAACATTCATTCCACTGAAGCTTCGGCTGTTTACATTTAAAGGCCGTCTGTACTAGTGTGGACAGGAGGGAGTACACCACCCAGCAAGGTCACTGACAGGTGGCTATCTCATCAACTCAGCTCTCAACTAACATAAGGAAAAGAGGATCATGGGGGACCAACAGGCACCGATTATGCATTGTTTTCTATATAGAGGGAGCAAGTAGCTACAAGTAGTACAGTGGGGCTTTAAAGCTAAGTTCTGTATTTAGAGTGATTTTCATTTTTTTAAAGAAATGTAAATAAACAATATTCAGACCTGTTGATACAGAAGAAAATTTGATTATACACGTCAAGTTTAAACAAAATTACATCCTTTAAAGCACATACAGAGATATTTACAAATGAGACTTCTGACTCATATAGTTGCTATATTGAATGCTCCAAACAATAAAATGATCATTAAAAAAGCATATGACAGATTAGGGAAATTCTTGTTATTTCAACTTGTAAAAACAAGTTTTTACAGACAGGAACATTTTTTTAACTTCCAGAAACTAAAGCTTGACCCACCTTGGACCTATCTCAATGAACAAAGCATCCTCTGTCTTCTTGGCATCTAACACTGAGGATGAGGAGACTTTGTCATTCTGAAATGGAGTTCCTAGGATGAACAGTAGCTTCTTTAACTCATCAGCTGTTAGTTCTGCAAATGGACCAAGAAAGCAAAAAATAAGTACCACCTATTCAAATGAAACAGACAGTTATTAATATTTTCTCACATGAAAATCATATTTTGAGAACTTTGTTCATTAATTCATTACCATGCAGTATGGATGAAGCTTGAAAGTTGGTAATCCTAGTCACAAGGTAGAAAAGCAGCCTTGGTAATTACCAAACATACAATATCAAGTACAGCCTTATCACAGAAATTAATCTTAACTCTGGAATTTGAAGTAGACTAAATAACAGAAGGGTAAATATGGCCTAAACATTCACAACTGAATAATACAAACCTTAAAACTAAAACAACAACAACGGACAATTTCGCTTTCCTTCTCCAGGCTCAATAAACCATAGTATAGTAGTTTTAAAAGGGAAAAAAAACAACAATATGCCTAGACACCAAGTCGCTTTATGATATATTCATTTACCTCCATCTACTTTGATGTTATAGCATGCCTCTGTCTCAAGCTCTACATCTGTTTCATTTCCCACAATGCTTTTCACTTTGCTAAGCGTTGTCTGATGTGCACCATCACTAAAGGCTGGAACGGTGAAGTAGTGAATGATAACCATATTGAAATCCTCTTTGCAGTAAGTACTTTCCTTGTGCACTAAATCCAACCTTTAAGATATCAACAAATTGCAATGTTACTAAAAATACTTTTGTGTTTATGCACATACCAAGTTGATTCTAGAGTTATCACTGTAAACACTGTTATTCTCGCATGATTCATTTTTCGCGTTGAGTGACCCAAAAACATATATTCACGGACACCGACTTTAGCGCGAAAATTAAGGAACCGCAAATATTACGTTTACAGTAGTGCCAAGAGATCAAAAATACGTAATCAAGTTTATAATTATAAAATACTCTACTATAGAGTGGTGAAGTGTGAAGTCATCAAACTCTAGAATTTCTCAATTTTTTCTTCATACACTTTTTCACAGGTTTCACGGCAAACCGCTGCACAATACAAGTACGGTACATACCGATGGTGGGTTGCGGGCGAGCTGGCGGGCGCGCACCTGTGTGAAGTTCTACCGTAATGATCTATGACTGAGGATCTGAGACATGTCATTACGGCAGATAACTTTACACAGGCACATGCCCGCCAGCAACACACCATCGGTATGTACTTGTATTGTGCAGCGGTTTGCCGTGAAACCTGTGAAAAAGTGTAGACTCTATACCAATAATGTAATATCAACGTTTTTTTCGAAAAATAACAAAAAAATTGACACAAAACAGGTAATTAACATAACTACTTTTAACTCATAATCTTTATTTGGACATTTAATGAATATTTACTTCCTTTTGGGTATGTTTTAGCAGGGTATCTCCACGCCGGGTCAAATTTTGGATAGGTTTCTGAACCACACATAGGAGCATCACTATCCTGGCTGTGTAGTAAAAGCTGTGCTTTTGATTCTCAACATTTCAAACACCACTGTACTCAAAATCGGTACTTTAGTGACAATTGATGACACCTAAATAGCAGTAAAATACATTTTTTTTAAACTTACTGATGTTAAAAAGAATAATTTACAAATTCAAATTGTAAGTCTAGAGTAAAGGAGGGGGTTTTCTGCCACTTAAGACAAAATCCTATTTTTTGGACTCTTTACTTCCTATTTATTATCATTTCTTGTGCAAATCATGAAGCAAATATTATTATTATTTAAACAAAAAAAGAATCCCAGAAAAAAATAACGAATTGCCATGACAATATTCATTTCAATTTTCACTGTTTTGGAGCCAGTTATCGACCTAGCGATTCAGTTTACGACCGCATGTACAAAGTCAATAGGAAGCGCGCGTGCGCGCGCGCGCCGTGTGTTTCCGCGCTGATCTATAGCACAAGCGGGCGGAGCAGGTATCCCATGCCGGAGCTCCCGGGTGCTCGCCTGGTCGAAGACTAGCACTGCGGTGATCGGAAGTTGGAATCTGAATACAGACATATCGTGTGTGCGTTGCGGGGTCCGGCTGCATTGATTTAATTCATGCGATGAGATACTTTTGAGCTAGCGACTAACACAAAATCGGGCTCTAAATCTGAAAAATACTTAAAATAAAGCTCATTTTATGGTACCCATATTTCTTACATACACGCGTAAGAAACTCAATTTTTCAGATTTGGGTAGCGGGACCGCCAATTACATCGCTAAAATGTGATATTTTAGGATATATTTCCCATTGCAAATGTGGTTCTTCAATCTTCAGTGACTCTGGCATGGTATGGTATGTGTGGGATATGTGATATGCTATTATGCGATGTATTTTAAAGGGATTTTACCATGCATCCAACGGATCGGCCGAAAACTGGAGCTGGTCGTTTACCCCCTCCTTTAGTTTTTACTCTACTCTCTAGTGTCAAACTTTGCTCACACTCACAGCTGCATCGACAAGATTGTGTACAGTCTATGCGATATTGTGTGGTGTGTATATTTGTGTATAGGTATAATAATACCCGCCTCACAGCAAACATGTAGTGCTAGAGGTCAATACGCATTAGCATTGACTCTCTATGCTTTGCTGGAGTGTTCTGAACAAGCGCCCACATTTTAACCTTAACCAAATTTACTTACATTAAATCTAGCACATGGGGCAACACAATTCGATGTGTCTCCATCAATATCGACTATCTACCTTGTAATATACGGTGTATTCAAAATAATCTTACATGAAATTGATTCATAATGATCTGCTTTATATCTCACCTATGTATCTAACGTCACGTGAAGGTGGAATTCACTCCTATTTCTGGTCAAATTTACTCAAATCTGCCACGACCATATGGTGTCAGGTGTCTTTAAATGTACAAATCAGAAAAGAAAAGGTTAGAATATTATTCAGCCAAGGAAGTTCAAGTTCAAATTCACGGTTTATTTGTCTTTCAGAAATCTCATGTAACAAAATAGAACAGAATATAATCATAACAGTACACAATCAAGCAGTGGCGTAGCGTGGGTCTACACATTAAGGGGGCAATTACATCATGTAGAAGGGGCAGGCGCGTAGCCAGAGTTTGATGTTTGGGGGGGCACATACATGTAATCGATCGAGGTCAAAAAAAGGGGTCTACAAAATTTCAACCGATCCTGGAAATTTTAGGGGGGGCACGTGCCCCCCCGTGCCCCCCCGTGGCTACGCGCCTGAGAAGGGGGAGCACCAATCTTCCTAAGTGGGTGAAGCAGCTGAGGCGCGGATCCACGATTTCTTAGGGGGGGGGGGGGGGGTGGGGTGGGCAAAATTTGAATCATGCGAGCCAAATATTGGTAAAGCAGTAGCGTAATGAGCAAAAGCGTTTAGAGGGGGAGGGGGGAGGGGGGTAGAATCCGCATCACCACTACTCTTCCATCCAGGCCCAGCCGAACGTTTATCAAAGTCGGTAGGGAGGCTATAAAGTATTCACAATTAGGTACACTCAAAAAACTGAGGTGCTAAATGTTGGGTGCTGAGTGAGATTCTGCACTTGAAGTGCCAAAATCAGCACTTGACGGGTTAACTTTAACAAGGAAACCGAAACGTGCTGAATATTTGAGTGCTGAAAACGAGTGCTATAACAATATGCAGCACTTAACATCGAGTGCTGACTGCATAACCTGATCTGATTGGTCGGTTAGTATAATAGCTGTTACCTTGTGAATATTTGTTTTTGAATCAAATTCAGCTAAGAGATTCTTACATTCTTCATTCTCCAGGTCAATACCCAAGGCCTCAAAAGTCTGAATAACTTTGCTCCTTAAACTGTCAACAACATCAGTATTCAAAGCTGTTGCAGCAGATAACACTCTGTTTGTCATAGCATGGGTCATGTTGGTGTTTGATAAAAGAGAACCAATGAAAAATGCAGCTGGTCTCACTATGAACATGACAGACAATGAAAGCGGACAAAATATACAGTTCCTCAGGTAGACAAAGGAACATCCCTTGACTGCTATTATGTAAAATGTGTAAAACAGGTGAATATGCATGTGACACCTGTTCTACACATTTTTACATAATAGCAGTGAAGGGATGTTCCTTGGTCTACCTATGGAACTGTATATTTTGTCCGCTTTCATTGTCTGTCATATTCATAGTGTCTTGTACTGTCATTATGCATTGGTCCATCTTGTTCTTGTAGTAGGCCTATCCTATCATCATCATCATCAAATGCATCATCTGCTGCAGGATTATGCACTTCACCAACAGCAACACCCAAATCAGCATCAACTAGACCCTCCATACCCTGTACAGCTTCAGATTCAGGTTCTTCTTGTGGATGTTGGTTTAATAAATGTTTCCTGTAAGAGTTGAAAGTGGTAAATGACGAAGGACATCCACCTTGACCACATAGGCATATGTTCTGGCTTATTGCAGAACTTTGTCAACATGTGCCTTTACTGCAACAGTGTTTTTTGGTTAAACTGTTAATAAAATACCAACTATATATATAAAGTCATTTATTTGTCTTTTTTTTGTGTGTGAGTGTGACAAAATTGCATAATTTCACTATATATGAAATATAACGCCTGGGGGGTGTTTCACAAATATCCTAAGTTAAACTTATCTCTAAGTTGGACTTAAAAATTATGGAAGGCCATTAGCATCTTTGAAAATATTTTGGAAAAATAATTTTGAAAGGCATAAAATGTTGATTCAAATCATTCATATTTTCTATCATCAAGGAGACTTCATGTTCTGGATGTGGAATTCATAAAAAGTCTAAAATACTTGAATTTCTGCTTTTGAATATATTTCATTTTAAGACTCCAATGGCTGTCCATAATTTTTAAGTCCAACTTAGAGTTAAGTTCTACTTAGGATCTTTGTGAAACACCCCCCTGGAGTGCTAAAACATATAACACCAGTAGTGCTAAACATTACAAAACTGTTGTGTTCTGCACCTAAGTTGTGCAGTTTTTTAGCACTACTAGTGCTATTCAGAGTAGATTGTGGGGTTATTTAGCACCACCTGCCCAACATTCATAGCACTTGAAGTGTTTTTTTAGCACTTTTTAGTGCTTATCTATAGCACTTAAACTAGTGCTGAACTAGCACTTGCACTTGTGCTGAAATAGCACTAGCTGTGCAGTCCCTATGCGAGCACTGAAAAGGTGCTGAATATAGCCCTCCAAGTGCTAAAAATAGCACTACATTTTTTTGAGTGTAGAGTGTAGCGTAAATTGGCCTGGGGTCTAGGGACAAAACCCCGGCGGCGTCATTTTTTTCTGCGGCACGGATTGGGGCTTTTTTTTAAAAAGAGAGGTCTTGATTTAACGCTAACCCTAACCCTATCCCTAACCCTAACCCTAACCCTAACCCTAAACTTTCCCATAGGCTCAACACGCACCTATCCCAATCTGTGCCGCAGAAAAAAATAACGCACCCCGGCGGGGATCAAGGGACGGAACCCCTGGAAACTCAGTTTTAGGCATTGAATTAGTCAGATGAGCATCCAGGGGCCCGCCTTAGGGCCCTAGGTTGAATCCAGGGGATAGAGCCCCGGAAGCTCAGGGGTTTTAGGCATTTAATCACGGTCAGATGCGCATCATGATACCTCATTATTTTGTGACACTGGCAGGTCACTATTCTTTCTTTTTTTTTCTCTTTCTTTCTATTTCTCTTTAATATACTTTTTCTGGGTGGAGCTCGAGCCCCCCGAGCTCCGCCGCTTCGCGGGCCCTTAAATGACTTGTAGGCCTCTAAATAAGCATATTTCTTGCCTGACTGTAAATTTGGGAATTTGTCATTTTCAACAAACGCATAAAAGAAGTATAATTTACTAAAAAGTGAGGAGAACTTCCGAAAAATTATGTAATTTCAGCAACATTTGCAAATTAGTAGTATCGTATTAGACATAAACCAAGTTGGAATTTTATTTGGGGGATATCTGCCCACAGCCCCCTCGATTTTCACCAGTGGCGTTTCTGGCGCTTGGTCTCGTTGGTGGGGGGGGGGGGGGGGGGGGCAAAAGCATATTCCACGCCTGTCATACCGAAACATAACACCCACATCTTGTTCAAAACGTGGGAAGGGGAGGGCTTTCACCAGGCTTTCACACCCGCCGGAAGAATATTCTGATATTTTTGAGTCCACACAGTCCATAATAGCTAAAGTTTCTAAATTCCGAAGAATTTTTACACCTATGGGCTCGAGGGGCTCCTTCTTCATGTTTTGTTCAGTAATGAATAAGGTTAGTAACTATGGGTGTCATCATGGTCATAATACGCTAACTCCCTCGAAACCCGCCCAAAACACTGAGTTTTGTGAATCCTTAACCCATTTCCTACTGGAACCTGGTGGCTCCTGTATGAAAGCCTATGGGAATAAGAGAATTCAGTAATTAACGGGTGAACAGCATATGTCGGCTCTTGCAGGAGCCGTAAGCGTTTATTATTCCTCGTTGATTATATCAAATAGCTATAAGATGTCTAAGATGTCCAGATTATCCAGATACTATAAATTAATAACCATTTTCAATATGATCAGCCTAAATATGTTATGTGTGAAAACAAGTCATTGTCTTTCGTGATATAATAAAGATGTCGGGCTCCAATATTCAATATAATAATGATTACAAGTTGTGTTTTATACCTTTCAGAACCAAAGTGAAAAGATCGGTTGTTTACTAGATCGCTTTTACAAATTTAATACGTAGCAGCTAGTTCTTTGGACAAACATGCCAAGATAGACAACTTGTAATTTTTGTACGATTAAAGTTGTATAGGCGTATACTCCACCCTCTCCATCCTCTAAACATACAGGTACACGACGCCCCCGACGCCCCCTTGTATATGCCAGAGTAATCTAGGTTGAGTTTATTAACCGAGAAGCGTACGGCGTAACGTAACTCGTTGGGCTCGTATTATAAATAGCGGTCCTTACGATTGATGACCCTCAATATAAATTATGAATAGCGACCCTCATCTCATATACTGAAAAGCGGTCCTCATGAATAACGGTCCTTATCTTCATGAACAGTGACCCTCTTCTCCTATTATGAATAGCGGTCCCGGAATTATTGGAAGTTTCACGTTATGAATAGCGGTCCTTAAGGATAGCGGCCAGACCCCGCCTGTATACCCGAGCAGAATCCTATAGTGCTCAACAACAAAGACCCACAGTCTTGGGTAAAGAGGTCTATTATTTGTTTGTTTGTTCAGTTAGTTGTTTTAATTGACAGTGTACTATTAGATATCAGGTGTATAGGATGCTCTGTTTCAAATACAGTCAATTAGACTGCCGAGCAATGAATTATCTCCTGCTTCTTGTCCTAAAACTATATCTTATTGGGTTTTTTTTAACCGGTATCATTTGAATTTCCATTTCCAAGCATTATTTTGAACTGTCCCTAAATTGCTTTCCTTTCTTGAAATGAGACTAAAAGACGTTTCCTATTGGGATATCGAAAGGGCGTGTCTTCCCAGACAAGGAGAAAGACCTCCTCCGTACCTTTAGGGACTAGCATGCGACGGTCCACATGTTTTCCAGACACCCCCTAACGAGGGTCTCTTCTCAAGCCAAAATATACCGGTACCCTATAAGATTTTACGTGTTTTTTTTCCTGAATTCACACCGTATTTCAAAAGAGAGTATCCCTAAACAAGTATTGTAAAATTGTATCACCTTGAGTATTTTGAAGGGCGATATGACTACCATTTAAGTTGTTGACAATGTGAAACAAATCAAATTGCGCTTCTGATGTAAAGTTCACAATGTAAACATTTATTTCAAAAGAGAAGCAATAACATCAACCTGTACACTTCCAAACGGGTTTATTGCACATCCATCACAGCTCCTTTCCTTAAAGAAAAAAAAAGGAAATACATTTCAAATTT